AATTATCTATATGAGTTTTATAGCGTAGTAATTTCATTCAGAATTGGCTTAATTTGATCTGCAATTACAATAGAAGTTATAACATTAAAGTAAATATCATAATGAATTGGCTCATTAGGTGCTAACTGTATGAGAGAAGCACAATTTCAAAAGCTACTGTAGTTCTTATCACATTTGATAATTTTTGCTCATGAATTGCATTTCACGTTTGCACACAGACATATATGAATGTCATGTGTGCACGTACATACTGTTACGTACAATTGCTTATTAATTATGTATTATCTAAGAAGTAAAAAGCTGACTTAATATAAGGAGAAATTAACTGTCTTCCACGTGTTGCCAATAACAATTCATTCAAATTAAAAAATCACATTGTACACACCGACAAACAGGGGTGTATAGATACATATGTATATATATGCACATACGTGTATATAAACTTATTGTACAATATATATTCATATACGAGTATGTGAGCACCCATTTGCCAATATTTGCATTTTTGCTGTCAGCTATATGCATGTGTGTACGTATGTATGTATGTATGTATGTGTGTGTGTGTTGGGTTAAAATACGAAAATAACCAATATCAACAACAATAGCTCTATAAACACCACCAATTGCACCGGTGCAACGGGCAACAACAATGTACATATGTGTGTAGATAATAGTAAACTTGGTTAAAATGGTAGTTGGGTGGAGGGGTAGGTGTGTGAATGGATATGTATTTGTATTTATAACCCCAGTGTCATGCCCCCAATACTTTGGCTATTGTTTTTGTTGATTTTGTTGTAGGAAATAACAACTTGTTGCCTATTGCTGTCTATTGATAATTATAAATATAGATATGCATGTATATGTGTATAGAATAATCGACGTACAAAAATATACTGCCACATGCGAGTAGACTGTCTATAAATAAGCATCGCTTGCACTTAAACCCAACGCCAGCCACCACCCACTTGCCAGCTGCCAACTGCCTGTCTAGCGGCATAATAAAAGCTAAGTAAAGATGGTGTAAATATGTATGGAAGCTGCAGCTGACGCCTTTTTTCTTTTTTCTTTATACCTTTCATGTACTTGAAATGATATAATAACTTTTGTCCGAAGTAAGTAAGTACCAGGGGACACCCACGAAGATTTATACTAATCGGATCAGAACGACGAGGGGTTGATTTAGCCTTCTCCGTCTGCCAATCCCTCAGTTTTTGAGATATTTCAACTAGACTTGGTACACAGATGCTCTGGTACATTTAAACGAACCTAGATCGGATCATTGTAATGTAAAGGGTTTTCCAATAAGAGGTATTGTTTTGAAAAGTCTGCTATTCCAGTAGATGTCACTTTTGAAGCAGTAATTTTTTGATATTTGACAAGTAAAAACTACCCCAGTAATAAAAATGGAACGATACAGGCTTTAAATACGCATTGAAATTACTAAAATTCATTATAAACATTTCATCGAAAAATCATCTTGACTGATGAGACCCACCTCAAAACTGTCGCAACTGAGGCTCGGCACACCCAAGATTTATTATAGAAAATCCTCTTCATTCTCAACGTGTCACTGTTTGGTGCAGTCTATGGTCCGACGGTCTCATTGAGCCTTACTTTTTCGAAAATTAATGTGTTGCCTTATCAAGAGATGATTAATGATTTTTTATGGCCGGAAGGTATAGATCTGCGCAATGTTTACTTTCAACAAGAAGGCGCTACGCACCACACAAGCAAAAATCAATTAAAATGACACCTCCTATTGAAAAACGGGTTTTCGAATTTGTGTCACAAATTTTTCAAAAATGCAACTAAAAGTGTGAAATTTGGTATTCTGTACACATTTGTGCTGAAAATTATCCCTATCGGAAGACTTTATTGTATAGCCCCCATACAACTGAGGTGAAGATTTGGGTAATTTGGTATTCTACACACATATATTAGAAGACCTCATTTGACCGATTCGTTCAGACATTTGGTTAAGGGTCAAAAATTCGTCAAAAAAACATCTAAAAGCTTGCACTCATGAAAGGTATAAATGTTTGTTTATCACTCGGTTATCGTAACTATACGATAAATAGCGTCAAACTTGCCTTACAAGCGTCAGCTGTTTCCCCTGCTACTTTGCGAGCAAATAGCAAACTGGTATGATTTAATCCTAAAAATACTAGTACTAAACTAGTTGGACTTTTGCTACTACTGAGTTATTGCAAAAAAAAAAAAACACCACGCTTTTCCATTGTCAGTGTGAGTTTGTGTTTATTTTTGTTGGTGTAATAAAATATTGGCGTTAAGACTGCTTCTTGCCGTCATCAGCATTATACATTTGGCATTTGCCTCGCCATTGAATGACGTCTCTATGTCTAGTTTTGTTTGGTTAAAAGTGTCTAAATGAGCACTGAGGTCACTATAATAGTTGAACTTCAGTTATTTTAATTATTTTGAATTGCGTGTGCCAGGCATACTCGTATAGGCATTTACAAGCAAAAAATAATAACTTTTAATTAACACTTTGTAACGTGGTTTTAGAAATGTTTTGTTGTTTTCTTAACAAGAAATGGCACAGTCCACAAATACACGAATATTATGATCGCGATAAATGGTTATGGAAGCATTTTTTAAGACATGATTTTTTAGGAACTCCACTTAAACCTCAAATTCGTGTTTTGAAGGAATTCGTAAGAAACGATTTAGGCTTTTAAGTTGAACAGCTTCTGTTTACAGAGGCACTTTTCCACCTGAAGCGATCGTGGTTTCTTAAATTGAAAATAGAAAGACTTTTATAATAAAAGATGACCCGCTCCGACCAAAAAATATTTATTGTCTGAAGAGTAAGTCGACCATTCCGATTTAATACAATTTCGCATCGAACTCGCTATTTTTAGATCATAATACTTCTGCTATAAAACTTCGTCGCGTTTCATGATTTCGGTGATTGTTTCCAAGTATTCTATATCGAATTTGTGGGAGAACTGGAGGCTTACAGAGAAAATAGACAACCAGTTCCTTATTCTCTTCTACTCTGCATCTGTGCTAATAACTATTATTGTACAGATTCATTTTTGATGCGTGCAAATTATTTGTTATTGTGGTTATAAATATATATACATTATGCTTCCCTTGAACGCATTTAATAAGTCTTTATTTTCCTGTCCTTATTGGGCCAAATCTGTTTCGTCATTACAAAGTTGAGTATGGATGAGGCAAACTCGAAATTCCAATCAATGACGATAATATAGACGTTCCACCACCCGACTCTGATAAAGTCGCTTAAAGAATAAGAAAACATCATACTTACTGGCTGAGCTATTGTGTGTTCCATTGTGGCTTCAGACCAACAAATTTACGATTGACCAGTCATTCAGCACACGCGAATTCTTCTCGTCAACCTTTTCGTTACCGAGTATGTTCCCATGCCCGAGACCCCCGATAATAGAATTGTCAAGATTTCCAGCGAGTTTATCACAGTCATGCAATTTTTGAGGGCTTTAAAATTTTTTTATTTTCAATGTCATGTGACTGTGCCTTCGTGTGTTCTTCCGGTTTTTTCCTTACATGGTACTTCCGCTTGGAAAATGCTAGTTGGGTTTCACAGCGACGAGCGACATTTTTACCCGAGCAAATGTGGCTTTATTACGAAAGAACTTTCGCGGCCGCGTAACCTCTCGCCTTGGTGTTGTTGTTGTTGTAGCGGTACAGGTTTGATCAATCTAAGTCGCCGAGGTCATCTAGTGGGAGGTCCAGGTAACGAGCTGTTTCGACGGGATTGGACCAAAGGGAAAGGGGGGTTAGATGAGTCGGTTTAAAAGGGACATGTTTAGAGGTGGTTAGTATCATACGTTCGATATGCTGGGGTAGAGTCTGGATAAGTAGGAGTTTAACCTGCTACAATATCAAGACCTAAGTTGTGCCAAGGTCTCTCGAGGCAGCTCGAGCTCGATGTCTGCAGTGGGTGGAGATTTTATTCCGAGCACGCCATTCATTAGAAGGGAATCTTTGAAGGTGTTGACTGACTCCTGGTGAATGGCGTTCAGTGCCTGTCTCAAGACAGCCGGTTCTACATACCGGAGTTGATCCGGATTTTATCCAGCCAAAGGCTGTCACCCTTTCAGCGACCTTACCCCGTTTAGGTCAACAGGTAAATCTCGCCTTGGTGATGTCGATTGACCATCGAGATCGTGTAATTTGACACCATTGGAATTTTTTTTTTGTGAGGCACGTGAAGCACCGTGTTCATGCAGTTAAGTTTTAACTCTTGACCACTTGAAAACCAAAATTTATGAAGTTATGGCTAAGATACCGCGCGATATGTGCCAAAAAAGGGCTCGAAAATTGCTGCCAATGGATAGAAGATTGCAAAAGTTTGTGAGGAAGTCATTTGAATGATGTAGTGTTTCACATATAATATCAAGGTTCAAACCTTATAATAAATAAGGAATTTCATAAAAATAGCAAGATTTGCAATTATGAGGTAATCTGAGCCGCAATTCTATAAAACTCATTAAGAACTTCCATAGAAAGAGGTCGTAAATATTTAGTGAAATCTAGATTGCTTTAAAATAAACATTGAATCTTAAGCTAGAAGTAGGAAATTGAATGTATCAAAGATCAGTTTGATATTAAATACAGAGCCGACTTGAGTTATTTTCGGCAGTTGACCAAATTATATATTTCAAGTCAAATGCCTTAGGAATTCTTAAATTATATACACGTATTTCCGGTTTGCAAATACTTTAAATACACTTTTTGTAGTTCTCTTAAATAGTATGCAGAAAAGTTTTACGTATTCATGGAACATTTAAATATTTTTCAATTATAAACTGTCTATAAAATGTACGCAATTTTTCTGTCTACATATTATAGAATTTTAGTTTTTTCCACCGATACTAATGCATTTAAAACAAAAAACAAAAGATACGATTTAATATGCTCAACTTAATACCGATAACCTCTTTCTTTTTTTCTTATTAATCTGCGCCTTACCTCAATTACCACTCGCGTAGAAAGAAAGTTCAGCGCATAAAACAGCGGGAATAGTGCCTTTCTATACAGCTTGCTGGCGCAGAAAAAAGGTAGTAGTACTAACATTATTATCTGCTGCTTTTCTCATCGTACCCAAAAAAAACAATCGCTTTGCGCAAGCATAATGCTTTGTCACAAACTCACATAAACAAAAAAAAAAAATTAAAATAAAGCATTGAAGAGAAGTGAAGCTAATCGCATACTGCTAACGATATCTATACCATAGCACACGTAGTATTCAGCGCATCTGCAAACAATCAAAAAATGGCAATTGGCATATTCAACTTTAAGGCCGCCCACATCAGCGCAGCTACACACGCAGCTTAGTTGCACATCGCCCACTAGCCAAACTAACAACCAACCAACCAGCCAGTCAGTCAGCGTTAGAGCTTAACTACAGTAAATTCGTTCACCTTTTGTTTGCTACAAAACGCCTACATAGAAGACATGTGCATTATTTTTGAACTTTGCTTTTTTATTGTACTTCTTTTTTATTTATTTATTTTATTTTTATTTTTTTTATTTTTATTTTTTTTTTTTAAATTTATCGTTTTTGATGAATGTTAGCTTGGTGTATTTTTTTTACCTAATTTTTAGCTTTTTCCTCTAATTTAATTTTTTTTGTTATGTAAATTTTTTTTTAAGAAAATTTTCAGCTTTTCCACTTCACTGCGTAGCTGCACTTAATTGGCGCATTTTAGTTATTAAAAGGAAATTGCCATTGTCATTTTAATTCATTTCTTTTCATCATCTCTTCGATCTATTCGTATTTTATACAGTGACAAATGCGCATTTCAATTTGCTTTTATTGATTTCCTCAAACGCGTAGACGCTGTGTTAAGCGTTGTAAAAGGTTCGGTTATTATATTGATTAGATCGTCGGCTTTGTTTTCATAAGTTCATTCGTTTTCTTTGCACTCTATGCTGGCTGACTGGCTGTCTGTCTGCGCGCCATTTACTTTTTTTATTGAAAAATTGCATTGGCGGCAATTTTATTTAATTTTTCATTTCTCTTTCCGTTTGTTCTATTGCTATAAATTTTCCGCACGGTTCGTCTGCCTTTAAGCGTACATTTTTTATTTATTTTATATTCTTTTTCCATTCTTTATTGCCTTATTGCCAGCGCATAAGTCGCTAGAATATACAAATTAAATTTTTATTTTCTTCTATTTTGAGACAAACACCAAATCGCAAATTATTTCATATTAAAAACAATTCCAAAATTGTTTATCTAAATATTAATTTTTTTTTTTTTTTTTTTTGTAAAAAAAATCTATTCATTCTTGCATAATTTCTTAGCATTCTGACCCGCCAAAGTCAACCAGTTCTCAAAAAACCAGTTAAACGAATCAACATTTGCAACACTAAATCATTTTCAAATTAATTGTTATACATATCCACCTATATATAAATAAAAAATGCATACATAATGTGTATATATGTGTGTACATACTCGTATATTAATAACTTGTGATTTAACTAATTGTCATTTTATTCGTTTGTTTCCTTCCTTCCTACCTACCTATCTATGTATACATATGTATTGTTGCTGTTGAAACACAGGCGAATAAAAGCGCTGCCGCCGTATCGTTATCCGCAACCGCCGATCGCGTGCCACCCATCGGCAATTACCAGTGGCCGGCCGATCAGACACCTGGCGTTATGGGACTAAAAAATCATGGCAATACATGTTTTATGAATGCTGTGCTGCAGTGTCTCAGTCACACTGACATACTGGCCGAATATTTCGTTTTGGATCAGTATAAGGTGAGTAGCAAGCGAGTATAGCATTTGTATGTTTGTATGAGCCTATATACTCATGTACAATATTAAGTATGGCATAGCGAATCGTATGTAGATGATTGCAGCGATAAGTATGCAAATACAAGTGTACATACAGAGACATTCATACAAACTTATACATATACATCCATACAATAATATGCATTTTTATTGCTTGCTCGCCTGCAAGTATCACTCAGTGTTTCATATTTTTGAATTATTTACATACTTTTATTTACATTTATTATATGTTCTTTTTTTTCTTCTCTTCTTTCCATCCACATTTATTAAGGCCGATTTAAAGCGTCGCAACAAAATCAATTCACGCAAATTTGGCACTAAAGGTGAACTAACCGAACAGTTGGCCAATGTGCTAAAGGCGTTGTGGACATGCAAGAATGAGAGTGATCACAGCACCAGTTTTAAGGTGAGTCGAGTGTCAATCAATAAGCAAATAAGCACATTCAAAAAAAGTTTCCTCAATTATTTGTATTTACTACTTTTGCAGGCTGTTGTCGATCGTTATGGTTCACAATTTCGTAGCTCAACACAACATGATGCTCAAGAATTTCTATTTTGGCTGTTGGATAAGGTGCATGAGGACCTCAATACGGCTACAAAACGGCGTTATAAAAGTGTAAAGGTGCTTATTATAATTAATTTTTATTAATCGAGTAAAGAATTCTTTTTGGTTAAAGATTTTTTTTTTGTTTGAATGCTCGCTATTATTTATTCACCTTTAATTGCAATATATAAGCATAATGTAATTATAATTGAACTGATTAATAGCTGTTCAGTATATACCTTTTTGTATTAGAGCAAGTTTATGTAACGGTAAAAAATTCAAAAATGCTTATTAACGAACAAAAAAATAAGTTGTAATGGACAATAATAGAAATATTAAACTCGTGGTAGGGAATTTACATTAAGACCAGAAAGTTTCCGGAAATTGTTGTTTTTTTCGACATTCGCGGTTTGGTTCATCATGAACTCCTTCTAACGGGACAGACATTCAGAGAGTATTATTTAAGCCTTTTAAGACGTTTGCTCAAAAACATCCGTCGTAAATGGCCGAAATGGTGGGCCTACAATTCATGGATTTTTCATGACAATAATGCGCCATCGCACCGAGCTGTAGTTGTGAATGATTTTAAGACCAAAAACTCCTTCAATACCATCGATCAAGAGCTGTATCACCCGATTTGGCCCCACGCGACTTTTTTTGTTTCTAAAACTCAAGTTACTACGCCGTGGAACACGTTTCGACTCGATTGTGGCCGTAAAAGAAAATTCGCAGAACTGAGGTCGACTGATTTCAACAGCTGCTACAAACAAGCTAGTTGACAGATCGTGCTGAAAATGACAATATACGGAAACTTCCTGTTCTTAGTGTACATGCATAGCAATTTTTAATAAGTAAAGTTGAAAAATATTTTTATTTATTTTTAATTTAATCTACAATATTTTTTCTTTCTTAAAAAATTTTAATTTTCAATTTGTTGCGTGATTTTTTAATATTTATGTATAGTGTCATTATAAAGTTTGTAATTTTATACAAATTTGAATATACTACATAGCTGGAAACTAAAATCGTTCAAACATTTCAAAACACATCTAGGCATGTTAGTAGATTTTATTGTTATGAATTCTTTAAAAAATACTAAACACAAATATTAGTTCTTTCCATATTTTTAAATCACTTAAGTCTAACCATTGCAAACTCTTCCTAATCACAGTTTTTGATTTGCATAACAAGCTTACTTTTGATTTGCAGCAAGCGCTATAAAACTAATTGTTTTGAATTCAACCAAAATCTCCATTTTTAAGCCTCGTTGATTTAAGCTGAAATAAATATTTTGGCCATTTTCAAATAATTTGAAAGTTAACAATTTTTTTAATATTATGTTTGTGGTTATAATATAATATTAAGGTGCCGTCAGACGAAGCAATAAATTAATTTCAAATTGCTTGTCCAAATGATAAATTTTGATTTTATCTGGAAACTAGCTTGTTTCACAATAAATTTTCTAAAATCTTTTTTGACAATACTGAAAGCCTTTGACAACAATTCCATTTATTATTAGTGTAGTACGAGCAATTGGAAATTGAATTTCAGGAACTAAATTCCAAATAAATGAATTGCAATTTTTTTAAATTAAATTGGAGAGACTAGTTTCTTCAAGTCGATATTAGAAATTGCGTAAAAAATTTTACGGCACCTTTAGATGTTAAAGTATGGCAAAGAATTGAAATATATATAATTTTATATATATATTTACAATATAATATAAAAAGCAATTTCACACACTTAGACGCTTTTTGAAGATTTTATGATAACCTAAGTTCTCATATCTGTGAAATCGATTATTGGTAGGCTATACAATGTAAATAAATCTGTTAGTACTGCATCTGCGTTACCGCCAAAGTGTTTTATCAAAATTATTATTATTTATTTATTGATTTTTTTTTTTTTTTTTTGTTAAATGATATCTTCTATCAACATTGAAGCAGGTTTTTCATACTACTTAATAATAATGGAAAATGCGAGAAATTTCCACTTACATCCAGCTCCGTTTATGAGCATTACGCAAGTTTACATCAATATATTTCCTAGATACTGCATCTTATCTGCTAAGATTGTACGCTTGTGTGCTTGTATGTATGTATGTAATTGTAAAATTTCATGAAAAAGTTGCCTTTAATGTTTTACATTACCTTCCTGCCCAACACAAGCTATAAACATACATACATACATAGTTACATACCCACTTACAAACTTATAAGGCATTTTATTATTGGAGAAATTGCGACGTAATTGTTGCTCATCAAATACACAAAAAAACTAAGCGGCAAACTGACTGACCAATCGACTGAGTGACCATCAACCAATAGATGCCAGCCTGGCAGATTGTTGCAGTTAATTTTGCAATTCTTATTTACATTCACCGTAAATTGGGCATTTATGAATACAAAAAAATGTGTTATAGAAAGCATATACTACTTACATACATACATACACGTACATGCATACATAGATACATGCACAGATACATTTACTGTGCTGGGGAAGAGGGCGAATAAAAAGATTTCTAGCTGCATGCTTATTGCAGGGGGCTGACTGTTTATGTAAACAAAAGCAAATTACTGAAGTATTTTTATTAAAAAATATTTTTTTATGTCAATTTATGCATCAGCACACATACACGCACACACACACAAGTACATATCTACGTACGTCCGTAAGTAGTGCTTTCTACGCGTGCTCTTGAATTATTATTATTATTTTTCGCAAAGTGCAGAGCTATCTATAATTTGCTTAGCTTCTTGTGTTCGTAGATAGATAAGATAAAAATGCAGAGGATGATGGCTAGCAGCAACGATGCTATCCGCGATAGCAACTAAAGTGATAGCAACAGCAGTAGGGAGTCATTGATTGTGCAATAATTTTGATTTTAATTTTATTTTATTTTGTTTTCGGCAAGAACATCTCATGGCGGCATTTGCCGTGGCCATTATTCATTTATTAACAATTATCAATTAATTGCATATATGTATGTTTATACACAAATAATTATGTAAAATCATACTGTTAATTGAATATTTTGGTACATTTGTTTTATAGCGTTAGCCGTTTAATTGAGAAATTAAGTTTTAAAGACATCTCTATATAACTGCCACTAATTGTTAACTAGGCTACAAAATATGTGACTGTAAAGCAAAAATTAATGTAAGGTTTAGTCTGACCAGAAATGAAGCAAATTAACTGTTTACCCTTTAGTAAATGGTTGTAATGGTAGTAAATTAAAATATTTGCTAGTTTGCACAGTATTTAGCACAATTGTTTAAATAAACAAAAAATAATTGCTGTGTCGAAGTCTCTATACGTCTCATGAACCTAACATATTTATCGCAAATTGCAAGCTTCGGTTTCGATGAATTTCAATGACTGTATATATAAGAAAGTATCTACATATGTAGAATATTAAATTTCACACGCTGAGAGCTATATAATGTAGTCCTCCGATTTCGATGAGTTTCAGTACCAATGTTTGTTATAGTAATTGTGGTCGCCCTTCGGGGAATAATGCCAAGCCCTACGACTATATATCTGACTTGAAAATCAATGCTTCTCATACGAATATATCAGCCGTTCGAAGGCAGCTTAGAGTTAACAGTTTGTTGGGAAAAAGATCAAGACTCATACCACAAATTGTAGGAGGAGCTCAGCTCAGCATCGATTCAGGGGTTAAAAACCCCAAAATATGTATATAAAAATAATTAGCGCTTTGTAACCGCTGAAGCGATTTTCCGCCGAACTTCTCCTCCAAGTTGTGGTTGCCGTCTTGATGTTTTTATTGCAAAGGGTGGAACCTCCAGCTTACTCTAAGCCGCCTCCGAACGGCTGATGGCTTTTTTTTTATGAGGAGCTTTATATCATGTCAGAAATACACTCGGAGGGGCGACCGCAATTAGAAAATTTAACTCAATTTTTTATTTAAATTAATTTTCTATAACTTTTGGGTGTTGGCCGCACGGGAACTTGAACCCGAGCCTTCCGGATGGCAGTACGCAATGCTAACTACTCGGCTACCGCGGCCGCCAAATATATATATATAGAGGTTTTAATGGCAAATTTCATATTCATGGAAGGTACACAAGTTGTAGGGCATCAAGTCGTATATTGAAACCGGCATTATGCATTTGGCACAGTAGCACCGATAACCAATAGTTTTAATCAATACTTTTTATTCAAATTATTAACTTTTAATTATCTTTCTTCTACTCCCGCCCCAAGAACTCCTACGGTCGTCCCGATGAGGTAATCGCCGCCGAAACATTAGCCAATCACATACGCTGCAACAATTCATTCGTGCAAGCGGTATTCCAAGCACAATTCCGTTCGTCGCTCACATGTCCACGCTGTAAAAAGCAATCCAACACATTCGATCCGTTCCATTGCATTTCGGTGCAATTACCACAATTGATGCAGCAAACGATATTCGTGACCGTCGTCTATTTGAAACGAGAGCCACGTCAAGTGAAAATCGGTCTTAGTGTGCCTACTGGTTCGCCCATTGTTGCACTACGCGAACAATTGCAGGCTGATGCTGGCATACCGGGCAAGCGCATGGTGCTAGTGGACATTAGTAAAGAGGGTTTCACGCGCGTTTTTTACGATTCACAGCCGGTGGCAACACTATGCGGCAACGAGACGATTTATTGCATTGAGGTACCGGAAATAAGGCCCGTCTCTACGACAACGACAGCAACAGAAACGGCGTCATTAGCAGCAGGTGATAGTGAAAAGAATACTGCTACAGAAAATACCAGCAACAAAAATAACGCCAAGTCCAATTCATCGACAGAAGCAAATGCTAGAACAACGGAAGCCAGCAAAAACAGTTCGTCCGGCAACACTGCCAACACCACCGTTACAAGTGGTGCCAAGGCCACGAACGCACCAACTACTGCCAGCACTCCCACAGAGCTAATTTTGTTGGTTGCGAATGTGCGGAAGCGGAAAATCGAAGATGCACCTGTTGAAACTGAAACAACAGAAGAGAAAGAGACCACGCCGCCGTCATATACCGTGGAGCGTTTTGGTATGCCATTTAGCTTGGTGACAGTACGTGATTGCTCATATGCCGATTTACAAAAGCGTCTCATAAAGGAAATGACGCCATTGCTGAAACCGGAAGTTATGAGCCAAACAACACCGTACAACGATCTGTTTCAAATGCGTCTTCAAGATCCCTCTGCTGATCCAGATACATACCTACAGAATGTTGAACATCCGCTGTTAACGGAGATGATCGATTTAGCCTTATCCGTACTCTCTACAGAGGCTGGACCGCCGCATATAAAACTCTTGTTAGAGTGGACCGAGCCGGAAACGCACTTTCTGGATCTCAGTGATAATGTGGTGGAAGATGAAAGTGTTGCGCGTTTGCTTGATGTAGGAAAAGCGAAAACGGGAAAAGATACTGCAGCACTTACTTTAGAACAATGTCTAGAACACTACACCAAAGCGGAAACATTGAGTGCCGAAGATGCTTGGCGCTGTCCGCACTGTCAGCAATATTTACCGGTTGTGAAGACGCTCGGTTTGTGGTCGTTGCCCGACATTTTAGTCGTGCATTTCAAACGTTTCCGTCAGCATCACGAAAAGGGCGCCAATGCAGCCAAACTCACCACTATGGTGAAATTCCCACTGAATGCATTCGATATGTCACCCCATTTAGCACGAGGTGGTGAAGAAGAAACTGGGCCACGCGCATCGCTTACGGCTGCGGCAGCTATGGATATGGGTCAACATGCCCGGCCGAGTCCATGGAAAAAGACCCGTTCGGCCGACTCACGTTCTTCCACACTGAGTTCACGTGACAACAGAGAGACCCGTTACGATTTGTATGCGGTATGCTATCATCAAGGTGATACGCTCGAAACAGGCCATTATACGGCCGCATGTAAGAACCCCTACGATAGGCAGTGGTACAAGTTTGATGATCAGCGGGTGTCCAAGGTATCCAACGAATCGATCGAGGAGGAGATTATCAATAATGAGGCTTATATGTTATTCTATCAACGTCGCAGTGGAGACGCTGCTGAATATTCCGGTTCTAGCTCGAATTCAGGCGATCACTGGGTTTCTCGAATTGCACCACCACCCGTAACGGCGGTTGAGAAGGTTAACGCCTCGAAGGAGAAACTCATTGAAGAGGAGATAATTGAGGAACGAAAGAGTGTTGCAATCGCCGCAAATGCAGCCACAATCGAGCCAATACTAAGCAAACCGGAAGCAACGTCAAGTGATGTACCCAAATTGAAGGAAGAAACCAATGAAAAGGAGATTGTTGTTGAAGGTAAAAATAATTTAGATAAAATTTTAAACTCACACACTTCATATTTTTTTGTTTCGTTTATTTTTACAGTACAAATAGAAACGCCGCCAATGGTTGTGAATACAGAAAAGATATCCGTCGATATCGACACGCTAGAATTTGTTGATTCCGAATCTGTTGCTGTTGAGGAGGATCATGCAGCTTTGGTGAAGATTGAAGTTAGTGCATTGCCAGCTATTGACACATTGACACCAAATAAGAAAAAAGAAGATGAAAACAACAGTGTTGGCGACAATCAGATCTTCGTTATGGACGAAGACTGTCAAATTGAAGAAAGCCAACCGTCGGCAAACCAAATACCAACTACCGCAGCAGTTGCCAAATCACAAAAATCGCTCTCAACAGTAGCCAAAACGTTGGCAGTCTCAACATCGAAGGCATTAACTGCCGCTTCCACCACCACAACAGCAATTGCGCCTATTGTGAGCGCAACAAATACAGTATTAACTAACGGCCACTCTATAGAATACTCCAAAACGCCAAATCAAACTACGATTAATACACAACCAATCGTAAACGGTAAACCAAAGAGTCCACAGGCAACGACCACTGCCTTGGGAACAACGCAAACTCCAGGCGGTATCAATGGCAGCCGCATAAGAAATGGTTCAACTTCCTCTTCCAGTTCTTCTATATCGTCACACTCCTCGCCACACTCGCTCGCTGTGTCCATACATGGCGCATCGACGTTACAAAACAAGTTCAACGGCTTCACTACCACTTCGGCTGCATCAAGCAATAACTACAAGGAAGTATTGCTTTCTAGTAGTCTAAAAAGCAATAGTAGCAGTATTATAAGCGCCGCTGTGGCAGCGCATACAGCACACGAATTCCATTTAACACGCCACCAGCCGTGGAACGGAAGTCGATCCAGTGTCTCGGCTTTGGAGAACTGCACACAGACAAATAATCATCAGCATATGCATGGTCTTAATTTGAGACATTCATTCTCGACCAGTTCCAATTGCAAATTACGCGAATGTAGTGAAACGCTTTCATCGATGTTACGAAATTCAAGCAATACCTGCAGTAAAGACACGTTGATATTTATTGACCAACAAAATCATCATCATCATCATCACAATCACCATAGTTTAATTGAAGACGATGACGACTCATTTATGGGCAGTCGATCGCTTTGGGTAGGTGGTTTTTTCATTTACTTTTTTGATGGTTAAATAACTAATATATATCTACCTACAGATTTCTCCAGTAACGCCACACAAATTAATAACGGTGTCGCCCAAAAATTAAGATGACTAAGTCCAGTATGATATTTAGTGATCGGAACAAACCACGAAAAGTATATCCAAAATGTGGATATATGAGTTACTTGTTGGTCTAAGCTAAAGCAAATGAGGATTTTTTAGCGTTTTTGCTATTGTAACCATGTTAAATGGTTTAATAAGATTAAAAATTATTTTCTAATATCAAGCATATAGTGACCAAATTTATATAAATCATATATACAAGTATGTTTGTAATTGTTTGGACCTTCATAGTCTTTTAAGATGACATTTAGTTACGTATAAAAACAAATGTCGTCGTGTATGTATACGACGCTTAGAGGCAAAAAAAAATGAAAAATTCAATAAAAAAAGATTAACGAATGAATTAGCAATAGAAATTTACAAATCATACTTGATAAATACCAATGGAGCTGCTATACATAAATTATTGTATGTAATATATATGTAAGTGTTGATTATGGGCTTAAAAAGTTGAAAGTTATAGGCGAAACTGGCTAATTTATTGATTGTTGGTACATTTTACATTCGAATTGAAAAGTAAGAAAGTGCTGTGCAAAAACAATGACAGTTTGCTATATACATATGTATTAAAAACATAACTTGTCGAAATAGGTAGTAAAAAGTAAAAAAAATTGCGCATATATATACATGAAAATATATATGTAGCTGAAAGCAAGTAAATGAAGTAGAACACAATGAAAGCGTATGCATATAAAGAAACACGTGATCATGTTAATTATTTGGAAATACGTTTATATTTATATAAATAAATACAATATTATTTAGTGCTTTAAGCAAAGTATGAAAGTAAAAATACATACATATAATTTACTACGTTTGAATTAATAATATTTTATGAAAAAGCCGGGTACAAGTTAATTGAAACAATATCATTACAATGGAATGGTGGATGCTTTGCCGACTTATTTTTTCGTTATTATTGTTTCAACGAAGATAAGATTTTGAAATGTAGTTTTTTTTCTAAAAACAAAAACGCGAAAAAAGAGAAGAAATTGATCCGTCGTAATTAGATTAACCACTTGAACGAACCTAGGGCATTTTCGATGTGCCGTGCTACTAAACATTTACATACGCTCGACCATTTCATTCCCCAAATTTAGTTAAGCCGAACTATAGCTGAATCTGTATATATTAAATTTTTCATTTTTTACTTGAATCATGTATAACTTTTATATACATACATATATAATATTTTTTGAATTTTAAAAGAAAAACACTATGAAAAATATTAACTAAGGAAGATAAAAAACCAAAAATGAATGCTTATATGAATGCTATGTTTTTACTTCATATTAAATTTTACTATTCGATTCAAAGAATTAATTTTTGGTGAAATTTTTTTTTTTTACTCAATATGACGCAAATATGCATTCATGTTTGTAAGAACGAAACGAAAAAATGTATATTGATTATACATATATATATATATGTATACGTAATTTAACAACTTGCAATAAGCTAAAAACCAAATGTAATACTTCAAAATAGGTTTTAATTTAAAAAATTAATAAATATTTCCACGTATATGTATATATGCATATGAATGAAGCATATATGTAAATATATGAACTACAAAAATATAATGTATAATAAAGACTTTGACTAAACTTTGTTCATAAAATATATAGGTATATATATATGAAAGCAAATGTAATATTATTAATGTATTCGTATATATATATAATATAAAACTTTATTATCTGAAATGCAGGAAATGTACACGTTGTTGAAAATGATAAAATCTATTTAAGGTGAGATAAATGATTGGAAATAAAAATGACATTAAAAACCAATTGCTGTATCTTTTTTATATATATAATGGTCGATAACTTTGCAATTTGAATTATACATACATATTATTATAATATTTTGGTACGAATAGAGCTTAGTAAACTCCGAAATATTTTATATATAAACCCGCTTTAGCAAAGTGAAGTAAGTATAAGATGCATTGAGCAAGGATTGAAAAAGTTCCAATGTAATCGGATGAGTATTGCCCACCATAATCTGTAAAGCAAAACATGGAATATATATATATATATATATATATATATATATATAAATATATATATAAAAGTGCTTAGCTACCGCTGGTGGCTTCTGAGCGCGTAAAATCATCAAAAGTATATACTTCTGCACCGGTATGGGAAATGTGAACCACTCAGTGTCATAAGCAGCGGCAGCAATTGCAAGATTCTTGTATAAATTAGATAAATAAATATATTAGATATGTATTATGTGCTAAACAATTTTTTATTTTCCAAATACCTGTTCCCTTAACTCATTAGCATACCAATAAAGTGATAAAATCTGTGCGAAAATCATTGCTATATAAGCGCAAACTATAATTGCCTGTGCTGAGGAGTCAACCTTAGGATCGTATAGAATTAAATGTAAAACATATACGTATGAGAATATCAATTTCTGCGTTGCTTACAATAATGAGTAAGAAGAGTAAGGCGCATAAGAGTGTACCAAAAGCCAGAAATTCCAGCAGAAATATATAAGTCGTAAAGCCATTGACGCGTGCTATGTAACTGTAATTAAATGTAATGCACATACATATCTATATTTTACAATTAATGATATACATATTTACAGTATGTATGTATATGTTCTCTACTCACTCTATAATACTCAGCTGATAACGTATGCATTCCTTAACATTTTTATGTATCAACCCATCAACGTGTCTGCAACGGTGTAGGGTCTTCAAACGAAATTGCAAGGCCTTACACATTACAATGCCGAACATAATAAATGCGACTATTAAACTTGTATAGGGTATATACATGCAACAGCCCATGGGTGTAACTATCATTTGATAAATATACCAAAATTCATAGAAAGGACTTTTATACTCATCCACGCCGGGAATCATGCTGCCGAAGGGTAAAACTTTTGACAACATAGTAAGGGCAAAAATAAATAAAAAAAACATTATTTTTATATATGTATACATATGTACATATACATGCTAGAGCATTATTAGCAATCAAACATTATAAAGCAAACCTCTTTCGGTGGCAAATAGCGGATAGAAAGCAAAGCCGAAACAAGTGAGTAGTCCAAGGAAGAGATTACCACGCGCCATGTATTTTCCAGTAGAATTAACTTCGTTAAGTAGGTCTTGTATGTAGAAATCTTTTGATTTCTAAAATAAATAAAAAAATGTATATATATATATATGTATGTATGTATGCATTACTTATAAAAAAGTATGGCTTGAAAGCACAATTCGCACACATATTTTTTCTATATTTTTAACAGCTATCGCCTCTAAAGCTTCAAAAATTACATTTTTTCCTACATCTATACTAAAACTATCCAAAATACGTCTTCCAAATTTCAGTGACCAATTCGAAATACATATTTCAGAAGCTAGAGCAGTTTTAGTGGCCGAGCGTCGAACAGGTTTGCATGCTCGGGCAGAATTTTGAAGCGCGTTTTCTCGAGTTTTAATTTTTACAAGTCTTATGATAGCAAAAATAATATATGTCCGAAAGAAAGAAATTAAAGTGATCTAGCTTCAGACTCTGCTGGGACACAAAGAGGTGATATAGCCACTGATGCTAAGAGTATATGGAATTTATGGAGGGAACCCTTCTCCAACCTGCTGACTAGTAGTGAAAATGGAGAATCCGGAGATGGTAAATCCGAAACCCCAATCGATGACTGCGGAAAATACGTTCCATTACCTGACTATGAAGAAGTTCGGCGGAAGCTCACGGCCTAACGGCAGAACTATTTAAACATGGCAGCGAAGAGCTGCAAGATGCATGCATCAGCTTCTTTGCAGAATATGGTCGGAAGAAAGCATGCGACGATTGGAAATTGTGTGAAAGACTGAAGCCCACCGACAACAAACTGGTTGGACCTTGTCAATGTGGCTTCATACCTGGTAAGTCAACCATTGTCCAGATATTCAACGAGCGACAATTCTTGGAAAAGACCCGTGAAAGAGGATCGACAATCACCACCTTTTCGTCGATTTTAAAGCCGACAGCACGAAAAGGAGCTGCCTTTACGCCGCTATGTCTGAATTTGGTATCCCCACAAAACTTATACGGCTGGGTAAACTGACCTTGAGCAACACCAAAAGCTCCGTCAGGATCGGGAAGGACCTCTACGAGCCGTTCGATACCAAACGAGATTCCAGACAGGGTGACTCTTTATTGTGCGATTTCTTCAATTTGTTGCAAGAGATAATAATAAGAATATAGAAGATACAATCTTATATAAGAGTGTACAACTACTGGCGTACGCCGATGATATTGGCATTATCGGCCTCAACAACCGCTTCTGCTTTCTCCAGGCTTGACAAAAAGGCGTAGCGAATGGGTCTGGTAGAGAACGAGGACAAAAAAAAATATGTCCCGTCCTGTTGGCAGTCATAACTTTGAAGTCGTAGATAATTGCGTCTATCTAGGGACCAGCATTAGCACCAATAATAATGTCAGCCTCGAAATCCAGCGGGCTACTTTGGATTGAGTAGACAATTGAAAAGTAAAGTCCTCTCCCAACGAACGAGAACCAGACTCTACCAGTCCCTCATCGTTCACGTCCTATATGGTGCGGAAGCATGGTCGATGACAGCATCTGATGAGACGGTGTTAGGAGTTTTCGAGAGAAAGGTTTTGCGTAAGATTTATGGTCCTTTGTGCGTTGGCAACGGCGAATACCGCAGACGACGAAACGATGAGCTGTACGAAATATACGGTGATATGGATCTACTCCAGTTTGAAAATTTGCGATGCAATACCCTCCAGTGGAAGCAGAGGAAGACCTTCACTCCGTTGTAGATCGGCTATAATCGCGTAAGCGGAGTCTACGCCAGCAAAGTAAGTAAGTAAGCTTCAGTATTAAATTATCTTCTAGTTGAATAAAAGTATTATTTCAACCATGATACAAAAACAAGATAGTTTCACTCAAAATTTTTTTCAAAAATATTAACCATCTGACATAAAAAGATTTTATGCCTTGTTGATTTACTAATTTTTCCTCTTTTTACATTTCAACTTATTAATTAAAAAATTTTATTTCAAAATTAGAAAATATTGAAAGATCAACAGAAAAATAAAGAGAAATAAAACGTACTCCTAAAATCTCAAATGCTTTGCATTGTATTTTCTAAAATCTAATGGGAATTTGGCAGCTTGAAGTGATTTCTTTTTCAAACTTAGGAAAATTTTCAACTTCTTCAATGCACGTTTCACGAGTACCGACTGCAGCTGCTTCAAAAAACTCATCACAGTATTGGAAAATTGCAAAAATTTTTCATACTAAAAATTGTTTTTGATGCTCAGATAAAGTGAAAATTTCGTTTACCGCAACAATTTCCTTCCCTTTCAAAAAAATTCCTTCTTTTTCGGGTTCTAAAAGCGACTATTGCCTTAATTTTATTGTAGTTACAGGTTCAATAAAACTTACGGCGGATGTATAAACTAAATTTTTTTTTTATTTTTATTGCCAAATCAAGGCTACATATACATGGGTGGTTATTTGAAGTGGTTGCGGGTATCTGCTCACTTAGCCACCAGACGGGCTAATTTAAGTACCACTGGGGATCTTAATGACCCCCATCCGCTAATCAAACCAAAGTGTGGATCTTGCAAAATCAAGTATCGTATACGTATATATCTTCTTTTTCAAAAATAGCACGTCATTGGCTACTTCTCTTCGCTGTTTGGTGCCGATTTGAGATACCAAGTGAAACCAGGTCGCTTTTCAGCTCAACCTTCCACTTCCTTTCCATCCATCAGCGGCTACTGTATCGAATATTTTTAGAGCGCTTTCATTCGGATGACATATCTAAGCCTGTGTAAACGCGGCCTCTTCATTCGCTGAACTATATCAATGTCACCGTATAACCTGTACCGCTCAATGGATGTCAACATCGTCCACGTTTCTGCACCATATAGTATGAAGGGAATGATGTATAACTTGTAGGGTTTAGTTTCAGTTCGTCGGGAGAGGACTTTACTTTTCAATTGCCTATTTAGTCCAAACAGGTGCTACTGTTGGCAAGAGTGATTCTGCGTCTGATTTCCAAGCTGACATTGTTGTTGGTGTTAATAGCGGTTCCTAGATAGACGAAATTATCTTCGACTTCAAAGTTATCAACAGTGACGTGGGAGCCGAGTCACGAATGCGATTACTGTTTATTTGATGACAGAAGATATTTCGTCTTGCCGACGTTCACTATCTGACCCATTCACTTCTCTTCTTTATCAAGTCGGAAGAAAGCAGAAGCGGTTGTTGAGGTCGATAATGTTAATATCAGATACGATTGTATCTTCTATATTCTTATTATTATCTCTTGCATAAAATTCAAGAAATCACACGATAAAGTGTCACCCTGTCTAGAAACTCGTTTGGTATCAAACGGCTCGGAGAGATCTTTCCCAATTCTGACTGTGCTTCTGGTGTTGGCTAGGTAAGTTTGCACGGCCGTATATATTTTGGGGTGATACCAATTTCAGGTAGCTCCTTACTGTGCTGCCGAATGAATCATTAAAATCGATGAAAAAATGATGTGTATCGATGCTGTTTTCCAAGACTTGGCGCATGATGAATATCTGGTTTACCAAGATTAAAGCCACACTGATATGGCTCTCCTTTATGTTAATTAAAAATGTAACTATGGTAAGAGAAGTAGAACTAAGTCAAATAGATTGAGAGCATGCTGCGTTTATATATTGAACAAGTCCCTTGCCTACTGAATTCTGCCACTCCTGCCAAAACTAACATTTCGTCCTACCTGTAAAGGTCAAGAAAATGTCGCTACGCTATTGCAGGACATACTAAAATTTTTACTGGCAATATGCGTATACGTCCTGATGAACTACTACTACACTTACGGTGAAAACTCACCCCCCGGAGTGCATTACTAACATAAAAATCTCCTAATGAAAATCCATCGGGCGTTTGTTGGCGGCTGGGCATGAATTGTAGGCCCTTCCATTAGTTGGAAAAATTAAATTAGAGGGGGAGCACGGCTAAAAATCAATTTAAGGGTTTCAAAGCACAAGTTATGTATCTACAAATAAACATCGTCCTCTAAACTCATCGAAACCGGATGGATATATCATAAAACCTCCGTGGAAACTATTTGTTTAAATGTGAGGTCAGGAATCCGTCAAAAGATTTTCTGAGAAAATCAGCTTTTTTTCTTGTTTCTTTTAATTCATGCCCAAATTTGCGATTTTTATGCTATAAAAATGTTGCACTGCTGTTGCTCAATTTTTTTATCTCTGATTTCACTTTGAATTAATTTTTTTTTTCATACCTTCAAATCATAATAGAAATTTTCCAAATCTCTTAACAGTTCTTCGTACTTTTCACGGTCGTATAGCAGCAAGTAAGCACGAAGTATAGTATTGAACCATAAGACCAACATGTAGGAGTTCCGAATTATGGAATCAATACCTTCGCTCGTGCGAAACATATAGTAAAATTGGGTGAAGACCAAGAAAGTCGTCATCGACAAACAAGCGTACCGTCGCCAAGTATGCTCGTAGATGAGTGACCAGAACCGCAAAATGCGTACACTCATTTGAATCAGTTGGAGGTCGTCGAACATGGTGATGTGTACTTCGCTTTTCTTCTTAACAAAACTTTACACTTGAGGTGCTTTTCTTATCGTAGGAATACTTGTACTATATTTAATGAAGACGACTTTTTCATTTTTATACGGAAGTTGAAAATTCCATTTACCCTTTGACTTGGCTTTGCCTTCCTTATGATTTATGTCATAAGTGATAATTTATATTCACACACAAATTAGTGAAAATTATATGATCAACGATGACACGTATTACACAGTTAAATGATTATGCGATAAAGAAGTTAAATCAATTTTATATTTATAGTACACTGAGAGAAGTTTGGTGTAGTTTTTAAATAAATTTACAATATCACAATTGAGAGTTAATAATAAATAATAATCTAAACTAAAAGTTAAGAGAAATGTGTAAAAAAATCCCTCAAGTTGTATAGGCGGTTAGCATTGCGTTCTGCCGTAATAATTTTTCTAATTGTGGTCGCCCCTTGGCAGAGAGTGTCGAGCTCTCCACATGAGTTAACGAGAAAAACCCTCGTGGACCAAATTTACTTTCTGAAGCGGAAGGTGCCTGGTGATAAAAAGGGAATTACCCACAGCAATTTGGGTTTCGGGAAAAAACACGGAAATATTGAACAAGTAAATCGTATAACAAATGAAATAGAAAAAACTTTCGAATTTAAAGAGAGTTGATGAGCCATTTCCCTTGATGTGGCGCAAGCACTTGACAAAGTGTGGCATGATGGTCTCATTTATAAAAAGTCATTAGTCGACATATATGCCCAATACAGCCACAAAAATGACAAAAGTAATTGAAGAATGGCTACCGAAATGGCGCATAAAAGTTAATGAAAAGAAGTGCAAGCACATCACATCTCCATGAAGGTCAAGCTCAACGATGTTCCTATCCCACAAGCCAACGAAATCACATAACTTGGCATTCACTTGGATAGACGACTAACTTGGGAGCGACACATTTCTGCCAAACAGATGCAGCTAAAGCTCAAATTTTCCAGTTTATATTGGCTTTTAAGCAAGAAATCTGGATTCAGTCTTTGAGACAAAGTCCTTCTTTATAATGCGACTTGAAAACCGATATGGACGTATGGAACCCAGTTATGGGGTACAGCTTGCGCGGCGCGTCAATTCAGATTAATGCTAAAAAAACCTATAGCAACGTCAAACAAAAACAGTTATGATCGAAGGGTAATAAGTCCGCACAAACGGTTTTCTAGCCAGAATTTATGACCAAGTATGGTATTTAGTAGGATTATCAAGGAATCATCCACTATGAGTTTCTTCTCTACGACCAAACTCTTAATTCTAATCTGTACTGTCGACCATTGGACCGTCTAAACGAAACAATTACCTAAAAGCCCCCAGCTTTGGCCAAGAGGAGACCACACACATCGATAGTGTCCACCAGAAGCTCCGAGAGATTAGTTGAGATATTCTAATGGATCCTCCTTATAGTCCGAATCTCGCACCAAGCGATTACCATCTGTTCCGATTTATGGCGAGTTATTTGGCTGGTGAACAGTTAGCCTCAAGAGAGCCTATGAAAATCAACTGTGTTTCTATGAGAGAACATTATGCCTCAAAACGGCAAAAAGTTATCGATCGAAACGTTATATATATGACATAAGCCGGATAATTCTAAGTCTTCAATTAAATGAAAAAATAATGTAATACTTTTTACTAAGTCAATGTTTAATTGAAACAATAATTTGTAAATAAATTGAAACAGCTGTCGAAAAGGTCAAATGTCAAATGATATTTATTTTCTCGGTAAACTGCAATGATGGGACAACGACATCGTCACAATGTGATGTCCACTGAAAAACGATGACGACGCCATCATCATGGGGAATAAATTTTAAAAATACACGGTGTGTCCTAAAAATAACCGAACTTTATATTTAAATCATACAACATACAGCGCCATCTATTGAAAATTTGCAACATTCATCCTCTTTCAAATGCACCTAACTTCATGTAAGTCGGATGACAGATGTAAAAGTGACAGCCATTTCAATAAAACGAAAAGTGTGCTAATGGTTCAAAAATGAAATGGAACAAAGAGCAAATATAAAATTTTGTGTCAAACTTGAAAAAAGTTTATTGTGATGTGTGTATGAGTCGTACGCAAGTTTATACGTGGTTTACACGATTCAAAAATGGTCGTGAGGATTTAAATGACGGACGACCCTAGAGCAAGACGTCCAGAAACTAGTAATCGTGCTGAACTGGTGGAAAAAGTCCGTGAAATCATTGGTATCGATGCAAATTTTACTACGAGAATGTTGGCTGAGTTATTGAATACGAGTAAAAGCACCATTTGGAGAATTTTAACTGAAGATTTGGGGAAAAGAAAGGTCTGTGCGCGATTTGTTCCACATGAATTAAATGACGACCAAAAAATCGATCGAATTCTTAATGAAAAAAGGGGTTTCTCTCATCGACCATCCTCCGTATTCACCTGATCTATCACCATGTGACTGTTTTTTATTTCCAAAACTGAAAACCAAGATGAAGGGAGCATTTTATGATGATATCCCAGACATTCAAGCAGCCTGATCCCGAGGTACTGAAGAACATTTCTATAAATGACATAAAAAATCTATGCATGCGCTGGTTGATCGTTCCAAACGTTGTGTTGAGTCAAATGGAACCTATTTTGATTAAATAATAACTTTCAAAGATAATATAATGTGTATTTTATTTTATCTCCAAAAAGTTCGGTTATTTTTGGGACTCGCCGTGTATTTTCCTTTGGAGATCTCGTCTTTGATGGCGTGTTGGTCTTGTTGATGATTTTGCACCTCCGATAGGTACTTCTGCCATTTGTCACTTCTACCACGGTTCACCTGTGCAACCTCACATCGAGATTTATGAAATTTAGTCGTTGCAACAATAGTTGAAATTAGTAAAAAAAATACCATTTTTTAAATCTAACATTTTTCTCATTGTATATAAATCGATTTGAAAGAAACAAGTTTGGCTGAGCATTGCGTTCGTTAAGAAATATACGAGTATGTAAGAATAATTGCCAGTTGAGTACCAAAATTTGTGTAAGTCATGGAAAATAATACCGCTATTTGGATATGAGGAAATAATACTATATGAAAAACTGTTAAGGGAGAAGGGTAAAACCATTAAGGAATGATTTAAGGAACATGTTATGTAATTATTTTTTCTTCATTTTTTTGCCTCACAATAAACTATTCCATCGTTTAAGGAATAAGGAAGAACAATGTTCTGCTGGAAATGAAAATTAGATATTTAGATCTTGTGGCATTCTACTCCTATTCACATCATCTCTACCGTTCAGCGACCTGATTTTTCCGAGGACCAACATCAACGTGCATTTCTTTCATGGAACTCATTTTAAAGTGCTGTGTCCCGAACGTATATCCATATTACCATATTATATGTTGGAGTTTATGCTAATACACATTTACTTAAAGCGCGCTTGCAGCGCTCGAAGTGCACGAGGTGCCTGAAGTGGAGACACGAGTAGAAATTAAGAGTAGCTCTTAGTCGGAGGTAGCAAAACTATGTCGTATTTAGCCTCATTTGAAGTTCAGTACAAACATACAACTAGCTTATCAATTAAACGGCTGCTTAAAACAACCGTTTGAGGAACAAACATAAAACTCTTCCGCACACAGTCTCGTCAGAGTAAAAAGGGTTTTGAAAAGCGGTAATTTTTAAATTAATGCCTTGTTCTCGAATTGATGGAGTGTCAAGTTTAATAGGCAACGCCCCGTGGAAGTTAACCTAATGCGCATTTACCTATTTATAAAAATTAGGGCGAGAAATTTAATGTACTTCTGAATGATAGTCTACTACAATAGGTTTCTTACTCTCTCCCTCCCTCTCTCTGTTTTTTTAATAAAAGCAATATTCTTCTCTTTTCTCTTTATAGTTGGTGGTGCCCGTGCATCAAATTGAACACCAATCACTTATTATTTTGCGAATTGGCATCCCTTAACTTGAGTTGAGTTCTTCTCCACTTGATTTTTCAAACGGAAGAGAGATCAATGTCTTAATTAGCGGCTCCTACAATGAATATTTTCTAAGCTGAAGAGTTTTCGTTCATTTGGGTGGCATGACCTTGCCAACGAAGCGCTATTTTTAATCCGCCGAAAAATACCTTTGTCATCTTATATCTCGTTGAATCACCCTAATGTATGAATATGGTTGTATGTGCATATATTGGGTTGCCCCAAAAGAAACCGACGATCTTTCATACAGATGGAGTTGAGAATTTTTTTGAACATTTAATGTGTATTTTTTTACAGTTATAAGCTGTTACTTTTAGAGCGCTTTAAAAAAGTACGCATAATTTTGTTCATATTTGTTTGTTTGTTCACCATAACTTAATTTATTATTTCCTTAAAGGAAAAAATGCAGCGCAGGTTACTGAGAAATTACACAATTTCTATGGTGATCAGGCCTTAAAACAAATACAGTGTCGAAGTTGGTTTGTCAAATTCCGTTCGTGAGATAAGCCACATTCAGCTCGACCAAGTGAAGTCAATGGTGACGATATCAAGCTTTAATCGAATCGGATCGTCATGTAACTGACCGTGAGATTAAAGAGAACCTAAATATACCAAAATCTATCAATATTTGGACTGGTAAAAAAATCTTGATATTTGGATACCACATGAATTGAAAGAAATTCATTTGACAAACCGCTTCAAGGCTTGTGCTATGCATCTTAATTTTAAACGCAATGAATATGATCTTTTTTTTGAAGCAAATCATAACTGGACATAAAAAATGTATTGTTTACAAGCTTCCAAGGAACCAAACGATTAATTCGTATGCTTACTGTGAACAACTGGACAAATTAAATACTTCCCTCAACGAGAAGCGGCCAGAATTGGTTAATCGCGAAGATGATGCTAGACCGCACACAACTTTGATCACTCCCCAAAAGCTGGGGGAGCTTGGCTGGGAACTGTTAATGTATCCACCATATAGCCCTGACCTTTTACCGTCAGACTACCCTTTCGATCTTTGCCTAACTCATTAAATGTTAAAAATTTCGAAAATGACGAGGCTATAAAATCGTACTTGGTTCAGTTTTTTGCAAATAAAGGCAGAATTTCTATGACCGTGGAATAATGATGTTGTCGGAATGATGGCGAAAGGTCATCCAACATAATGGAATTACATTATTGATTAAAGTTTATATGAAATTTAATAAAAGAATCTTCTTTTAAAAAATCTCCATTTTCTTTTGGGGCAACCCAATACAATATATCCGGTCAATCATAAAAATGTAATATATCACTCATATGTGTTTGCACCATTCTTAAGCCATGGCTTTCGTAAAAATATTTAGTTGTGCGGAAGAGAGCGGGATAAGCTGATTTGGGGTATAGTTTTGGACAACTTTGTGGTTTTTTCAAATGTAGAATGCGAGAATTGACATCGGTAACGAATTTAGAGAGTATTGATGGGCCGTTTTCCTTGATGTGGCGCAAGCACTTGACAAAGTGTGGCATGATGGTCTCATTTCTAAAATTAAAAAATCATTAGTCGACATAAATGCCCAATACAGCCACAAAAGTGCCAGAGCAGCACCCAAAAGTAATTGAAGAATGGCTACCGAAATGGCGCATAAAAGTTAATGAAAAGAAGTGCAAGCACATCACAACTCCATTTAGGTCAAGCTCAACGATGTGCCTATCCCACATGCTAACGAAATCACATACCTTGGCATTCACTTGGATAGACGACTAACTTGAGAGCGACACATTTCTGCCAAACAGATGCAGCTGAAGCTCAAATTTTTCAGTTTATATTGGCTTTTAAGCATGAAATCTGGGTTCAGTCTTTAAGACAAAGTTCTTCTTTATAATGCGACTTGAAAACCGATATGGACGTATGGAACCCAGTTATGGGGTACAGCTTGCGCGGCGCGTCAAATCTAGATATACTACAAAGATTTCAGTCGAAAACATTGAGAATAATAACAGGCGCACCACGATAAATGCGTAATGTAAATATCCATAGAGATCTAAGCATATGCACAATTAAGGAGGAGATTGAAATCGTTACGTAAAAATACTAAGCAAAACTGCACCATCATCCGAACCCTTTGGGTAGAGTAGTAAAATATACTGCAGCGGATGTTTGTGGATGTTTTTTCAACAACGGGTGATGTTTTTTTTATGAGGAGCCTTTAATTTCACATCAGAAAAACTCACGGAGAACTTAATGCTCGGCTATCGCAGCCAAACGCTTCATGCTACTTATAAGAATAAAGGCTTTCTGTGTATATATTAAATTTAAAATTTCACATATATTTCACATAGATTGTTATAACTTTTGCGTTTAGCTCAATTATAAAGATAAAAGTTTGCCATTATGTTTTAAAAATGATTTCGGGCATGTAATCGTCGCGGCTAGCTCGATCGAGCCGCAGCGATACCTAATTTTCGACCACTTTTTGCTGCATTGGGATCGTACATCAACAGTAACGCGCCAAATACTCACTTCTAAGGCATCAAACGGCGCGGGCTTATCTTGAACATACACAAGCGACCTCACATGTCACCACAAAAAATAGTCCAGTATGGTATGTACCGCTGACTTGTTGGAATCAAGATCCTCAAATTCCAGCATGACAAAGTCATTAATCACTACTATTGATTACTATTGACTATTGACTTTAATATTATGGGCGGTTTCTTTTTTGAAGAAATATTGACTCGCAACTCCCTCTACCCTCTCTACTACTCTAGCACACCAAGCAGTGACTTTTTTAGAATGATACGATTTGATGCACTCCAAATGCGACAAGCTTGTTAATTGCTTACTCATTTAACCTTGGATGAGCTTCATCACTGGACAAAATTATCGTTTTGAAATTAGGGTCGGTAGTCATCTCGTTATGGGCACATTCAGCAGAAGAGCGACCTTATTGATGGTCATTCAGCTGCAATTGCCCACAACCCAAGGTTCTTCTGCAAAATGTCTTGTATAGCGATAACGGATGGTCTCATTCGAGTCTTCTTTGATACTCTGTTCCATCGCGGCAATGGCATCTCGATGCGCACTGTGAAGCGTCTCTGAGGATGCACATTGTCCCTTAGAGTAAACGCGCTACGAAACCGATAGATGGTTGCTGGAATTACCGACTCTGGGCGACCAGGACTGAATATAAATCAAGTGGAAACTGTTAAAAAGGGCTGACCTCGAAAAAAAAATTTTAAAAACAATTATTATCAACTAAGAAAATTTATAAAAATAATGAAATTAGAAATTACTTTAGATCTAAATAGAGTGCGAAAGTTGTGATTAAAACAATCATTTTTGTGAAATAAAATATTCGTAATCTCATTTATGCAAAATATTATCGTTCAAGCCTTCCTTAGAAATCAAAGACACGGATATTATTCTCTCTACCTAGATGAAATAACTTAGGATAACATAAACAAGAACAACAACAACATTCTTCGAATAATCTTAAGTAGCAAACTTATCTAGAGCCGAAATAGAAAGACGAAGAAAAGTTAAACTGCGCTATGCGCTTGGGAAGAGATTATTGGCAGCGCAGAACCCTTAGGAGAAATAATTCAAAAATTGCTCTAGATCAAAAAGCAATTAGACGACTCCAAGCTGAATAATATTGACTGCTAGATTATTCCAGCAACCAAGCTATCATTAGATTCCTACAAGTCGACTATACGATATGACGCAATAAAATGTTAATTCATTCTATACAGAGTTTTAAAAAAATAGGCATCCGGACATACACAAGCCTGCAAGGTAAGAAACCATGTTAATCAATAGGATATCTGCACATGCTAAAACTATCGCAATGAAACCACGTCTTATCAGATTTTGCCAGTGCTAGACGCCAAAAGGTCCAATTTATTTACTCCTTCTACACTGGATCTCCATCGGTAAAACAACTGTCAAAATTACGGGATGTGCCTTAATGGAAGCTTCATTAAAAAATGAGTTGCTTTTGTTGTAACTGCCGGCGCCGAAAGAAAGAACTGTCAGTCGAACACCACCTTTCTATCTTTTCTCTCTCGCAAAAGACAAGCTCCGCATTTATTAGACATACCAATTGGTGTTTGAAAAGAACGTTTTAGTGGCTCCTCATACTAAAACTATCAGCCGTTCTGAGATGAAAAATATCAAAAACACAACACAAATTGGAAGAGGAGCTCGGCCGAAAATTGGTCTAACGACTGCGAATCTCTTATTGTATACAATAATAAATTTAAAATAAAGTAAATTAAGTTAAAATTCAAACAAATATATTAAAATTATGATATATAAAAACACAATAAATATAATCAGAAAAAGACAAACTAAAAACAAGAAAGAAAGGTTATCTTCGGGTATGCCGAAGTCTTTATGCCTTTCCAGACCATAAATGTATTTATGGTTCAATTTACATGTTTCTGACGAAAGAAAAATCCTATTCATAGTTCTTGTTTAGTTGAAATTATTTTTTACGGGAAGTGGTTTGATTTGGTTAAGATTTCTGATGATATGCCCAAATGAGATACTTTCTTTCCTGAAAATGGATGAAAATGGCCCTGATATCAAAATCGATTTGCTCGAAATATAATATTGGTGCTTTATAACCGCTGAAACGATTTTCGACCGAGCTTCTCCTCCGATTTGTGGTTTTGCGTCTGAATGTTTTTTCAACAAATTCCGAAATGCTTTATTTCATGTCAGAAATTGACATTCCCTGCTGAGAGGCGACCGCAATTAGAACATTTAATTGAATTTTTTATTTAAATTAACTTTATATAAGTTTTTGGACATAAGACACCAGGAAGCTCGAAATATAATTGATACTTTTTTATTTTTTTTTATTTGATGTTTTTCTAATAGTTCTTTGCAATGTCAATTACAATAAAAATTGAAGAAAATACAGAAAACCACAACGACCAGCGGCGGTTTTTTCTAGTTTCTATATAAATGATGATAAGATGTTTTTTCACGGATCTTCGGCCCAAAACAACAAATCGATTGTATATATTTTATTGTAGTCCAAACTTAACGGTTACGTCAGATGATCGCTTAAATGTATAAGTGTATCTGTGTATCCAGTTTGGTTGAAAGATTTCAACAGTGGCACATGCCTAAATCAACTCAACTCGACACTCCGACCTGATCGGTATCTAATTTGGCAGGACTATCTCTTATACTTATTCTTCTTCTCCTGATACTTACATATCTCGGACCATAGCTACTATGCCATTGCATATACACATAAGTGAAAGGTATGAAAAGGAAACAAATTCAAATAATTTGAAGTCAAAGAAATTATAAGAAGTAAAAGATTAGTTAATTAAAATAAAATAAATTTATTAGAATAAAATTAAATGTTCTGATAAAAAAATATATAAAATAAAATAAACACTAAATTTAATTGAATTAAAATAAACAAAATACAGAAATTAAAAACAAAATTAAAATAAAAAAATAAAAATATAAAAATTAAAAATAAACAAATAATAAAAAAATAAAATAAAATGTTTAGACTTTTGACTTGTAAAATATAATAATAAATTTATTAAATTTAAAAAAGACACAAGTTGCCGCATAACAACAACCCAGGAAATTACACACAACGAAGCATTTATGCAAATATAACTCAATAAATGAAGTTAGTATGTATGAGCAACACCAACCGCCGAAGAAAGTGCACAAAGAAAATTCAAGAAATTCTCCACACAGTAATTGAAAAGAAACGAGCCCAAGAAAAAGTCAATTCCACTTCAACAGCGCAACTCAAAGCGCTAAACTCAAGTGCTACGATGGCATTGGCATTGGCGAAGAGGCATTGGAAACCACAACAATGATATGAAATTCCATGATCGGACAAGCGGTTTCTTTCTTATTATGTTGTTGCGCCACCATCAACCGACCAGAGGTTCAATGTTTAGGTTAATCATGCTAACATTTCAGTTGAGTGGCAGCTTTTGACGGAACTAGTTCCACTTTTTGGGGAATATAAAGAAAGAATAAGAAATCTCATTTATGTAGTGCTTAACTAAAATGAAAATTAAAGAAAACAAGTGTTAAGTAGAAGCAAGTACAGAAATATATGTGGAGAAAAGTGTATTTTAAAGTACAATAACTGGAAATCAATTTCGAAAAGAAACTGGAAAATAATTTTAAGTGCATAAAACTCAGTAGTAGTTTTATTAAATTCCGTTGCAATGGATTACCGTTTACTATTGGTAGGTTTAACTAGATACAATAATAATGTTTTTTTTTATGGGAAGTAAAGTAATTTTCCGCTAAAAGTTAATGAATTTTTATATGCAAAAATTCATATCGTGCCTGCTAATTTATTAATCGTTTTTCATACAACTTGACGTGTGATATATATAATATACACGTATGTATATGTAGTTTGGACAACATTCATAATCTCTGCAACATGTTCTAGATGTTTGTCCCGTTTTCTTGTAAGTCAGTGTACACAACATTTGCACCATAGCAAAGTAATTAGTTTTGCACTCTTTCTCCACTTCGTACACATTTGGCTGCATGGATTTCGTTGAATGAAGTTTGTTGCTTAACTCTTTTGTTCCTAGAAGTTTTGCGCGTTGTCGTGAGAATCTACATGTCTATGCATATACACATTTGTATATATGTATATGTATATGAGCACTTTTTAGCTATTTTCCTGGGACTTTTTTATCTTTTGTAAGCTGTTTTTCATAAATTTCTTTTTATTTTTTTAGATACCAAATTTGTTCGAAAATTAGGCAAACATTTTTATTTTACTTTTAATATTTTATTTACTTAATTTTGGCATAAACATTATTTGCAATGCCAATTTATGCCTGTTAATTTTGTTTTTTATTTAAAATAATAAATAGCTTTAATGCTTGCACCAAAACGGAAAGAATAGATTATTTTCTAAGCGTGTTCTCGTTCGTTTATTGTAATGTAAATGTGGAGTAAAATGTAATAAGCGGAAATTACCGTTACTTAATGCTATATACACATTTATATGAATATATACATATTTACATATTTAGAACGATTCTTCACACATTGTTGGCTAGGCTCGTGTCTCATCTCTGAGTTATGATTGCCTTTATGATTCAATCTAATAATATGAATATTTTGTAAAAAAAAAAAGTACATTTGTATACATATAAATAGCAGGAACACTACTTGGCTCTGCCAAGTTCAGATTTTAAAGTAGTAATATTTAGTCTGAAGATGTTTGTATAAGCGCCACGTATTTTTTTTAACTGTCGCTGCTAAAAAGTCGATCACGATTTGCCGTTGCTTTCTTTTTGCGTCTCTCCAAATTAGTTTTTTGTGTGTATTCGTTCTTACTGACACCTCAACAGCCTTACACTTTGCTTACGACACGAAATGGTAAACAAATTAATTACGAAATAAACAGTAACTGACATTATTTGGCAAAGAGTTTGATGTGACTTGAATATATGTATATGTATGTATAATATTAAATTAAAAATAAATATAAATAAATTGAAATAAAATAAAAGAAATAGCTCTAAAAAGAAAATAACATAAGGTAATTCAAGTATAAAATAAAATAAACTAAAATAAAATAAAGTGCATTAAAAGAAGAAAATGAAACAAAGTAAACTAAAAAATTAAATAAAATGAACTTAAAATTAAATAAATAAATGTAAATTAAAAGAAATAAAATTTAAATTAATTTATTGCTATTTAATTAAATTAAAGAAAAAAATTAAGAAAAATAGAGTAAAAAAAAAACTAAACTAAAGTGAAAAAAATAATTATATACATATATAAGGGAAAATAGCACAATATAAATTGTTTAAAATGGAATTAAAAAAAATGAAATAAATGAACTTAATTAAATTAATTAAGATGATACGAAATAAACCTTAAACAAAATATATCAACTATTTAAGTAAAGAATTTAAAATGAAATAAGGTACAACAAAATAAAAAAACAAACAAACAAATTTAGAACAATAAATAAAAACAAATAGAAATAAAAGAAAATACTTCCAAAAAACATAATAACCTACAGTAAGTAGGCAAAACGATAAAATGTAAAGAAAGAAAATAAAACCAAATTTAAATCATTTAAATTAAAAACAAAAAAATTAAGAAAAAAAATTAATTTGAAATATAATCGACATTAAATTAATGAAAATAAAATAAATTACAATCAAAATTAAAATAAAAAGAAAAAATTTATTTATAATTAAACTATATAAAATTTGTTAATAAGGTAAAAAACTAAAGTAAAGTATATTTACATTAAAGAAAATATAATAAAATAAATCTTAATAGTATTTTTATAAACAAAATAGAAAAAGCTAAAATAATACAAGAAAATTTAATATTTCAAAATTGTATCAAATAAAGAAAATAAAATAAATTATAATTTAATGAAAGAAAATAAATAAATCAAATAAAATAAAGAAAAAAAAAAACAAAAAATAAATTAAATTAAAGAAAGTAAAATAAAACAAAAAATTAAATTAAATTGAACAAATAAACAAATTTTATTAAATTTAATATAAAAAAAACAATAAAAAAATAAATATTAAAATATATTCAAATAAAAAATAAAGTGAATCAGATTAAGAAAAGAAATAAATAAATTGTTTTATAACACAACATAAAATAGCATAAATAAAGTTAAATTTTATATAATTTATTAAAAATTAATAATAAATAAAAAAGAACAATTAAACATAAAATGGAATAAAATAAAATAACTGTAAAAAAATAAAATAATAAATAAAATTAAATAAAACAAAATCAAGTGAAATTAAACTAAAATAATAAAATTAAGGAATATAAAAAGATAAATTAAATAAATGATAAAACGCATGAACAAATAAATAAAAAATTATAAAGACAATTAAAAATTATAAAGATAATAATTAAATTAAAGATAATGAAATGAAATTAAATTAAATTTTTAAATAAGTTTATTAAAAGGAAAAGTAGATTTAGTTCCATAAAATAAAATAACACAAAATAAAATGAAAGAAGTTAAAATGAAATTAAATATAGGCATGTAGCATAGAATATAAAATAGAAAAAATAAAACTTCACGCCACCATCACACTTTCGGCAACTCGCTCGCCAAGTAAATTTATTTTAGAAACTTTCTTACATATTTGCATTCCATCTTCTGAAACCGTTAGTTTATTCATTTAAATGTGTATTTATGACGCTTATAACATTTACATTTCTCCCGGTTTGTTAAGCAGCTAAAGCGGCAAGCGGCAACAGTAACAAGAAGCAGATAAATGTTAAGATAGCAAAAGCCAACTCAATAACAAACCAAGTATTTATGTGTGTGTGTGCGCATAGGTATGTTTACATGTGTGCATGTGTACTGAACTGTCTTGAATCTTAAGTGTTGACGTCTGACCTAATTCATCTGTTTTGGTATGCAAGCCGAGAGCGCCATAGTCCGTGTCTGATTTATGCCACAATCTCTTAGGTCCCCCCCCTCTATTTCGCTGCACACTTGTTCTAAAAATGACACAAATACTGTCTGTTGTAGCACACCCATTTAATGAATATGAAAATGATAAATACTGGAATTCCAAAAAATACCATTATCATCATCACAACAACAAGAACATCAACAACAACAGTAAATAATTTTTGTTTTTTTCTAGTTATTTATTTTTTAATGATAAATAAAATGAAAGGGAAAAAATCAGTAACAGCAGTTATTTCAAAATTTATTTACATACGTGTATTGATTGTGTAGTAGTGTGTGTAAATATGTTAGCAGCAGTGACAGTGGAAATAAGAATTTCTGTGGAATTATCTGTTGTGGGAAGAAAGTAACATGCACTTGAAAGGTCAAAGAAATCGCGCGCCATTCTCTGCTTGTTGCTACTGTGGTTTTCGAGAGCACTTTTTCTTAAGTGGAAGTCAGTGAGATGCTGAAGGGTCACTTTTGATTTCACTTAACAATTGAAAAGTGTGTAAATGAAAAATGTGAATTCATTCTCTTTAATAAGCGGAAGTGAAATTGAAAATTTCGTTTTCTTACATATGGCTTTCATTTTTTTCTTTCAATATCTCCAAACAAAAGATAGCTCCTACAAACCAAAAGCACGTGTACTTACTTTGCTGTAATAATTACTACTAAAGCACTAACTGCTATTTGTTCATAAATTTCGATTGAAAACAATGAAACGTCAAACAAAATTCATCATTTGTATCAGTCTAAAGAGTTGGACCGACATCGGCAAAAAAAAATTCTGTTAAATATCATAGTTCATAGGCAAATGAGAGACCGAGCAAGAGTCAGCGAATGTCTGGGTTGCTAAATGTTTTTTGAGAACAGTTATAGCTTTCGTTATTTAAAATAAAAAAATCTTTTCGAAAATTTTTACCATTCTTGCCAGGTTTCAGCCATTACTGGACTTCTTACAAAGTACTCCTCTTCCACAGAAATCCGTTCTTGTCTGATGTCTAATTACAACGGCCGTAATATCCGAGTGGTTAGTATTGCGTACTAACATTGGAGAGGCAAGGGTTAAAGTCCTAGAGTCCTGGTCTGACTAAACATCCAAAATAATAGGAAGATTATACCGAGATTGATTTTCCTAATTGTGGTCATACCTCGGCAAGGATTGTCAAGCCCATCAAGTGTATTTTAGATACGAAAATCAAAGATTTCCATAAAAATCCATCGGATGTTCGTAGGCGGCTTATAAAAACTGTAGCTCCCTCTCTTTATTGGAAAAAAATCTAGACGCAAGCCGCAAATGGGAGGAGGAGCTCAGTCTGCAGCGATTACAAAACGCCAAGTGGTTAGCATTGCGTACTGCCATTCGGAAGGCTTGGGTTCAAGTCCTGGTGTCGGACTAACATCCAAAAAGTTATAGGGCATTAATTTAAATAAAAAATTAAGCTAAATTTTCTAATTGCCGTATCCCTCGGCAGGGAATGTCAACCCCTCCGAGCGTATTTCTGAGATGAAATAAAGCTCTTCATAAAAAAACCCGTAAGCTATTCGGAGACGGCTTAGTATAAGCTGTAGGTCCCTTTATTTGTTGAAAAAACATTCAGACGCAAAACCACAAACTGGAGGAGGAGCTCGACCAAAAATCATGTCAGCGGTAACAATGTGATGTCGATAAGTTCAGACTAAAGAAAGGGAGGACTGTTTTAGGCGGCATACAAAGATGAGTTTTATGGCGTACAAGGACTCATTTAATCTTGAAAATAAAGTATGTATGTCTCTAATTCCTGTTGCACAAGCTGGGCTACATTTGCCTCTATTGTCACATAAAGAGTAAAACATTTGTATATCTGATAAAAGAATTTGAAGTGGTAGTGAAAAGAAGGCTAAAATACATAAGAGCTCTACAGACCGAGAACAATTATATCCATTATATCCGGCAGTTCCTTATTAAATGGTTAAGTACGAAGAGAATAATAGACCTATGGTCGCATTACGAATCCTCAACATTGTCTATATATCTATGATGGCATCGAGTCTGGATAGTTAGGAGTTAAATCTACTACAGCATCCAACTCAATCTTCCCGTTCGCTATAGGTGGTTGTGTACCGCTGCCACTATTCACTGAAAGATAGTTAAGGAAAGTGTTTCCTGATACTCTACTCTGTAAATAGCGCTTCATGTCTGCCGGTAGTACGTTGTACTCCCCGGTTCTGTTACGTATTTCTGAACGGAGTCCCTATAGTCTTATACTTCCTTCCTTCTATACCAAAGAGGATGTTCTACTTTGAGTAGATATCTACAGGGGTAATCCAAAAAGTGGCACTCCAACATTGTCATTATACCTCTCTCATAGAAAACATGACAAAAATTTTAGACAATATTTCAAGGCCTGGTTGGTGAAGAAACCAAATTATTCGCTATAGACAGAAATAATTGGTAAAAACTCGGTGCGAGGTCAAGACTATAAAGTGGATACATAGGGATCTCCCAAACAAGTCCTCGGAGCTTCTGCCAAGTCACTAGCAATGTGTGGGGTCTGGTCTGATGAAACGTAATTCCCCTCCTTTTTGGCCAAAGCTGGGCTCTTCTAGGTGATTGCATTCCTCAGACAGTCCCATTGCTGACAGTACAGATTTGGATTAAGAGTTTGGCCATAGGGAAGGAGTTAATAGAGGATTATTCCTTGCTTTTATGTGGCACTAAAATAAAATTTTCTTGACTTGGAGACCGTTTGTGCCGACTCATTCCCTTGGACCAAAACCGTGATCCACTTTCCCTCACCAGTCGCCATCCGTTTCAGAAATGGGTTGAGCAGCGATTCGCAAATGGAAATTCGGTCCATGAGGTTTTTTCTCGTTGACTCATGTGGTACCGATACATGGAGTTTCTTTGTGCACACATTATGTTATATCGACATTTTCTACAAATGGCCTACCACACCGTGGAACGTCTTTTATATCAAAATTATCTGCACTAAACCAAATTGTGCAATAACAGTGACTGTTACAGTATCAGAACCGTAAACACTATTTACATTTTAGGCTGTCTGACTAAGGTGTCCGCCTTTATGGAAAAAAAGTTGGAGAGTAAGGCATATTTTCTCTTTGTTGGGTGTACATCTTGACATGCCCTCAAACACCACTTAGTTAAGTGATTATTTGCACTTCCCCCTCTTTTTTAATGCAAAATATCATCTTTCTAACACCATCTAGTGTGATTCAGTAGCTTTTAAAAAATACAGACCAACAAAGCCTTCTAGTGCAAAAATACTACTAGACCTTTAAAATTGGCGGTTTATAAGCGCTGAAGTAACTTTAAGTAAAAATAATTCTAAAATATATAAGCACTCTTCCTATCCGACAACTGAGCTCGAAGATGTACCAACTTGTTAGTAAGATTAATAATCTGCCAGCCCTCTTTGACGGAAACCCAATGGATACAGTTCATAAACCACAATATCAGTGTGAACAAATGAAGCAATAAAAAAACTGCTTCAGTTTCTTTTTAAAGTTGTAAACATGCATATATGAGTAATATTTATAAAGGTATACATACATAAGTATGTATGTATGTATACACATATTAACGTATGAAAGCTTGTACTAATGAAGGTATGCACTTTTACTTCCAATTCCACTTGAGGCAACTTACATTGAAGAAGAACAAATAATAAGGTCTAGTTGAAAGAAACAAAAAAAAAATAAAAAATAGTCAAAAGAAATAAAAAAAGGCAAAAAAATACACAAAATAACAATGAAAGTGTTTGAAGTTATTGAAAGATTTCAGTTTTGTGAAATGTTGAAATGTTACTGCTCTGCCGTTGAAGTTTTCTTTATGATATTTTTGTTGTCTACCATATTGTACAGTAAATAAATAAAACAAGAAAAAATATGTGTATATACAAACAGTAACTTTCGCCAAAAAATTAATTGTTGGCGGTTTATTTTATGAGACAAATGACATTTATAGTTGATTTTGTATACATACATATGTATATATGTACATACATATAAAAGTATGTATATATTGTAAATTGACAACTGTATGTTGTTGCCAATTGTGGTGGCGTCTGTTTTGTTGAAAAATAAATAAATAAATAAAAAAGTAAATATTTCATTAAGAAATAATATTAATAAAATATATTAATTTGTTAGCTACGAAATGAACAATTTTCACGTATATACATACATCACTTTTATTAAACTTTGATTTTTATATAGCGTGATAACTTTTTCTCACTGCCGCTAGCAAAATGAATTTATTTTATTAATACTAATTTTATGGGAATATCTAATATACGTGTATGTTCAAATGGAAAATATAAGCAAGCTGTATTGTTTTCCATTTTCAGCCACCTTTATTTGAATTTTTATATTTTATTTTTGTTATACTTTTGTGATATTCACATTAAAATACTGCAGTATTCAAATTTTGAAAATATTCACTTTCACATGTCCGACTGTTCTGGCGCGATCATTAATTTAAATTAGCTTTTATTTTCATTAGCTATACATGGTGCTGTTATTGATTGCTTTTACAATAATTCATTATAATAATTATAATTGATTGTTTTTGTCAAAAATTTTTAGTCTCGTCGGTTTATCATATTTTAATAATTTAATTTTATTATTATCCAATGCATAAAAAAAATAAATGATAATTATTTAATAAATGAAATAATAAATTTAAATTATAAATAAGTTAATTTTGAAATTCTTGACAAAAATTGATTAATAATTAGTCCCGGTTCGTAAAAGCTTTACATTTCATTGAGTAGAATTTAAATAAATGCATTGAAAGTAACCATATTTACTTACTTTACTGGCGTAGACTCCGCTTACGCAATTCTAGCCGATTGAACAACATTGCGCCATTCGTTTCTTCTTTTCGAGGTTTGGCGTTACAGCCAGGTCTTTCTCTACCTTGTATTTCCAACGGAGTGAAGATCTTCCTCTTCCTCTGCTTCCACTGGCGGGTACTGCATCGAAAACTTTCAAAACTGGAGTATTCACATCCATACGGATCACATGACATATCCAGACTAGCCGCTGCTTTTTGATTCGCTGAACTATGCCAATGTAGCCGTACAGCCGTTGCCAACGCACAAAGGACCATAAATATTACGCAAAATCTTTGGCTCGAAAACTCCTAACGCCAACTCATCGGATGTTGTCAACGTCCATGATTCCGCACCATATAGCGGGGCGGGAACGATGAGAGACTTGTAGAGTCTGCCTTTAATCTTACCAAGACATCAACCAGCTGGGTAGCGGCACCTTCTCAATTAAGGGACCGAACATTCCAGATGCATGCCCTCAAATCGTAATCCTTAATTCTTTTGCGTAGGTCGTCAACAGAAAGTGGGTATCTCATCCGAGGCGTTGATAACTTTTTCATTGAAGCTGGTTTAAACGTGGCGGGTCCCAAACCCAGCGCACAACCTCGCTAGGCGAGTAAGATTAAAGATTTTACACATTTATATAGCGAGCCGCTTTCTTCAACACCAACCCCCGCTCACAGCCGCACTTTTAGCGAAAACTGAATAAGTCAGAGTTGCTCCTCTGAAGTTTCTTCTCTCATTAGCAGTGAACCAAGGCTCCACACAGGTTAATTACCGCACAAGGGTTGTTCACGTTTCCGGGGTGCGCGACGTGTACGCAAGAGTAGGAGTTCAGTATAGCCTCGCAACACCCCCAATTGAAATAGCCTGACCATAAAATTTCATTTGAAGTCTGAACCGTGGCATTATATGTTAAATACTACATCATTCAGCTGACGGCCTAACGAGGTTTTGCAAACATCGATCCGTTTCATATAATTTGCGACCACTTCTTGGCACATATTGGGCGGTATGTAAGTCATTACTTGACGAATTTTGGTTTTCAAGTGCTCAAGAGTTAAATGCATCATAGAAAAGATCCAGCAGTATCAAATCCCACGATCTCGGTGGCTACTAGACTACTTTTACTCCTGCTGTGTGGGATGTGACACCAGTTTTTTTCAAATCACATATTGTTCAAATCGCGTTCTTCAATTGGCGCCCAAAACGGAATATTTTACGACCATAATGCTCCGATTTTACAGTGACAGTATCAACGTTGTCGGTAAGGTCTAATCACACTTCCGGACCAAAAAGCGCCCCGATCAGTCATTTTTTTTCTTATTATTCTAGGAGCTCTAAATACGCCAATTTTGCTTATTTGCATATTTTTCAAACAAAGAATGTGCCTCGTCGATGAAGAAATGTTTGTTGAAAAAAATCATCGTCTACTGGCTTCAGTTGTTGTGTACGTGACTTTATATATGGAGTTAGGTGTAATTCCAACTACAAAATATGCCACTAATTGTGTAAGAGAGTCTCAACTCTTGAGAACGTCGAGAAATAGACACATTGGGGCCTTTAGTTAAACTCTCACTTACTTGCGATATTTGAGGTGGAACGGACAAAACGATGATTCGCATATTATATTTCTATTAATATTTTACCAAGAAATTACAAAAGTCATAAATATATGTATGTCAACTAGTATCACTTAAATAATCAGAGTACTTAATTTTTATTTTACAGAAAATTTTTTGCATCTCGCTTATCGCCGTTGATACATCAGCGCAAGCGCAAAACGATTATGGCGAAGAGCCACCAGAAGGTTATTACGCTTTTGTCGAATCACCAAATTCGGTACCGCCAAAAGTACGTCCACCACCCTACACGCACGTCAGTGCGGATTGTAAAAATGTAGGCGGCAACAAAAAGGCTGCTGTGTCGGTCAACAACATTTGCGGTGATCTAAACAAGGGGCAAATACCACAAAATCCTATGAGGCAAAATGTGCTGGGAGAACCATATCCATTGTAAACAATATTTTAATTAAATAAAAAAGTAGTATTAATAATATAAAAAATAAACGTTAAACTTTCCAGTGAATTAATACGCAATCAGACGCTGAAATTTTTATCCAAGACTTTGCCTGTGCTCAAAGCTGACGACACTCTGCCGAAGGTGACACAAATTATACGTGATGAACCGGTCGATCAAGTGGAAAATAACAATATCGATCGACACTATAGTACACGCGCGAAACGTTCGACGCCACCACAACCGCAAAGTCAGCCAAGAAATGAGGGACACGAATTCGGCTATTACGATCCGGCATTGGACGAAGAGCAGCGGGAAAATAATCGCGTAACGGAGGAACGAAAACCACGCAAATTTTGCGATGGTGGCGGTGTGTAAGTTCAAATCATTTATTTTATTTTAAAGCGGTTACTTAAATTTTCACATCCCCCCCCCCCCCACACACAGCTTCTGCACATTGTATCGCGCCATACAAGGTGACACTTCGACTACACCACAAGCCACTGCCGAGCGACGCGAAGAAGTCGGACCTATACGTTACGAAGGCCCACCAACACCCTGTCCAGCTAAAGTTGAGTACGCCACACCGGTGTTCGCGAAAAATTACCAGGGTTTCTGGCGTTATGTAGTGCAAATTCCATATGAAGGCTATTTCACACAAACCGTCGAGGTCACACGTTGCATACAAGCACGTTGTCATTACCTAGATGGCGGCTGTTTGTCATCACCGCGTTGGGTTAGCTTACTTGTTGCGGAAATTTTCTATCCAAATGCCGAGGAGGCCGTGCCAACCACATCAACGACTACACCAGCACCATCCGTACAAGATTTCCAGGCATATCAACAATATCTACAGAAGCGTGCCGGTGTAGCTACTGCCTCTGACGGCACCAGCCATAGTAATAATGGCAATTCACCCGATTATAATCAACATTGCGATGGACACGATGAAATTGGTTGCTTCCAAGTGCGTCTGTACTATGATTGGTTTTTGATACCGGGTTCATGCAAATGCTGGCGTCCTGATTACTTTGCCAAATATGTGCGCAGAAAATCTGTTGCGGATTTGTAAATCATTGAGTCCTTTTAGAGTATGTAGATAAATACTCATAAACATACTGTATGTCGAGATCACATATCAAATGTCATCTTCATAAATTAACTCATAATAGACTTACTCATGCTGTCCTGCCTCTGAATCTTGCATTTAAACGTAAATATGTATTAATTTAATATATACTCGTATATTATTCAATTAGTTTTACCGGAGCGAAGGCGTTACTTGAAGCTTTCATTCTAAAATTCCAATTGTAGTGAAGTCTAAGCCATTGGCTTTCACGAATTCGGGAATTTTCAGAGTTTTAACTTCACAACTACTAACATTTATATTTACTGTTTAATTTAGGATTTTATTTAAAACCACTTAAGCTAAAAACTTTTAAAAAAGACTCATGTTTACATATATATTTTCAATATTTTTATCTTTGTATACTTGAAAAGTATACAATTTTACTAGAATGTAATACTTTTAACCTACAAATAAAGCATGTCTTTATCAACTAATCATAATTATCAGAAAATATATATACATTCATACAAATAGAAAAAAATGTAACTCCTATTTTTAGGTCTTGTTCTGCATATTTTAATGGTATCAAAACTCTTAAGGCCTCATCAAATGAAATATATTAAGATAATTAAATGGATCGCGAAGTTCTCCAAGATCTGTAGAGTATACCTTCGAACACACTCTCATAGTGTGGTGAATTCTAAGGAATGCACTGGTGTGATTTGCATGTTTTGATATAATTTCATGTAAATTTTCACTCACTCAATTGATGTGATCTGCAAGATTTGATGTGATTTTTTACTAGTGGAAATGATGTGATCTGTATGTATTGATCTGACTTTTCAATAATTAAAATATGCAGGATTTTATATGATATTTAGCTAATTCAATTGGTAATTTTTTGTGAATTGCATGATCCGATACGTTTTTCTTACTAATTTAATTGGTGTGAAATGAATGCTGTGATTTTTAGCAGTTTAATTTCTGTGATCGGCATGATGCGATGTGACTTTTAGTTAATTGAATTGATGTGATATGATTGATGTGATTTTTAATTAATTGAGGTGATGTGTTCTGATTTTATGTGAATTTTTATTCATTCAATTGATGTGATCTGTATGAGTTTTTGCTAATTTTAGGTGATTTTTTTCTAATGCAGATGATGTGATCTGGATTATTTGATGTGACTTTTTACTAATTGAGTTGATGTGATATGCATGAAGTGATCTAATTTTATGCGAACTTTTATTGATTAAATTGATGCGATCTGTATGATTTTATGCTAATTTATTTAATGGAACTTATTTAATGGGATTAATATGATTTGAAGTGATTTCATACTAATGGAGATGATTTGATCTGCATTATTTGATATGGTTTTTTGTTAATTAAATCGATGAGATCTGCATGATCTGCATGATCCGCTATGATTTTCTACTAATTCGAATGGTGCGATCTGCATGATTTGATGCGATTGTTATTGTAGTTAATTATTTTTCGAATTTTTATTTATTAAATTGATATGTGATCTGTGTGACATATTGTCAAATTAATTTAATCTGATTAGCCTGATTTGAAGTGATTTTTTGCATGATGTGATTTTTGACTAATTGGGGTGATGTGATATGATTTGATGTGAATTTTTACTAAATTAATTGACGTGATCTGTTTAATTTGATTTGATGTTTTGCTAATTTAATTAATGTGATAAGCATGATTTGAAGAGATGTTTAACCAATTGAGATGATGTGATCGGCACGATTTGATGTGACTTTTTAGTCATTGAGATAAGGTGATTTACAAGATTTGATATGATTTCTTACCTCTTTAAAAGATATCATCTGCCAGATTTTTTTAAACAAGAATTTCTATCAAATTCAATGTAAAAGTGCCGCTCGAAAGAATGTGTCCTACAAATTTTCTTGTTTTTATTCTCATTATGCGAAAGCTCACGACATCTTACAACAAAGCCCTTAAACGTGTGTTTCATTGTTGCTATCAGCCGGACATCGGAACACACTCATATCCATTTTCATTCAATTCAAGTTAAAGAAAATAATAAATGCATCAGATGCCCCCTAATCTTTCACTCCATTTTATTTGAATCTGACAATTATCGGGATACATCATATTGCACCGTTAATAATTCTAAAATGATCATATTTGTTGTTATGTCGAAGGCTTGTTCCTTATGTATAGCGAATTGAAAATATTTTCACATATATACAAACATATTTTTATAATTACAGTTATAAACAAAATTATATGTACATATATAAAGGTATACACGTATATACAAATTATTTCAACTAATTATGCCGTGCAACATTAAAATGAATTTATTAAGAAATTCAAATAACTGTGAACCACAGCCCGAGATGGAGTACTATTAGCCATGCTCAACGATTCACTTCTCATTATACAGTTGCATGTAAATATTGCATTTTTGCACAACACATGTTATATATGTACGTACATATGTATGTATGAGTACATGCATATAGTTCCCAGGTCGCTTGCACCAAGTTGAGCGCAAAATTTGCAAGAGACAAAAAAATATGCGAATATGCGATTATGCGCTACTCAACACACGATACAGAAATTATGATGAACAGAAGAACATAAATATGAAAATAAAATAAATAAAAACAATAAACACAACTGCACTAGGAAGAGGGCAAAAACCAGATTCGAATCCGATTACAGGTAGCCGGAGCGCAGCAGCAACAACAACAGTGCTAGTGCTTTTAGCGCAAATTGAATGCAGCAGCAGCCAAGACACCGCCAACTAGTCAAGCCGGGATGTAAAATGTACTGTAAGCCATGCTCAGACATGCATCGAGACCAATTCTTCGTGCGTCGCGCCGCACCGCGTTGCTGTTATTTGAACGCAAGCGCGCGCGCATGCTCATCATACACTGCGTGCCAAAGACTATTGTTGTGACGCACCGTCGACTGTCCGTTGTCTGCCTTTTCTATCTGTTTTGGTATTTATTTTTTGTATTTGTGTTAAGTTTTTTTTTCTGTTTTTGCACATTTCTGGCGTGATTTGCTTTATTGACTTCTTCTGGTTGTGCAGTCTGCATAGAATTCTTGTTTAAAAATAGATTAGGAAGCTAAGGAACCCTTTTAAACACTCGCTGTGAGCGCTAACAACCAATGGACACGAAGTCAGCATAACCAGTCTGTGCGGGCAAAGTAGTCTAGCAAAATAAAAGTAAACAATAACAGCAGCACGCAGCATACTTTGTGGATTAGGGTGGGTGTTAACTTAGAATAGGAAAAGTAAGCATCCAGATTTAATACATCAAATAAACAACTAAAAAAGCGAGTAAAATAAAATAAACTAAAATTTAATAATATAAAATATTTACAAATAGTTAAAATAAAAAAGTTAAATTAAATTAGATTTAACTAAATTAAATTAAAAAAATTATCTGAAATAAAATAAAATAACATAAAATAAAAAAATTTAATAAAATAAAACACAGTAGAAAAAATAAAATAAAATAATACAAAATAAAATAAAATAATATAAAGCAAAATAAAATATAAGTAATTAAACTAAAAAATAATATATAGATATAGAAAAACAAGGTTAAAAGCATAGAAAAAATAAATAAAGTAATATATAATTAATGTATAATTAAGTAAAATCAATTCAAATAAAATATAATATATAAAAAATAAAATAAAGTAAAAAAAAAACCAAAATACAATAAAATGAAGTGAAATAAACAAAACATTTAATTATTCTATTTACCATTTAAAATAAAACAGGTTTAAATAAAATACTATAAAACAAATGAGAATAAATGAAAATTAATAAAATCAAAAAAATAAATTCAAATTAATAAAAAAAGAAAGAGAAAAATGTAGCAAAATAAAATGAAATAAAAATGAAATAAATAAAACAAAGTCAAATAAAGTCCATTCATATCATAACAAATAAAAAATCTCTCTACGAAATAGCAAATTTGTATACAAAATTACCGAAAGGTGTTGACCACCCTACTGCTCGCGCCAACCGTCGTGCTCTGAGTTGGTTGTTTATGGCAGCGGCAACGATTGCGGCGACCGCAGCAGCAGCAGCGTAAAAATCAACATTAACAAGCCTTAGCGGGTTCATAGCATATAGTAAGTTTTGGCTACTCGGCGCATACAGATTGCATTCCGCACACCGTGCACTGTCGGGGAATTCTCTAACATAAATAAATAAAAGTGCGCATATTTGAATTGAAATAATTAAACATTATAATATTGTAATTAATTAATATATTTCCTTTAAAACTGTGCACGTGGAATTAACTGGATGTTACTTTATGTGGCACTGTGCGCGCAACAACTTGTTACATAGCTCTTAGGCGGCGACCAAAAAAAAAGCGGTTTGACAAGACAAGTTCGTATCTGTAATCTTTCGTTTTGTTTTCATTTCAAAATTTATACACATCTCAATACGGCTTTACTCTTATATTTGTTGTTTATTAGGCGGTGATTATGAATGCCATGGTGATATGCATCTAATGTTATGCATACGATTATTGATTTCAGTTTATTAATTACTCTAAACTTAAATTTTTTATCATAAAATACTTTTTAGTAAAGTATTAAAGTAATAAAATTTAAATGTAAGAGTAAATAGCGGTTTCAGTGTTTTATTAAAAAAAGAAACTTAATAACTTAAATCTACTGAAGAGAAAGAGAAAAAGAGAGGGAGAGAGAAAAAACGAAATGAATAACAAAAAAATAAAATTCAAAAATATAAAATATGTAAATAAAAAAAATGTAATTGAAGGGCATTCAAACTTTTCAAAATTCCTTTTATAAAAATCCTAAAATGAGATTTTGATTACTTTTTATGTATGTATGTAGGTATTATATATTTTTTTTCAAAGTACCCAAATTTGAAACTAGCATGAAAATTCACTAAAAAACAATAATAACAACAACAACTGAATGGTGCGAAATGATGCAGTGTAGAAAAACCGTTACCAAATGTTGTTATGCAGAACTTAACATGCTTAGAGATTTGGATAGCAGCAGTGGAAAAAATCTGGAAATCTGTGAGATCACACTCGGTAGGGCGCTAGAGGGTTAAAGTATTCTTCGAAAAGGAAACTTCTTATGTATATATACATGTATATACATATATAAAATGCTTTGTGTGTTCTTCGTATGCCTCAAGTATCCAATCAGAGAGAGTTTTCGGCGATATGGACCTGGCACCGATCTATTTGAAAAAAAATTGTGTATTTAGTTGGGACTGATCTATTCGAAAAAATTGTATTTATCGTATGATGTGGTATCTTTGGGTATTAATTAATATGGCGAATACTTTTTCTTCGGGGAAGTGTACCTGTCGTCGATCTATTGGAAAAATCGTATTGATTCGATTTACATGAAACATGACACATAGAAAGCTTTTTGTCTGGGCTAATATGTAGAAAACTTTTCTTTCTTTTTCATCCGTTTTAACATAACAGTTTTTAAGTTATAATAAAATTAATCTTTGTTTATTTTATTATATACATCTTAAAATTCCATGCGGACGAAGTCGCGGACAAACTCTAGAATATAAATGTTATAATTGGCGCTTGGTAATCGCTGAAGCAATTTTCGATCGAGCACTTCCTCCAATTTGTGGTATACATCTCGATATTTTTCCAACAAATACATAGAGGCCTGCCTACAGTTTATTCTAATCAGCCCCTGAATGGCCGATGTATTTTTATAAGAAGGTTTTATTTCATATATATTTTTCTATAATTTTGGGTGTTGGTCTAACCGAGACTCGAACCCTGGTATTCTGAATGGCAGCAGGCAATGATAACCATATAAGAAGAGGTTTAACGCGCCTAGGATATAGGAACAAAAATCGCTCCAACGATAAGTTGTTTCTAAAAGAAATAAAAGATTAATTTAATGTTTTTCCTCCAAAAAATTTATCTAAGCATACAAAGTTTTGCCAAGATTAATTATCCAAAATGTTTAACCTGCCTTCCGAACGAAAGGTTAAAAACCAAATTTAGTTCGATAATATTGTTCTGGTCCTTTCTACATTCACTTTTTCCCATAATACGATTCTCCTCAGCTTCAAATATTATACATAGATCTGATCTACATGATCTTGGTTTAAAAAAAAAACCTAAGAAAGCTACTCGAGACAGATACAGCCTAACCTTTAGGAAACGCAAAGTCGACAAATTAGAATCGTTTTTAAGCATGGATCTCTCATTGGGACCATGCGTTACATATGTTTTTAAATAACGCGTGGATTTATGTAATTAACACTGTGATTTTTTCCTTTTTTTTTTAGCTTTCCTTCTAATTATGTTGCGACACAATGGGACAGATATGATGAACGCGTCTTGTAATAAAAAACTGAATTCAAATATAACGAATATGAACGGTTGTGGTACTACATCAGGTAGTCCAATGGACGCACTGCCCAAACAATTTGTAGCTTCAATGAAAACACTCTTCGACATTTTGGATGATCAGCATACGGGATTTGTCCGATTCGTGGACATTGAAAAAGGTTGGCAAGATGATGGTTGTAAAGGGTTACCTCACGGTGTGATTGACTCACTCCGAAAGGTGACACCCACGAGTGGTCTGCTGTCGTTCGATCGCTTCTGCGCCGGCTTAAAGTTATGTCTCTTACGCAATCAAAGTACAACTTTGAGCAATGCACCAACAAGCGGTAATGATATGGGAGTACATACTAGTGTCTCGCCTATGAAACCACCGCGCCCACCCTCTGCACCACTTTTAGATGTCGATAATGCTGTGCATGGTAACCCTAATTGGTTAGGCAACAACACCACTACCGCCACTGTGCGTCCACATAAAATTGTCTCTGCACATCGGGCCCTTAGTCTGCCACAGTTAAGTCCGGATTCTGAAATGGAGGCAGAAATGATAAACACCAATGTTTATAACTCTCCACCGCCACCACCAAAGCCACCCCGTGCTTCGGCGGTTAGAGAGCACGGTGGACCGAATACGTCAGCACCACCTATGGATAAAGCGGAAATTCGGCACGCTTTGCAAAACTGGCAAATGGGTATACTCTTAAATGAAATGGGTGCACAGGAGCAGCGCAGTACGGGCTACATGTATAATCAGTTCCCTTACCGCGGATGTGCCGATGGTGGTTCGTCATCAACTACTGACAGTGTTAATGGGAATGTGGGAACTCTTCATTCGAAAAAGGCATGTTCCAAGCGTAGAGAGCCACGACGACATACTTTACAAAATGGCATTGATTATAATATGTTAAAACGTCTTAAACAATTTGAAGAGGAACGTGAAGTACTCTTAACGGGACTAGAAGCGGTAGAGAAAGCGCGTGATTGGTATTTACAACAAATTGCTAATGTGCAGGAGAAGATTAAATACTTGGGACGCATGGGGCATGTGGTACGTGATAGTTACAGATATTGTTCACTAACTTAATATAACATTCATTTGATTTTTTATTCCAGGAACAGTGGTCAGAGGTTCAACAAGAACGATTAGAGTTTCAAAGAGCTCGTGTTTACGAGGTCAACCGAAATTTGACAGCTCTTGCTGACTGCTGGGAACGTGGAGGATTTCCCTTACATTTCAATCTTGCTATTAGGACATCCGGCAAAGTATTAAGTCAACGTAACGGTAACAGCAGCAGTAGTGGAGCGCTATTTCAACCCGTAGACCGCCTGCGTCAACAAAATCATAATCTCTCGAATGAAGTAAATTTGAAAAGCGACCGAATAGCTTTATTAGAGCGCGAAAAGCAGTCATTGATGAGGGAGTTGTATGAGCTGAGACAAACAGTTGGTATTGTGGGACGAAGTTCAGGTTTTGTAACAGTACTCGGTCAATCCTCGCCTTCATCTTCTGGAGGCCTTGGCGAGGCGGATGTTGTTTTTTAATGTAATAAATAGAATAAAAATATAGACAATGAATTTGAGCATTTGTACACGCACTACGTTGAATATACTTTTTTAAGACAAATGTTAAAGGATAATTTTGTGGCTTTATTGTTTTCTAAAATAGAACATACAATAAAATAAATAAAACTATTGAGGATTAGGAAAGCGTCTCATATACTTGTTGAGCTGTTTGTAGTTCAGATTTTTTCCTGGCGTTATTATACCTTGGTTTATAGTTTTCTTAGCCTCGAATTTCGAATCCGCAAAAAATTTGTAACATTTTTGAAACTGTTGAATTTCCTTATTACAGTACTTCTCCACAAACTCATTATCCTTAAGACATGCAAAAAGGACTCCCATTTCTTGTAAGCACGCCACATCCGATGAAGAATCCGACTTACCACTTACCCTATTCTTTAGTCGAAGTGGTAGTATCTCTTGAAAAGGCACGGTGTGTTCTTTCTGAGGCGCGCGGGCGTCGCGATTTTTGTATGCGAAGACGGCAGTTGGCACACGCATTTTGATACCTTAAATATACACAAATTTTTTAATTATTGTCGGTTATCATACAATTATTCAATTTAAGATTTTTTTTAAATTTATACCTTTCGACCCGAATATATATTTATTGTATCCGCAGGAAAAAATATAATTTTATTATTTTTTGGTTACATGAATTCTACAGTGTTGCCCAGTTGCTGAAGAAAACAGCTGATGATAAGTTAAATACACTCATGTGCAATTTGTGATGCAAAATATGAATCGATAGAGATATACGGCTGTTTTGATACCGTTTCAAGTGAAATTTTGGTTTCGCTTCAACATATCGCCCTCCGAACTACGAATGGTGTGAAGAGGACGCGAAACCCTGAGATTGGACCTTCAACTTACGCTCTTTCTAAAAAAGCCAATTTACGAAACCGTCATGCGGCTTCTTCTTCATATACGTTCTTTGATATACGTTCTTTGGTAAACAGTCATGACAGTAATGCAACGCTGTATATAATTAAAATCCACATCAAGCATATTTCGCTATCCATTTTGTTTTTGTGCTGCTGAGCTACAACAATGGCCGACATTGTGTTTTTATTGTTATTAATTTCGATATTTTCATTACAAAACAATAATGGTACATTAATTAAATAATTTCAACAGTGTATTATAAATTTAGTGAAATCGGTTGTCGCATAATAAACAGAATTTTGTTAGTGTAAATATAAATTGTTTGTTATTCGGTGACGAATGGCATTACATTTGTGCTACGCTGTAACGCAACGACTTAGACCATTTGCGGTTGTATGCGCTTAGTAGTGTCGATAACTGCAATTTATATTAATACAAAATACAACCAATTAAAAATCAAAACAAGTTAATTTATAAACTGAAATTAATATTTTTGTTATAGCTGCTGCTGAAATAAGTGGCCGTCTATTGGATGAAACACAAGAGAACTTGGATCTTGAAATGTCACACACTAACGAAAAAGAACATTCACCTGTGCCACGGAATTCCATTCAATCGCATCCCAGGTAAAAAGCTAAACTCACTTTCCAAAGTTAGGGTAAATTATTGCCCTTCCTAAACATAAATCCCTTTTAAATTTCGTCAATAAAAATATTAAATATATTTGTTGATAATTACCCTTGCGCATTACAAAGGAGGCACACAAAATCTAAGCGTCGCATGAAAAGAAGGTAAATACTAATAGTATCAAACAGAAATGATTCTCGTTTTTTTTTTTTTATTTTGGTTGCATATAGTTTTATATATATTTTATTCGGTGTTCAAAATGCAGTTTTTGATATTATTTCAGTAGGTTTTAATATGAGATTCAATAAGGTAGAAAACAAAACAATATTGGAATGTGATTTAATGTCTAAATCTCTATTTTGAGAAGTAATTAATTTTATATCTGTGTATATAATTTTTTTGTGTGCGCCTTTTGTTAAACTTCATTTTCATAGTAAGCTTATTCATCATTCATCATTAATTATTTATACAATCGTATATAGATACAAGTGCTATGCATGTGAGCCACCCTGCAAAAACGCTACTCAGCATGCACATATGTGCCAAAATGCTATTCAGGTGAGGAAAATTAAGTTTATTGACACATAAAATAATTAATAATAATTATTACTTTTTACTTCAGTGCTGGAAGTCGCGAACTCGCAGTGCATTTGGTGAAGAAAAAGTATCAAGAGGCTGTACAACTTCACCAGATCAGCTGCCATTAATATGCAACCAAAACACATTAGGGCCGAGGAAGCGAGCCGTAATGCATGTGAACATAGTATGTTGTTCGAAGGACTACTGTAACGATGGCGACTTTCCTGAATTGCCTCCGATTGTGAACGGTATGTTTTATTTAGAATTCAAAACATATTAATAACTTAATTATATTTAATTTGTTAAAGATGAAGTTACAAGATTAAATGCGGATTTAAGCAATACATTTAAAATGACATTAGCGATATTAGGACCTGTTTTCGTGGTTGGCCTGCTGGCAGCATTGGTTTACTATTTTATGATACGACATCACCGCAAAAGTAAAATGGCTTCGCGTATTAAAAATGATCCAGATGTATATTTAGTAAACGACGAACTACTACGGGCAACGAGTGCGGGTGACAGTACATTAAGAGTAACTAAAATAATCATTAAAAATATTATAAATGATGTTTAAATTAAATGATTTTTGTAGGAATATCTCCAACATCCCATGACATCAGGTTCCGGCAGTGGGTTACCATTACTAATTCAACGTACACTCGGGAAACAAGTGACATTATTGGAATGCATTGGTCGGGGAAAATATGGCGAAGTATGGCGGGGGCAGTGGCATGGTGAAAATATTGCCGTAAAAATATTCCTCACTCGAGATGAGGAGTCGTGGAAACGAGAAACTGAAATATATAGGTGAAATTAAAAAAAAAATAATAATAATAACATAATAATGTACCTAAATATTTAATTACTGTTTTCAGCACAATATTACTACGTCATGAAAATATTTTAGGCTATATTGGCTCGGATATGATATCTCGAAATTTTTGTACGCAATTGTGGTTACTAACACATTATTACCCGAATGGTTCTCTATTCGATCATCTGAACCGAAATGCTCTAAGCCACAATGACATGGTATTAATCTGTTTATCTATTGCTAATGGTCTGGTACACTTACATACGGAAATTTTAGGCACCGAGGTGAGAGAGATGAATGTGAAATCTCTGAGTGAAAATTTAAATAATATATATTTTTTTTAGGGTAAACCTGCAATGGCGCATCGTGATTTAAAATCGAAAAATATACTTGTGAAATCAGACGGGACTTGTGTGATAGCAGATTTTGGTTTGGCTGTAACACACTCGCATGTCACTGGAAAATTGGATTTCGGAAATAACCCAAAAGTAGGCACTAAACGTTACATGTCCCCCGAAGTCTTAGACGAAAGGTATGAATATAAATATGAGGAAGACAAAAAGGAAATATTTTAACATCTTTCGATTATAGTATTAATATGCAATGTTTTGAGGCACTGCGTCGCACTGATATTTATGCTCTTGGTCTGGTACTGTGGGAAGTTTGTCGACGTACAATTTCGGGAGGCATCGCCGAGGAGTACAAGGTGCCTTTTTATGATGTTGTACCATCGGACCCAAGTTTTGAGGATATGCGAAAGGTTGTTTGTGTAGATAATTATCGCCCCTCTTTTCCCAATCGATGGGCTTCTGATCCGGTATAACGATATACGTTTTTTTCTAATTTAACTAAAGATAAACGAATAACCATTACATTACAGTTACTCGCTGGTATGTCGAAGTTAATGAAGGAATGCTGGCATCACAATCCCAATGTGCGATTACCTGCCTTAAGAATACGAAAAACTATACATAAACTAGCGTCCTCAGACGAAAAAATTCGTCTTAACTATGATGAAGTTTGTGTTTAGTTTCTATATATATGTGTATTGAACATTACATAAGTTGGAAAATTCATTTCGGAATACCCAAATAACCATATTTAAGACTAAAATTGGTAGTTGGTATTGAGGTACACATCTTTGCTTCATTTAGAAATTTAGTATTACAAGTATATTTAAGAATAATACAAACATTTAATATTGTTTATATTGTTTGCTATGATGGAATGAATATGCGTGTAAGATAGTTAGAAGTAAAGTGAGTGTTGGTGCATGTGAATATTGTAGACTACATTATACTTAGAATTAAATATAGTAGTACGTATTTAAGATTAGATACGAAACCAAATTATGTAAGGATAATATAATAAACATACTTAGATTAATCGGAAGCGCATGAACATCCTTCATATAATAAATGACGTGTGCAATTTAATAATTATTTATACAGTTTAACAAATTAAGTGAAAGACACGCTTAAGGAATAATATATAGTTTTCATTTTAATCTGTATGTGCCTTTAACCGTGTTGATGAAGTTGCCTTATTTGCAAAACCAAAACTATTACGCCTTAATCCTAAGCAGCTATTTACTTAGAATGTACTTTACCTTTTAATGCTTATTTACTCTCCTTCTGGTGCCATCTTGTGTATTATTCGCAGATTAAAATATCAAAATTTTTGAATATATAAAACCACACGTAAAAACAAAGGACGATATTTTATAGATTATTAAAAGATTTAATTATTATAAGACTACATCATTTTATGTTAATATTATTTATAATTAAATACGGCTAAGTTTCATTTAAATACGATTTAACACATTCATATGACGGTAAGCATGTAATGCATAACTTCCACTATACTAACCTTTTTAAGTTATTGACCAGTTGAAAGTATTTGCGTTCGACCAACCTCTGTAATTCTAAGCAAAATTTATTGTACAAAATAGTTCATGAATTACAATTAAATAAAAGTTCAGTAGTAAAAGAAAAGTTTGTGTCCTATTTACAATACACGGGCCATTACGAGCATTACAAAAGAAAGAAAGATAAGCATTTCTTATTTTTCTTCTTTTTTTTGGCGTTGGCACCGCTTACGCGATTATAGCTTAATCAATATTAACACGCCATCAAGGATCATAACTCTTTCGCAAAACTTTTCTCTCAAAGACTCCTAGAGTCGACTCAACAACATCACGTCCACGCTTCTGCGCCATATAGTAGAACGGGTATAACGAGCGACTTTACTTTTCAATTGCCTACTTGGTCCATAGTAGCACCTGTTGGATTTCAAGACTGATGTTATTTTTGATCCCTAGTTAGACGAAGTTATCTACGACCTCGAAATTATGACTGTCAACAGTGACGTGAGAGCCGAGTCGCGAGTGAGATTACTGTTTATTTGATGACAGGAGATATTTCGTCTTGCCCGCATACACTACCAGACCCTTTCGCTTCGCTTCTGGAGATAGTAGAACTAATGACGGGGTTGTTGAAGACAATAATATCAATATCATCGGCGTACGATAAAGAGTCACCTTGTCTGAAACGTCGTTTGGTATCGAACGGCTCGGAAAGGTCCCTCCGGTTCCTGACGGAGTTTTAAGTACTGCTTAGGGTCAGTTTGCACAGCTGTATAAGTTTTGCGTGGATACCAAATTCAGATATAGCGGCGTAAAGGCTGCTCCTTTTCGTGCTATCGAAGGTTGCTTTAAAATCGACGAAAAGATGGTATGTGTATATCCTCTTTTCACGCGTCTTTTCTTTTCTGGTCAATGGTTGACTTACTAGGTCTGAGGCCACACTGATAATCAATCCAATCAGTTTTTTGACGGTGGTTTTAGTCTTTCGCACAATACACTTGATAGAACATATATAAGGATGTTAAGAAGGCTTATTGCACGGTAGTTGGCGCAGACTGTGGGATGGTCTTTTTTGTGAATTGGGCAGAGCACACTTAGGTTCCAATCGTCGAGAATACTTTCATTTTAGAAGAAGCTGATGCATGCACCTGATCAGTTCTTCACCCACGTATTTAAAAAGCTCCGGGGATTTGTTATTTTTTAGCGGGCGATTGCTATACAGAATTTTTCATAGTCGGGTAATGGAACAACTTTTCCATCGTCATCAATCGAAGTTCCTGGTTCACCTTCTCCGGGTGTTTCATTTTCACTGCCATTCAGCAGGCTGGAGAAGTGTTCCCTCCATAGATTCAGTATACTCTAGGCATCCGTTACTAGCTCACCACCCTGGGTCCGACAAGAGGTTTCTCCGGTCCTGAAACCTTTTGTAAGTCGCCGTAACTTTTCGTAGAGTTTTCGAGCATTACCCTTGTCGATTAGCTTCTCAAGATCCTCGTACTCACTCACTCAGGTGTGCAAGTCGAGTGCAGAGTCGACAGTCTGTTGTGCTTTTTTGTTGGCGAGCGTTCTTCCATACACAGAGGCGCAGGCGTATCTTCACTGAGAAAAGATACTGATCCAAGTCGATGTTAGGACCTCAGAACGTACGCCCATCTAAAACACTGGTTACATGTCTCCCGTCTATCACGACGTAATCGATCTGGTTGAAAATTTTTCGATCTGGAGACAGCCAAGTAGATTGGAGAATTTTCTTGACAACCATGTTTCGTGCCCTGGCGAAGTCGAACAGCCTCTGCTCAGTTGGCTGTATTTTCCGACTGTTGTCCCAAAAATACCTTCCTTGCCCACCCGTCCATCGTATTTCTTGGACGGCGCTAATATCAGCCTTTAACTTTATGAGGACATCAATCAGCTGGGGGAGCGGCACCTTCCCGATGAAAGGATCGGACATACCAGGTGCATGCTCTACAATTGTAATTCTTAAAACATTTGCTGGGGTCGTCATCAAAAGCGGGGTCTCTAATCGAAGGCTGATTTTTATTTTTATTTGGATTTGGTTTTTCATGTGATGGGTCCCAAACCTTACGCAGAACCGCATATTAATCGCCTTCTTACATTAGTTAGACTCCAAACGGATGTTTGCTGGCTACCCAGAGGATACGTGGTCTAAGACGGAAAGTCGTGAGCTGCTTGAGCCGTATGCAAAAGAATCGTTTCTGGCCACTCATCACTATAGTGATCGATAGAAAATCGATTACAAATGGTGCGAATAAAGTGACATAACATAACGGCCACTAAATTATTAGAAATAAAATAGAGAAACAAAAACAGAAAACGTTAAGGTACATTCATACATATCTGCGTATTTCGGTATGAACCTGTAGACAACCGATCATTTTACAAAAGCAATAAACTTGGTATTGATTACTTTGGAAAGTTCCTAAGCAAAAGCAAAAACACATTTTCAAATTTTCTGTCTGTGATAAGTGCTTAGATATGTTAATGAATCTTGATATCAAGCGCTTTTAGCATACACGTCGTAAAAAGGAACTAACATGTATGTGTTTGCATACATACCAAACTAGGTCGATACAGCGTAAATTGAGCTTATTTCTATTGCACTCAGGAATAGAAAGCATTACTATCTTTTTATAATTAAGTGAACAAGCATTTTTCGCTTATCGGAGCACTGACTTGTGAAATTAACGCTGGGAAGGCATACAAAAATTTCTTGAATTTCATCAGATATAATAGTTTGTTTAGAAAATTTGGAACAAAAGCAAAAAAATTTTAGTGTTTGCCTATCTCGCCTTTTCTATTGTACTAAATAAAAATAAATATAGAAAACCTAAAGAAGCAATAACAAAGCAGCATTTCTTTATAAACATTAACGAAAGGGAGAATAGAATAAAGATTAGGAATGACATTGGCTTCAAAGAGCTTGGAACAGCCGCAGTGTGGCAACGATTTTATTTTGGAGCAAAAACCCATGGACATAGAGGTGAGTGTGGAATTCATGAAGGAAAAGAAAATTTATTGCCGGTCGCACCTTCGCGAATTCCCAAATACAATGCAAAATAAATAAACAAAAAACGAAAAGTTGTTGAATTGGGGGCATAGTACAAGAACCAGAACTACAATATTATTATGAGTAATATCATTTCCTCTTAGCAAACCTAATAGCGCATTTGTATTAAGTACCTATGTACATATATACATATGTTTATAGTTTTGTGCATATTAGTAATATGACGTCAGGCATTATGCAAATTTCAATTCTGTTAGGATGTATTTTTTGATTAAAAATAACGCATTATTCACATATGTGAATACTGGTCCTTTCCTTAAAATGTAAAAAAAAATTCAACTAACAATTAAAAACAATTACCATGTCTATCAACACAACACCATTCCCTTAATAATTTAATGAGCAGAAGTAGACAACGCATTTATTTACATTGTGCCATGTATTATTCTATTTTCATTTATAATACCTAGCTAAAAATGATTAATATTTTTTCATTACAGGAACGTAAAGCCGGAAATTTTTGGCTCTTTAAATGGTTATTTAATTGGACATCTAGCTCGCCGATAATGTTGCGTGCAGTTGAAAAGAAGATTTTATCCTTCCTCAAGACTCCATATCGTGGATTCTTTGTAGATATTGGCCCAGCCGTTGGTGAAGCTGATAAAATATGGACCATCAGTATGAATACAGATTCTAAAGAAGAACCTATGGTTCTGCTACACGGATTAGGTGCAGGAGTTGCTTTGTGGGTAATGAATCTAGATTCTTTTGCTAAAGATCGTCCCGTATATGCCATGGATGTATTGGGCTTTGGACGTAGTTCTCGTCCTACTTTCTCTAACGACGCACTTATCTGTGAGAAACAGTTCGTAAAGTCAGTAGAAGAGTGGAGACGGAAAATGAACATTAATAGAATGGTATTGTTAGGTCATTCAATGGGAGGATTCATCGCTTCAAGTTACGCACTATCATATCCTGAGAGAGTCAGTCATCTTATATTAGCTGATCCCTGGGGATTTCCAGAAAAGCCTGCTGACTCAAATACTAGCCGCCAAATACCATTATGGGTAAGAGCATTGGCATATGCTCTGACACCACTTAATCCACTTTGGGCATTACGTGCTGCCGGTCCATTTGGGCAATGGATTGTGCAAAAAACACGACCGGATATTACACGTAAATTTGCATCAGCTGTAGAAGATAATACCAAGTTGTTACCACAATATATTCATCAATGTAATGCTCAAACGCCTTCTGGTGAGTCGGCGTTCCATGCTATGATGGCATCGTTTGGTTGGGCAAAATATCCGATGGAACATCGTTTGAAGGATCTCCGAGTAGATATACCTATAACTTTTATATATGGATCGCGCTCGTGGATAGATTCTTCTTCAGGTGAAAAAATTAAGGCGCAACGTGTAGATTCCAAAGTCGATATTAAAATGGTAAACGGTGCGGGTCATCATGTGTATGCAGACAAGCCAGACATCTTTAACCGCTATGTTAATGAGGCCTGTGAATTATATAAAGCTTATGCAACAAACCTCAACGTGCGTGATACGACAGAGTCGGACGAAGAAATAAATGATGCTACTTTACAAGTTGAAACACAACAAAAAGCAGAGCATAAAGATCAAAATTCAGAACATGCTCTCTCTGAAGGTCAACACACAGAAGAGGTTGCAACAGACCTGAAACAGCAATAGTTTACCAAAATATGTGTATATACATATATAGATAGTCGATTAGCACACATTTTATACCTGCAGTCAATCTAATTTTCTTTAGCCGATCTGTATTAGTCAATGTATATCACATAGTATTAGCCTAAATAAATATTTTGAACAAAATAGAAAAATCTGTTATTGCAGTTCCGTTCATATAATAATGGAATGACTTTTTTGGCTCTGCAATAAGTAGTAAAAGTATTGAGAAATAAAAGTAAAGAATATAAGATTACGAATGAGTTTTAATTGTTTTATTTTTATGAGCAACGTAATGGAGGAAGTATTCATAATGATAGTTTGGCGGTAGGTTTATGAAATACATAATAAACCCTGTCATCGAGTGCAGTGATGTGTACAATCGGTTTGCATATAAATTTAATAGGTAAATGTTGTGAACTCGAGGGATTAGAAAAACTCTTGCTCATTCTCTTATCAATACGCTGACAAATTGTGCGAAGCAAATGAAATTGGCATTGATATTTATTTATATGTAATACACATTTGTTTACTGGATTTCAACTGGAATGGTTTGTAAGTGTCCATGTATATTTGCACACATACTTATGCACATATGTATGTAGTTTTGAACAGATTTAATCTGAGAGTGCAATTTGCCTAAAGTTGATAATTTTTCCATTTACAGCTTTTTATTTATTAGAATGAATATTATTTTCATTTTTTGCTAGGGTTTGAGGGTAAAATGTTATCACTGACTCTTCGTCATTATTTACTTAATAAGAAAACATATGAACTCCAGCTTCAATCTCTTCTCTTATCACCACATGCATATATATATATATATATATAATTATAATAAAACGTAAAACAGAAGAAATATTTAGCATTAATTATATTTATTGGGAGCTTGATACAACATACATACATTTCAGCTCAAAATTATATTTAGTAATAATTGCTATACAAACGATTTTTTCTGTCTTCATAATAATCTCCCTCCTTTCAGGAATATAGCAACACGTATAACTGTATTTAAAGTTATACACTTTTTCTTTAAAAAACTTTACTTTGCAATAGCAAATCCGACACGATCGTTACCCATATCGAATTCTGTATAATATTTACCGATAAATACATCACCAAGGATCCATAATGGTCCATTCGGTGGTGGAATATCCATGCCCATAAATCCCGACAAGCAAATAGTTTTGCCCATTTGAGCGATGCGTAAAACATAGTCCTTGCCCTCTAATTCGAATGTCTTTCCACCCAAAACAAATTTAATAACCGGAAGTTTTGGAATCATGTCACATGATACCATGTACTGTCCACCCATAATTGGTGTTCCGCCAATGGCTTGGTTTATGGCTGTGGTTTCTTGAGTTGGTCCAGCAATTAACGAGGTACCTGTGTCAGCAATCACTTGACAGCCACCTTTACATAGTTGTAAATCTCCAACCGAAGCAGAATCCATTTTTATTTGCCAATATGCTTTGCGAGTAACCGGTAGATAAGTAAAATCGCCTGTATAGTGTTCTGGATCGGAACCTCCAAATATAATTTCTCCGCCCTCTGGAGCCGCTGGATCACGGTTTAAATAAAATGAGAATACTGGAGCAGGAATTAGGCCTTGTTCGTACATATTATAAAAAGGTGGTTTTACTCCATCTACAGATATCGAATTATATGCCAAGCCAAGAATTCCATCGAATTTGGCTGCAACAAATACAAGACCAGGTTCACTCATAGCTTCGGCAAAAATTTGTTTTTTAATATCTATTCCACCGATATTTACTATATCAGCGGATAAATATCCTGATAAACTGCCAGAACCATAGTGTATAGCAAATTCTGTGCCATTTTTTTCGTAGGTTTTGGATTTATCAGAATCGTACTTGTTATGCATTAGGCAAGCTATGTTTGTTAAATGACATTTCTTCGATGGTACCCAAAGATTCGACGAACCCGTGTCAAAAACAACTTTAAAACTTTGCGGTGGTGATCCAATGGTAATGGGACCATAATACTGAGCATCTAAATAATTAGAAAGCGGCTCAGGTGCAATGCCTCCATTAGCGTATTTAATACGCAATTGATGTAATTCCGTGCCAACTTCGGAAAAATGGTGCCTAGCTGTTTTAATTTTCTTTAGTGGGACTCGCAAAAGTTCTGCATTAGCCACGCTCACAACAGCGGCTGCAATTAGCAGTATTTTAAACATCATTTATAACTGTTATCTAAAAGATATATCCAAAAAAATTATATCAGTCCACGAAAAATACCTAATTAAATTATAACGCAAATGCACGAAACTTCATTAAACTCTTTGTTTACTCACCACAGCCGGCTTGAACTTATTCTGAGGACTTAATTTGATTGAATTCTGCAAAGCACTGATTTAAAAATAACTAAATTGAAAAATTATTGCAAATTGCAATTCTCTTGTGAAAAACTGATAATGACAAAGCAATCAAAGCTACTCAACACAAAAACAAAAGTCAAAAAAAATTAACAAAGAAGAAAGTAGTGAGAGACGGATTAATTCAGCTGGCCGATTCAGTGATGTTTTTAAAAAATGATTCAAACAAATTTTTATTAGAAGAAAATAATTAGTGATAAGTTCCACAAAAAAATTTTTTAACCACATTTCTGCTCAGCTCTTTCTTTGCAGATAACCGGAACAACCCTTTTGCGAAATTACCTTAATATTTCAAATTAAATTAGTAATCGATGTGTTCTGTAATGATATAAATAAATAATTCCACAATGATGGTGTATCAGTTATCAAAACTTATGGCTGAACATTTTTAATAAAAAAGTTCCAAATTTAATAGCCTTTCACATAGAGATGTCGCCGGTACCGTGTTGGTGTGTTGGTATTACTGACTGTAAAATCGTCCATCTTTGGTAATTTCACTATAGAATCGTTCATTTGATTTTGTCGTTTCCAAGAGTAAAGATGTTTCAACATTCTCGGCTCGAAAATAAATTGAAAAATAAAAATGGTGAGTTTTTCTGAATAATATCTACATAATTCCATATTTTTTTAGTGATGTTTTTTTGTATACCGCCCCAGTCGGATTGAAAATGACGATTGGTTTTATATTTGCTGACTTCATCTGTTACAGATATAATTGTGATTTTAGAAATCTTGGATAATTTATTTTTTCTTTCATTTTAGTACAAAACCACGTTTGCATGAGCTAACTGACCGCTAAGAAAATGCGGCTTTTAAGGATTTATTCATCATTAACCTATGAAAAATGTGGGTTGTAAAAAGCTTTAAAGAAAGGTAATTGAATTAATAAAGTTGGTTATAATAAAATATTAATGTGATGTTTTGTAATACCGCCCCAGTCTGATAATTGTGACGATTGGTTATATTTGCTGATATTTCCAATAGTAAAAAAAAAAATATGTGTAGTGCGACTAGTTTCAAATTTTGTATTTATACATATTTTCCAGGTTTGTTCTTACAAAAAAAAACATTTGTATTGACGTTAGCCTACTGATTGCTGAGAAAACCCGAATTTAAAGGATTTATTTAAGCTTGGAAATATGTGGATATGAGGAGCATCAATGGGAGGTAATTAAAAAAAAAAAATGGAGCTAATTTAATTCTAAAATGATGTTTTGTGATACCGCCCCAGTCTGATAATTGTGAAGATTGGTTTTATTTACTGATGTTTAAATAGTTAAAAAGAGCGTAAATGTAGTGTAGTAGTTGGTTAAAATTATTGTAAATGGGAATATATTTTTCAGGTTTGCTCCGACCACGTGGTTGCCTTTTAACCGGGATCTCAACTGAAATGCAAGGTTAGTTTGCTTAAAACAAAGCATTTATTATGGGTTGTTCACATGATGATAATTCAAAGTAGACAAGCATATAACTGAATTTTGCATGTTGAATATTTTTCGTCTGATAAGCAATTCTTTTTATTAAAAGTAGTTTGTAGCTTGATTAGCATATACTGAAATGTTTTTTTTTTTTTCCTAATTTAGGAGCATATGCAGTTGTAGGTTACGGCAACGTGCGAATTATATGGGTACCGGCCTCAAAGTAAGTTATTATTTAATATTTTTGTTTTTAATTCGAGTATGATGATTCTTAGTTATCCCTGTCATAAAGACAAGCTTGATGATATAAATACGCTGAAAACGTATTTATAGAATCTACTAATTTATACTTGTTTTTATTTTTATTTATCTATATTTTTTTTTTCTTACAGATTATTTTGTTAAAATCTACCTCGTGTATGGTTCAATATTAATAAAGAAAATGTATATTAAAGAATGTGTTTTATTTGAGGCGATATTATCGTATGTGTTTTTGTTAGGACATTCACGTTTTCAAATGTTAGTTGTGTTCGAGGAGAGTAAAACGCTTCTTTCGCAAAGTTGGAAAATTTCTTAGTTTCCACTGATCATATTTCAGCAAGTTGGATTCATAGAAAAAACAGATAGGGGTCAAGGTGGGACGTTTACCGTTGCACATTATATAAATGTTTATAATTATTATTTATTCAATGTTAACATTGGAAGATGTTAATTTAGCCGTCGTATTTCGAGTACATACTTGATATTCATTGTAAAGACGTTCAACGCGAATATTGGGATGTAGAAGTTGACAAATCATGTAGTTGCTGAGAAACCATAACCACTACCACTCAATTAAAGGAAGTCCCTAAATTTGTTTTGCTCAGACCGGACTTTCAGACAGCTATTAAGAACAAAGCTATCATGTCCAGAACCAGGTCACCTTCATACAAAGTCCCTTTCTTCCGTTTTACAAGTACTGTTTGCAACTTCGATAGCCTTCGGAATTTTCTTCTCCAGGTGATTGGATTTCGATATGTACATTATGCTCTAAATTTCTCTGCTTTTTTCGGTGTTCTGAGAAATGATCGGACAAGTGCAGCGGTAGCAATGGATACTATTTACCACTCGACTCACAGTCGCTACTTTTGTTGTGTCCAACAACGGAACAAAAATAAAAACACTTCCCGATGCACAAAAACCTAATGTTAGAAGCGAAATTTCCGCCGCTTTGTTCCTGCAAAATCAAATAAATTATCAACAATATTTATTTACTCAGAGGGCATTATTTTCACAAACCTTTCAGTCTTGCTTCTAATTTTGCTTTCTATTTTTTTCCAAACGTATTTTACACTATTTTTGGAAAGACGAAAACTACGAATAAAAACTTCATCATATATCTTTTCCTATAAATAGCATCTGAGCGCAGGCAGACAGGCAGTACGTTCCATATTTCCCATAATAGAATTTATTTTAAGGCCAACGTCGGACAAAATACTATTTTATTAATTATTTTACAATTTCCAAATGTTAAAATATCTTCTGGTTAAGACATAATCGCCACTTAATGTTGGCGTTAAGTTAACTGCAACTTAACTGACAGATGCGCTTTACAGGCCAATTCTGTCGAGGTAACAAAATTTACCTAGGTATTAAAAATTTGTACCATTTCGTATTCTGAGCTTACTGAACTGTCATTACCCTGTAAATTTTATTACTAGTGAAATAGAAGGCAACAAACATATCTGCTGTTTGATTTTGTGTTGCAAGTTTGAGAAAAAACAAAAAAACAAAATGGGCAGGCATATTTTAAGCCTGGAATTCATTGAAAGTGCAAAAAGCCGTATTTTAAGAAGTTTTCGAGACAAAAAATAGCCCTTTAATTTGTATGATAACGTTTTCATTCAGCTTTTTTTTTGTCCAGGCATATTTTTCAAAATTAGGTTCAAATATTTATGATTTAATAAACAAATTAATAAAACTTTTTAATTTTTTGTGCACCGTCTCCCATTTCGATGTGAATATTTTTCTTTTTACTTTATCAACTGGCAAATGTAATTTGACATGGACGAAGAAACAGTGCTGCCAAATTTTTTCAAAACATTTTAACCAGTTCACCCGAATACCAAACCCAATTTCGGGTGTTAAAGAAAAGTAACAATAAATTTTACTTCACCGGTAACAGTGAGAATGGGCCAGTTAATAGGACATTGTTAATATGAATTTTATGCTACCTTCCGATTAAGTTATGATTAAGTACTTAACCGGAGATGGTGAAAACGGCCCTAAAGTTCTTTCTGCTATTTATTGCATTTTTCAAAAGCGCTCTGTCAACCGTATTAGAAATCTTTATAAAAATATAAACAGTTTCGGGTTAAGTTATAATTAATACTTTTAAAGAGAGTTTGTTTGAATATCAGGACAAAAAAAAATTTATGATTCATAAAAAAATGTACTTAACCAACACTTAAGTGCTTAGGCAACACTGAAATTGTAACGAAGCTGTGTAGTTGTTGTAAATAAATGAGAAATTGATTGTTATCTGCTCTGCTATTCGCGGTACACAAAGATTTATAAACAAATCCACCGACCAGCAAATATTTACTTTTATGTTATAGAAAATGTTTTCTTATAAATTGCCTCAAGGAGGGTTAAACAGCTTAACGATTTTTAATGACGCCGGAGATATTAGGTTTGATCCTCCTGTATATGAATTGCGCTACACAACAACAGTGCGCATTTTGGAAGACCCACGATGGGGCCTGAAATTCAAAAAAGTGAGAAGGAACATTTATGAAAAAAAAAAAATTACTTACACTAAATATGCTTAATTTGAAAAACTAACAGGTAGTAGAGTTTGGATGCGCGGATATGCGGTTCTTACCATTATTGCGTCGCACTGCAGGCGTTGAGCACATTCTAGAGGTATGTAAGTGAACCTTTTAATATGCTAGTTTCGGTTTGAACTCCAATCATATGCAAGAAGAAAATATATATAAATATACATTTTCCGATATCAATATCGTTCCTATGAAATCTTGGATTCACCGATTTGGTTTTCCAATCCATATTTAACATTTTCGGTCGCGGTAGCCGAGTGGTTAGCGTTGCGTACCGTAATTTATATTATTTTATAGAGATTTATTAAAAAAAAAACATTATGTAAAATCTTCTAATTGCGGTCGCTCCACAACCCCTGCGAGTGAATTTCTGTCTTGAAATAAAGGCTCCTAATAAAAATCACCAGCTTTTCGCGGGCGGCTTATTACAAATTGTAGGTGCTTCTTTTTGTAGGAAAACAACAAGACGCATACCACAAATTTGAAGAGAAGCTTCGGGCTTTACAAGCGCCAATGATATATATATATACTTTTGAATACATATTTATTTGTATATTTTACTCCGCCCAACCATAGCCATGTATTAAATGAACTGCCCCCTGCTGGTTAGGCGTTCAAGAATTTACCCGCGGTAAGGCATGCATGTCGTAAGAGGCGACTAAAATCCAATAGTGCCCGCGACAGTCGGGTCTTTATACCGGAACGACCCGGATTTTTACCCGGCCAAGGACTGTCACTACATTCCCATAAAAAGAACTTTGGGGAATATTTTTGCGATTAACCCAACAACAATATTAAATGATCCAGATTTTTATCCGGTCAAGGAACGTCGTTCTCGCAATTTTTCCTGAAACCCAATTCGGAGAATATTTAGCGATTACAACAACATTAAATCAATAGTAAATATTTTTTTCATTTGTTTATTTTTTTAAATGCTTTTTCATAGTTTTGCGAAGTTTAATGATTTCAATTATTGATTCCTTTAATGAAAGGTAATATTAAGGTTATTATACTTAAACTACATAATTTCTGAATATAAAAACCAATTTAAAGGCTAATCCATTTGTTTTACGGCGTGCCGTAACACCTTCTATTGGTATTTTTGCAAAATAATGAAATATTATTTTAATTTCCATTGAAAAAGATTATATTTAAACAATAAAGTCGATGCACATTGTACATACATACAAATTAATTTATGCATGGTATAAACCTGCCTTGTGCCATTCATACATATGTATATATATATATATAGGTACTAAATGTGTCAGGAAGTGTGAACATAACAACAATTTGGTTTATTAAATAACCGTTATGAATATGGGTCCGATGTAACCAGTTTAAGAACTTAAAGAGAAACGAAAATGATAAATGTAACATTTATATTAACAGCAAGACTTACAAACTAATCATATAATATTATATTTGCGACGCCAAATAGACATCGTCAATAAAGTAGCGCCATTACTATTACATTTGGAGAAGTGCACGAATCTAAATATTATACATAGCGATGGAAATGAAAATTAAGTTTCCCAATTAGCATGGAAAAGGAAATAGATTTTTGTTTGCTTAATATGCTATAAACAAACGATGCGCATACACTATTTAAATTTTTGGAAGTAAACAATTTTTATATGTTAGATGTGCGCTAATCTGTTCTATTCACTGCCTGTAAACCGCTACGGTACGTTTCTATTGCAATAGATTAAATTATTTTAAATCTTATCTAAGTTATTTACTAACAATTTATTTGTAATATTTGTATGATCACTGAATATTTATACAAAATTTACAGTAGATATTCCCGTTATTATTGATTACTTTAACGAATAAGCTTACATAAGTATATGTTGTTGCTCTACACATTTAATGATGTGCATATAATACAACATAATAACGTAGGTCATTACTTTTGGGATTCTAGTTGTGGAAATCTTTGTTCATTTTCATACTTGCACTTTCATTGAAATATACTGTTTTGAATTTAATATTGTTTTATGCTATTCACATACTTTATTTTCATTTTTATGAGATTTTTCAGTAAGATTTTTTACAATTTAAACTTTGCTCTCACTTTTGTTAAGTGTTTTTTCTGCATGTTGATTTATGGTTAGACAAGAAAAATGTTGACTTTTGGGTTTTTTGTATTTGTTTGTCTCCAGCTTTGTCCCTTTTACATATGGGTTCTTAGCACTACACAACTTAAATCTACACTAGTTAGCCATCCAAATCAATATTTTATAATATTAATCTATAATAATTGAAAACAATGCGAAATTTGAAAACAGTACGATTCTCTTAATGAAACGAAGCTTGTTGTAAGTTTTTCACTTTTTACAATGTCGTGTAGATGCCGCTGCGACGTTATTGTTGCCACGATAGTAGATGTTTTCATTGTCTATTTTCTTCCAAACATTGAACAAACTGCAAACGTCTGGATTGAAATTTGAATTACTTTCTTGTTGTTCCATAACATCACCCATTTCTGTTTCAGTCTTAATTAAGCAACGACGAGTTCGCCGTTCTGGTCTACCGCTATCATTATTGCAACTTCTACGATTGCTCTGTGCTGCGGAACGTTTGCTATTTGATTTTGCTAAAGATTTATTTGCCACTGTTGAACCATTATATGATATTGATTTAGATGTGCTCGCTATTGTTTTTACTGCAGATTTTGTTGAAATGTTGTTTGGACGTTGTTTGGTATTGTTCTGAATACGTCCATCATTTTCTGTAAATGTCGATGTTATGTTTCTTCTGGTAGACCTTGTATTGTGTGCGCGAGTGTTGTGGCCACCACTTCGCACAGTATCCGTGTCCTCCGTGGCATCTGTATCAGCGTCCTCATCGTTTTCGTCATCACAATCTTCATCATCGTTGTCTTCCGTTTCGTCAGCATCGTCAACTTCCATTTCCTCCTAATTGAAATATAGTTAAGCTATATGAATGATAATAATATCGAATTCTAACTTACCGCATCTTGATCGCTATCTTCCTGGTCATCTTCCTCGATGTGCTCAACTAATCTACCGCTCAATCTGAGGCGGTTTTGTATTTCAAGTATAGCATACGTTGGCTTACCCTCATAACGGCGAACGGTTGGTTGTTGCACTTCACTTAGTTCTTCTTCGCGATCAAATTCTTTTTCGGCACGTTCTCTTGCAATTTGATCAGGGTCTTGAGACAAAATCTCTGCCCATGAGAATTTTTTCTTCTTTAATGACTTTTTATCTGATTTGGATCTTAAATTTTTCGGCGACACTCGATTGGAAAGAGTACGCTCGTGGAATGGTGTGCCTACTGATAGGTTGCTCATAATACCCCATGCTGCATTGCCGTTGTATTTATTAATTTCGAAAATGTCATTTTTGTTTTCAATCTCCTCTTTAACCCGTACACAAGTACGGACAATTTCGTTACTATCCAAGCGCAAGTCAGCAAGTGAGTAGCCAAGCTGTTGAAATTCACGTTCGAACAAACGGCGATATCTTTCATAATCTGGTCGGTCGTGATAGGCCAACTGACCCACTTGATGAAGAAACTCACCCAAATATTTAGGAACCTGCTTGCCATAGATTTGTTTCAACATTTCACGGACATCGGTCATTAGGTACTCTTTGGCACGATGTACCTTCTCTTGCTGATGTTGGATGGCAGCATCTTTCCAAGGCAAATAACCTTGAGACCAAAACATTAAATTATATCCTAAACACTCTAGGTCACTACGCCGTGAATGGGCGCCCATATGAGCATCCCGTGAAGTGAATTCTAAAGTACCATCATGTGCTCGGCGTTGATCCATTATGAAAGGACGATGTACACCATTGTCCATAAATTTGGAAGCCAAACCGAAGTCAATCAGGAATATACGTTCTTCTTCTATGGCTACAAGTGATTCAGCGAAGGCAGTTGCAGACGAACTGGTGTTACTGTTACTGTGCAAATACTTGTGGGCATTTGAATTGTTGAAAAGTTTCTCTTGACGTCTTGTTAATCGTTTCGTAGTTGTAGTTAAGCAGGTATTTGAAGAATGGTTTGACTTTTTCATGGTGCCAGTACGACGCGCAGAACTCGGTAAAAATTCTTCAGAGTCATCATCAGATGTTACCGACTTCGAATCAGTAGGATCATCTTTTATTGAAACACCATCTTCATTGAAAAATTCCGAGTAACTAATACGTTTCGTAGGTCGTAAATAATGAGACTTCACCATCTCTTCATATATGGAGTTACGCTTTTGGCGACGGCATGAGCGTACCTTAAAAATAACAATTTTTAATTATTTGATGAATATACATATATGAAACTACTTTATATTACCGGATTCGATCCACTGAATTCTACAGGATTATTGCGTGTTCGACGTTTGCGATTGCGGTTGATAGGAGTTTCGTAAATGTCCACACTGTTGCTATTGTTGCTGTTTGTGGTCGCACCATCATCAAAGTCCTCATCTTCATATTCGTCTGCAAACATGCTTCGTTTTACAACAAAATCAGCATCTTCTTCATCATCATCATTCGCTTCCTGCTCTGAACTATTACCACTATCGGTAGTTTGTTGCTTCTCCTCGTAGTGCTCATCATATTTTGTAGACTTTAGGTTTGAAGAACGGGAAGATTTGCTTTTGCCCGTGATTACTGGAGCAGTTGCAGTTTGTTTTTTATAATACTTGCATTTGGAAATCATAAGATTCTGTGCTTTAACATCGTTATGACAATAGCCTTTGTCGTGTAGCTTTTCTAAAACATTTACAATCTGTATGGCTAGTGTTAATACAGATTTTTGATGAACCCGACAATTTTTTATTAATGAATGTAGATCGCGATCAAATCGCTGCAGCACTAAAAAACGATATCGTGCATCTCCAAAATAATGAGAACCTGATGCAATATAGTTAGGTATACCCGATGGTGGACTTTGCGGCAGAGACGCGGCAACATCTTCGTGACCATTATCGTTACCATTTTCCATTTTCATATGTTCGCCTATAATTTTATTCATATAAGCAAATAAGTAGTGTATGTAAAATAAGAAGTTATTGAGTAAATTTTAGAAATTAATTAATTCTCTTACGATCTTCTTTGGCGGTGTTCATCAAACAATGTATTTCCACAAATAAAGGACCATTTGAATGCGGTTCTATTTTTACAACGAATTTTGCATTTTCGTTGGTAACCGGAATGGAAATGTTGTCAGATGCCAAAAAAATCTCTCCGAAATTTCCCTTCCCTATGAGAAGAAAATAAAAACAACAGTAATATTTTGACACCTTTATACAAGCATAGCAGAAGATAAATTAAAAGAATTAAAAAAAGAAGAAAAAAATAATAACTAATTTGAATAATCACTTCAGCTTGTCGTTATGCGTGACATCAAGTTTAATTTAAACCCAATTTGTAAACAAAAGATTTTTTTAAGTTCTCTAATGGAAGATTAGTCACTTACCAATAGGTTTGCCAAGTCTCCAAGGTTTCTGCATCAGATCGTACATAATGGTGCCATTGACTATGGATGGCAATAATGTATACACCGGTTTTGGAGATTCATTCACCGAAGTATTTGCGCTAAGTAATATCGAAGAGTTGTTTGCTTGTTTAGAAGACTGATTTCTGACCACAGGTGTGACAATGGCGGCATCGTTTGAAGAAGAATCTTCATCATCATTTTCGTGCCAATTCTGACCTCCACGAATTAGTTTGGCTGCTGCACCCCCTGAGTTTCTTTTACGCTTACGTATTGAGCGCTTGGCTGGCGTTACATGTTTCGCCTCTACTACTATCATTCGTTTACCCATTCTGTGTATGAGCACTTCCAATTTATTAGGAAAAATAGGGTTAAAGTCTTCAATAGATCGTCTTTTCAAACATTTGGGTGAACTTTCCTTTTATGTTATGAACTCAATTTTGTAAAGCCCTCAGATTTGTAGGCTTGTAAGTATTCGTTATTCTATACAAAATTTGTAATTTCGTACTATTATAATACAAAATCAGTCTCTATAACTCTACTGTTGTCTTCAGTTAAATTTTTTTTTTTGAAGGAACGTTCAACGTTTTTATGTCGGCTTCAATTTTTTTCTTCTCTTTCAAAACGACGAAGATACGCGCTGATGCAATTTAAATAAATTGAGTTCCACTTTTTGACACTTCGCTGATCGCTTTAGAATTTACTGCTTGTTATTATTGTATTTTGCATAGTGATTGTTCTACATTATATTCGCTATGCCTTATTTCTTTTTTGTTGTGATTATGGTTTTATTTTCAATAAGTACTTACTACGAAACTATATAAGAAAACATACAAAAATCATTAATGAAACCAAGTAACTTCTTTGGAAAAGCAAGAATAAGCTAATATTTCTTTATTTGTTTTTTTTTTTTAATTGCATATAAAATGTTTTAAATAAAAATGCCGATTAATCGCGATTTGAAATCGACCATTCCCACTGTTTCATTTTTAAGTATTGGACTTGTATGTACGTTTAGTTTTTCCTATAATACATTCATGATCACTATTATATGTAGCACATTTTTTAAACCTTTGCTCGTCTTGAAGTTTCAACATTCAATTTTACATTAAAAAAAAAGGTTCTGTATATTCTCCTCGCCAACACGATTTTAACAAACTAAAACCCAAGTTCATACAGTCCAATTTGCAAGTGCAGCAGATAGATATAAAAGCAGCGGCGTCGGCGTCGGCGTCGAATTATACACGAGTGTTTCGCAGTTGCAGCGGCGCTGAAAAAAATTTTCGTTCACTCATTTCAGATCGATGCAACTATAGCATCTAGTCGAATGGAACAACATTTCCTTTAATCTTAACCACAAATTTATACCAATAGAATAAGAGTAGGCTCTAACATTTATTCTCACTCAATAATCAATTTGTTTTACTTAACAACACAAAATATTAGCAGCAGCTCAGTCTACTTCAGATACACCGACTAAATTGTCCGCTTTTGTTGCTTTCAACTTCGCTTGTTTCAATTTCAGTACAGAAGATTGAGAAGTACTGGAAAAGAAATTCATCCAAGATAAAAATTTTCACTGCTCATATACACATTTTCAATTTGGTTTTCTCACGAGAAATCAACATTTGATAGATTTCTTTTGTAATCCATGCGTTGGGAAAATGATTAACAACACTTTGAATGTATTTAATTAAAAATTATCAAGCGATTACCAATGGGGTTTTAAATAAAACTTACAGATTTGCAGCCACCGTTTTCATTCGTTTCCACGCACTCGACACTTAAAAAATTACAAACACTAGCACAAGCGGAACGAAATCGCTGTCGGCGATTTTCTCTGCAGCTGTTTCGTTTCGTTTTCTACATCTTTCGCCGTGTTCCCGCATTGATTGCTTCTTCTTACATACATTCATTCATTCAAAATGATGTGTAAATGAAGGGTTTAATGGTCGATAAAGTAGGTCAAATATTAATAAAATATAATATCAAGTTTACATAAATTCGTTTAATATAATATATCTGGGTATTAGGCAACTCGTTTATATAATGGGCCCAACCATTCTGTATAGCAAAGTCGGTATTTTATGCTAGAGTTATTATTCGATTTGGGGGCCACGGAGGCTATGCAGTTAGCATTGTACAGTCAAAAAACGTGTATTAATTATTAATTAAAATTCATCCAAGATACGTTCTTTAATTAATAATTAATATACGTTCTTTGGTCATGCATTAGAATATACAATGTTCAAAGGACGACGAATAAATATTTGCAAATTTTCATTAGGGTCTCTTATTTAAAAGTACAAATTGCTGATAATCCTGATATAATTTTCATTTGATAAAGTGACTTTTGACGAATTCACCACAAACATAATGAAGAATCTCTTGTTGCGTGTTGAATTAAAATCAAAGGCTTTTCATTTATACACTTGTGCAGAGAATCTTTAATTTTCTCGTTATGGCACCACTTATAAGTTTTCCAACCACTTCTAAAAAATCACGGGTAGAGAATTCAAAACGCTGTTAAATAACAGCCATCACAAAAATCATTTTGTTAACAGATGCAGAGAAGTCATTTTCTGCAAACAAAAATCGTATGCAATTAATTTCTCTATGTTAATGTATATTATTATGTATGTTTTTTGAATTCTCTGTTAACGTATGAATCCTATGCCGGCTTTTACCCAAGGACAATGAGATTAAGAAAAGCTCTAAATGGATGTTTCCAAACGATAAGAGAAATAAAACAAAAATCCATTACTTTTTTTGTCTACATAAAATTATTGCTTGCTACAATTATAGGTGTCTTTTTTTGTACCCGAAATATTTTAAGCGAAAATCAGAACAAAACAAAAATATATTTTGTAAAAAAATAGTAATAAATATGAACTTTGCGGAGCGAACTTGTTTAATGTTCCACTTTGAGGTGACGCTTTTGAAGTTAAGGCCGAAATGACAAATGTGATGTTTACATTTGTATACTTTTTCGTTTTCCCTCTTCGTTGCCTTGTGCATAACACAGCTGAGCGAGGACATTGATACCAAAAGAAGAAAATATAAATGTAAAAAAACGCCGCAGTGCTGTACAAGCTCAATACAAACTAACCTCCTCTTGCAAAGCACTCTCAAACCAACTCATCTAACCCCCCCTCCCCCTTTGGTCCAACCCCGTCGAAACTGCTCGTTTCCTGTACGTCCCATTAGATGACCTCGGCGACTTAGATTGATCAAACCTGTGCCTAAGCGGGGTTAGCGAACCGCTACAACAACAATAATAATAATAATAATAATAATCTCGACTCCTTTGAATTTTAAAGCCGTCCATGTAGAAAAAAAAATTAAGTTATATAATTAATAAAAAAAAAAATAAATAAATATCAAAAAAATATTGTCCGAATCAGAATGTTATTAATATATGAATACAGTTCGCAAAGTTTTGTCGAATATTTTTAAATTTGCTACTGCAGCAAGATGAGAAGCGTCCATTCTAGCCAACCTGCTCCATTAGCTGATTTTTAGGTACGATACGGAGTGCCCTTAAATAAACAAATGTAAAAAGCAATGAAAAATGAAGTTCTTAATTAATCGACAATCCTATATTTTTCACTTCTATCTGCTACGGAGAAAACGATAAAAAATAGCGTTTTGCTCGAAAATAAGCAATAAACAAAAAAACTTGCATATGTGTTAGTGCTGCCTGAAATGGTGTGAGTGCATTGGTGAACCCATCAGCCCGTTCTTGCAGGGCTTTCATTGGGTTTTATCAGTGGCATATTCACAATAGTACCACTTTTTTTTTACTTTGCAGTACTGCTAGCTCTTTCAATTCTAGCCGGTTAAACTAATTCAAGTTGCTTCATTTGTTGTTGTTGTCTTCCATGTTATTCGTTAATTTACCTAATGTTCTTTTCAATGTCGAGTGGAAAAGACAACGACTTATATGTGTATAATTTTTTACGTAAATATTTATTACTTTTTTTTTTTTGCTTTTTCCTCCTTTAGGTTGATATAGATGAGGATATTTTAAGAAGCAATAAACAAAAAGCTGAACCTCTGATAACAGATTATTTACAACGACGCGAAACTCCTTTGCGTATTGAAGTTTTAAAGGGCAGCATCGATGCATCCGTTCAGCAGCTGATAAATGCAGACGCAGTTGTTGCCTTGGAAATGTAAGCGCTAGTCGGCAAGTATACCTTCTGTGTAGTTTACTCTTTTCATGAACAAATATCATTTCTGAAAAATTAGTTGAACGGGGGGAACAATATGATAAAATTTTATTTGTCGATACGATGTCAAAGTGACCAAAACCTCATGTCACAAAAAATCGGTGTACAATATAATTGATTATATGACCCAAAATCTCGGATCTGAAAAATCGGTCTTATATATGTATGTATGAAATAGTGGTCTTGACGTTTTTTGCGTTCAGTACTAAAGATAAGAGCGTGTTGACGAATATTAAAAGATGATTATGATGTTGTTTATTTATTTATTTGTTTGTTTTATTTTACTGAAAATGAACGATAATTAATTCAAATCTTTAGAATGGTTCACATTTGTCCTCACTCGCCTTCTTTTCAAATGCAAATGACGGCGAGAAGAAGTTTCTTAAACATGCACAACATTCAAACAATTTATCGATAACAATAACCCTACGTACCTTAAAATTATGAGTTGGTCTCCAACAAGCCCAATCTGGTTGGTTCCGACAAATAATCGGTTAAATTTAACAGTGCATTTGTGTACCAAGTTCCGTTGAAATATGTACCTCAAAGACTGAGGGGCTAGTTTGCATTTAAGCTGTCGGACATACAGACATTGCCCTTCTTACCCGATTGGTATAAATGGGTCCATCCTTCACTCTGGTACTTAATTATATACATCAAACCAAAGTTAATATACCATTTATTATTTATTATTAAATATAAAAAGGAACAAAATCACCAGATGATCTTAGCTATGATCTCAAACCATAATCATAAGTAGAGTTCCTTATTTGGAGGCATTTCCTGTTCGTTCCTATACACCTACGCCTATTATGAGATGCCATTCTATGAAATATAGAATTATGCAACCCCCTCGTGAAAATCTTATAATCAGTTTATGTACATATACATAAATATTTTAATTAATTTGGATTAGAGTTTGTTCATGAAAATTGTAAGATATTCGGCGCAGACGAAGACGACCTTAGTCTTGTTCGGTGAGCTGATGAACGGTAACAATTGATATTATTACTGAATAGCGTTCGATGGATAAAGCGAAAATTCAGTAAAATTTGATTCGAGGGATCGCGATTTTTTGATATTTCGTTACTGGGTAAATTCTTACCGAACAGAGCTATTTTTATATATTGCACAGTATGTAGACATAAGTGCATATATACATATAGGGGTATTCATTTTGTTGCTTCGAAAGTTCAGCGCTGTATTTTGACATCTGTCAAAACTGAGGTGTGAAACCAAAAATGTTTTGTTTTAGTTAAAAGTCAGGCATTTATGAGAAAGCGCACAAGGCGTTAAAATTGTTAAAGTATTATATTTAAGAGGAGGCCATGGTGCACATAATCGTCCAACTATCGCTTTGCTTGATCCACCTCGAAAATCGCTATTGTAAGTGAAATTGTAGCCGGAGACCCGAATGTGTCTATTTCTCGACACAGTTTGGCAAAATATAAATTGCACTTGAACTTACACAGAAACTGAAACCAGCTGACCATTCACAACGCCCTCCAGTCGTCGGCTGCGTGTTTGATCAACAATGCGTAGACGGTGATTTTTCTCACAAACTTTTCTTTAGCAACGATGCACACGCCTCACTCGGCGAATACGTAATTAAGAGAAATTGTTGCATTTGGATCAACGAGAATATTACATCAAATAATTGCTCAATACGAGGTGTGTTCAAAAAGTATCGCGAATTTTGATATATCGCGGGGTTACCTATAATCGAATTTCGATTTTTTTGTGGCGTTATGTTGGTACTCATATCTGTCACTTATGCCAACAAGCGCGGCCATTTTGAATGTTCACTTAATTGCTGACAGCTGCTTTGTTTGCACGTGTTTTGGATGGTGTTCGATTTTTAATTTTTAATGAAAGTTTTGTTGACAGTTTTCTTCGATTGCAGGGGCGTGGTACATCATGAGTTCTTGCCACAGGGTAGAACGGTCAATAAGGAATATTACCTGCATGTTATGCGCGGTTTGCGCGAAGCAATCCCCCAGAAACGTCCGGGTTTGTGGAAGAACAAAAATTGGCTTTTGCACCACGATAACGCCCCTGCTCACACATCGTTGCTTGTGCGCGACTTCTTAGCCAAAAACAACACACTAATGATGCCGCAGCCACCGTATTCCCCAGATCTGGCCCCCTGTGACTTTTTCTTGTTCCTTATCGAAGGAGAAGCTGAGCAAGATAAAAAAAAATGTTTTTTTGCTTCGAAGATTGGAAAAACCTTTGGCACAAGTGTACAATATTTCATGGGGACTACTTTGAAGGGGACAAAATAGATATTCATGAATATATAAATAATTTTTGAAAAAACACAAAATTCGCGATACTTTTAGAACACACCTCGTACATCAAAAAAAAACTTTAAGTCTGTGAGCGTATTGGTCCTAAGGTGTAATTGAAACTTATTTTCTTGAAACCGACAACGGCGAGACTTTCACTGCTAATACGGCGCTTTATTTACGTATTTACGTATGATAACGACTTGGAAAACATGTGTGTGTGCGTCACATACCCCATGGCAAGAGCAAACAAGGCTTTATGCGAGAACAATTTCTTGGCCGCCTAATATCGCGTCTTGGCGATGTCTTATATATGTCCGAAATACTTTTTTTAATGCGGATAAATCTTTGACTGTTGAGTACTTGTAAACCAACATTCGTCAATTTATGGCTGAGATATCGCCCTCTATGACTCCAAGGAGTGGTCTAAAATTACTCCATACGGATCGAAGTTTACAAAAATTCGAGAGGCGATCAATTGAATGATGTAGTGTTTCACATATAATGCCAAAGTTAAAATTTTATAATAAAAAGGGATTTCGTGAAAAATTATATTAAATGCATTTTATTTACGTTTATTTTCGAAACTACAAAATGGATAACCCTGTTTTTCTAAATATACGTTCATAGATATATACATATATATGTATGTGCATTTTTCTTTTATTTACATAGAATTGAACATTTATACCCCAAAACAATGGAAAGTGTACCGAAAAATATTTTCGGCTTTATTCAACCGAAAATTGCAATATTCACCACACCAAATTCAGATTTCAATGTACTTTTTAATTTATTGCCAAATGGTTTCCGACACGATGATCACAAATTCGAATGGTCCCGAGCCGAATTCAAAGAGTGGGCCTTAAATATCTGCAAGGAATATCCAAATTATAGAGTTGCATTTCTGGGTGTCGGCAAAGCGCCACCGGACAAAAAAAAAATTGGCCATGTCAGTCAAATTGCCATTTTCGCACGCTGTGATATACTTCATATTCCTTTAGCGGAGGCACTACACGCTACCGATGCCTCGATTGACTGCAATCCCGATCCAGACGTTCAATATAAGGAAATATTTGCTGTTGATTTTCCCGTTAATATTGATGAGCGTAGTAAAGAGGAAAAAATTTTACACGAGGCACGGTATCAAATGGACCGTTGTCGGCGTATCGAAAGATATTTCAATCGGGATTTACGTATGTATCAAGTACCACTCACAGTACTGGAGGACTATATTAAATACTTAAATGCCACAATGGAAGAATTAATTGCTGTTCTAAAAGCAAATAATATTGAAGTAAGCGAAGATTGCATCTTATTACCGGAGTATGATGAAGATGATTTAAGTTATCGTCAATACGATGATTATTACGATGATAGTTGTGGGTATTTTGGCGGTGAGGTTGAGAATGACGATGAATTGGGCGCATGCGGTGGACGTTCTTATGCCAAAGATGACGTCACTTACGATTCTGAGGAAAATTGGGATTAAATAAAAGCGAGCTGGGAGTAAAGTTCCACTATGCACGCATATGTGTGTGTGTTACAAACGTTGGTAATGAACGCTTTCGCATGGAAATACATACATTTAGTATGATTTTTCGAAATAAAGTGAATTTATGCATTTATAACGTTGATTAAAATCTTTGGGAAAAATCTTAAAAACTGTTATTTTATTTCATGTCACATATACACTCGGAGGGCTGGAGATTTCTCGCCGGAGGGGCGATCGCAATTAGAAAAATTAATTTTCTATAATTTTGGGAGTTCGTTGAACCAGGACTCGAACCCTGATCTACCGAATATTTGTACGCAAACTAACCACCCGGCTCTCGCGGAAGTCGGTCGGCTTTTAAAAAAAAAGAGCATTAAGAAACTAAAGAGCAATTACTCATAAGTTGTGACTAAAGAAAGCTAGCACTGCATTAAGCACTCTTTAAACCCGTGCCATGTTTTCGTTGGCAGTGTGCTTTAGTCTCTCACATAATCGGCCTTTCGCTGCTCTTCAACAAGTTCCATAAATTTAGTATACTCTAGGCATCGATCACCTCTTTACGTTGTATATTAATAAGCTCTGGTCTTGAAATCATTTGACGTCTAGAACACTGGTACGCCGGAATACGGTACTATATCCGATCATATTATTGTTGTTTCGGCTATAAATATGTAATTTCTTAAATTTTGTAGGGCACTAGTCGCCCCGGGGAGCTTGCCTCGCGCCAATTCCAACCCATTAAATTAACTCCAGACTAGACTGACCTTGCGAAATTCAGGAGCACATCCCTTAAAATTAGCAAAGTCTTTTCAGGAAAGAAAAGTTTAAGCAAACCGAACTGTAAATACGATTTTTCCGAGTTGATCAGTGTCAGGTCCACTACTCGAAAAGAAAAGAACCTTAAGCAACATGAACCATAAATACGACATATGTACTTATTCATAGGAATTTAGATAAGAGTAAATATGTATTAAAAATTAACCATATGATAGTGCAATCATTCACTTCGTTTTCGGAAAAGACCCCGCCGGGCCATAAACCGCACCAAACCGTAAACCGTAAACAGTTAACAGTTTGAGAATGGAGAGGCCTTTGAACAATAAATCTTGGGTTTTACGAGCCCCAAATGAGACAGTTTTGCTTATTTACGTAGCCAACGGGATGCAAATGGGTATCATCAGTCAAGATGATTTGTGTCGTTTGTGGAATGTCCAAACGTAACCTGCCCAGACCCAACCTGGGGCTTTTCAACATTTTGGGCTCCAGCAGCAATATTCGCAGTTGTTCTTGAGCGACGAGCACGGTGTTTAATTCTTCACATCATTAACTTGTCCCAACAGCTCTATTTTTCCACCAATTTCTGTATTGCGGTCCGGCAAGGTGGTACTGGCTTAGACACCACTTACGTGGTTATAGCCGCTTTAACAACATTGCGCCAATTGGAAATACAAAGTACAGCCAGGTCCCTCCCTACCTGGTCTTTCCTACAGAGTGGAGGTCCTCCTCTTCCTCTGCTCCCACCGACGGGTACTGCATTGAAAACATTCATTTTTATAGTGTGTTTTAAAAACTTCAACAGGTTGTTGAAGCGTGTATCGTTCCATCTTAGTTTTTATTAGTAAAAAAATTACTGCTGCAAAAGTGACATCTAGCGGAATAACAGGCTATTCAAAATAGCCCCTCTTATTGGAAAGCTCTTTAAAAAGATGCGGGGAAACGAATCCCGTTTAGGCACCCGAAAGCCTTCCTATAAAATTATAACGTAGGTCCACGTATAATACCATCTATCGGGTTATGGAATGGATCAAACAAATCAGTTTACTTTCGAAAAAAGTCGCTGAAAAATTTTGTAAGTACACTTTCAGGATTATAAATTGGATTTTTTTCAAATAGATCAACCCCTGCTTCACTTCCTGGTGTGAAAAAATTTCATAAAAGCCGGTCCAGCCTTTTCGGAGGATTAACGTAACCACAAAACACTGAGACGGCAATTTTATATATTAGAATTATATTTAGAAACGCCGGCAAACGTAGTTTCTTTACTCTGTGCGAGGTATTTCTATGAAGAATGTAGAAATATAGATTATAGCTCATAATAATCTTGTTTGATTTACATTTATACATACATATATATATATATATATGTTAAACGTTTTGTTGTAGCCGGCTTCAAGGAAGGATACATTTGTATATAAAATTAACTGTAATTTCACTATACAAGTAATATGTACAATACATATGCATGCATGTATGTGTATGTCGCACATATTAGTTTTTTCTGAAAGAGAGTAAATCTGTGTGAAATCTTACATTCTTAATGCATCCCCTTATTGCTTTTCAATTTATTTGTTTCTCTTACTATTCCAACGAACTCATACAAACATACACTTTTCCATATGATTGCGATTTCTTCCCTCATAACTTATTGCAACCGGAAGCAAGAAAGAAGTTCTTGCTATAAACTTCACTCTCGGAGGTGGAGGGTTAAAGTACGAGTATGTGTAGGCGAGCACAACCAATAACTATTGTGGTTGAAGATGTGACCGCCGCCACCACTTCGTAGAGCAAATATTCGCAAACTCAAACGCAGCTTGAGCATAAGAGACCGGAAAAACAACGCATGCGCTGACAAACCGTTACAATGGCTAGATTAGTAGAAGGAAAGTGGGAGGGGGGCGAACTAATAGAGTTTGACTGCAACGAAAAGTTAAGGTGAAGTCAACAAATCTGTGAGGAAGACGCAAACATAACTATTTGAAGTTAGTTGGTTCTAGGCACGAACAAGAAGTGCACATCGAGTTACCCTAAAGTGGGGCATTCATTTTTAAAATATTGTACAGTGTATATAACAGTTAGTGCGTTATTAAATATTTCTAAGTTCCGTAAATGTAATTTTGTAAGCGAATGTTTTTGTTTTGAAAACAAAAAAAAGAAAACAAAGATTCTGCGAGACTGACGGAAAATTTTGACATTTTTTTTTTGTTTCTTTTTGAAACAATAAATACGGCACGGATCTACTAGTGATTGCGTTAAGTAAGCGCATTTTGCACGCTGGAAGGAGTTCATATAACGAAATTACATATATATTTTGGTTTGCTTTTTGCCTAACAAATACCGCCATGGCCGATGAGGGTGCGAATCCGGAAAAAGAAGCTGAAAAGAAAATCGTGCACACATATCCGCTTGTCAAGGTACGACGGCCGTGGTTGTCAAGCAGACATACGAATATATGTATATGAGAAGATACGACAAAAAATATTTTTTTTTAATCAACAAACAAAAAAATGAAAACAGGAAAAAATTGAACATAAATATTTATAATTGTTGCGTGATTCTTTCAGCATTCCGATATGAACGAAGAAATGCGAACAGAAGCAATTGAAATGAGCATAACCGCGTGCGAAAAGTATTCCAGCAATTACGAGGTAAGCTCATAATTAAAAGGACGCTCCAAAGGAGTTTGAGGGTAGAAAACAAATAAACAAAAACAAATATTACAAGACAATCAACATGAAGCAACGTGATTGAATGCTGAATGAACAGAAAAGTGCACACTTTTTACCGGTGTCTTTGTTAAAAACGGTTTAAATTAGGTTAGATTGTGGTGGCTACCGCTTTATCGTGTCGGATTCACGTTGGCTTGACTAAGATTCCTTATTATGAAAAAAAAAATTGTTGGTCATGTTTTCATTATCCAGTCATTTTCATTTCCATTAGATCCAAAGCTATGTCGTCGGCTATTTTCGATAGACAATGCGCAAGAGTGTTCCAAAATTCCAGAATCTAGCACTTAATGATGGGTGAATTTTTCACCCCACTCATCTTTCTTGACGCGTCTGCAACATCTTCTATAGGTAGCCCCTAGTTTCCTCGCGTGTCGTCCTATGAGACAGTGGCTTGTCATATTACCTTGGACTTGTTCCCCTATATTTAAGGAGTAAGTATCCTATCATAACTTTTTATCACATTTGCGGCAGGATTTGTATCATTCAACCTTGAGAAGCGGCAAGCAATTTGACAAAAGGCTTATCGATGCGTTCTTTATCGAAAAGAATCTACTTTGTCGTACAAGATACGCCCAGCAAGTTCACCCGCCTTAAAGTTTTCCTCGATGTTCCACGTGATAGACAATCTGCTCTTTTCGGCCAGATCCTGTAGTGATCGGCGTCAGTCCAACACTAATTTGAAATTTAGTGTAAGCGAGCTCAGTGCTTTTATTGCTGCCTGAGTGTTGCTGAAAGCAACCTCCATGATAGCAGATATCTCCGCCTGGAAAACACTTCAATGATTAAGTAACCTAAAGAGAGTTCCATTAGAGAGTTCTCTGAGAAGACACCTCCGGCAACTTTACCCTTAAGCTTTGATACAAAAACGGCTTACGATAGCAAATGAATTTAAAGGAACAGAAACATAAATTTGTGTATATAATAATTTTAAAAAATAATAAGTGGATTTTAAATATGATTACTTTCTCTCTCTTTCTCACTCTCTCTCTCTCTCCTGCATTCACTCAACACAACCAGCAAGCGGCGCGTGTAATCAAGGAGACTATGGACAAGAAATTCGGCATCTATTGGCATGTGGTGGTCGGCGAAGGTTTCGGCTTTGAGGTATCCTATGAAACTAAAAACATTTTATATCTCTTCTTTGGTGGAAACTTAGCAATTTTGCTTTGGAAATGTTCATAGTGGCAAATGCTTGTGCATGTTTGTATGTATGGCAGTATGGTGTTTAGAGAACTACGAAACTAAAATATGGCACAATAATTAGGGAGCAAAGAAAACTTTGAAACAAACTATCTAGGGAACATATAGCGAAAGAGTTTTAAATATAAAAATAATATTGTAATACATATATTATTATTATTGCAATAGTAGAATACAGAAACAAATGGTTTCCATACCCGCGTACCTAAAATGTATTAAATTCTAATGGGAAAGAGAACAAAAAAAGCAAAAAAGTAAAGAAAAAAATTACTTTCAAATTTTATGAATAAAATGAATACAAATTTTAGTGATTACACAAATAACCAAAGATAATAATTGTAAATATTTTTATACACAAATAACACAGTGCGTGTAGTACTTGTAAAATATAAAGACGAGAGAAATAAAAGAAATTTTTAAAATAAACAAAAATTTGTGTTATTTTTGTGCGGCCGCGATAGTCGGGTGGTTGGTTAGCATTACATACTGCCGTTCTGAAGACCAGGGTTCGAGCCCCGATTCAACCAATATCCAGAATTATAGAAAATCAATTATTCTAATTGCAGTCGCTCCTCGGCACGGAATGTCAACTCTTCCGAGTGTATTTCTGTCATGAAATAAAAGTTACTCATAAAAAATTATCAGCCGTTCGCAAGCGGCTTAGTATAAACTGTAGGTCCTTCCATTTGTTGGAAAAACATCAAGACGCAAAAACACAAATTGGTGGCGGAGCTCTGCTAAACGTTTCAGCAGCTACAAAGTGCCCATTATATATCGTACATATAACTGTGAAGAGACAGCGACTCTGGCTAGGTCATGTCGTCCAGATGGATGAAGCCGGAGCAGAAGAAGTGGATGACCTACACCCCGTTTGGATGGATCAGGTAGAGAGCGACGTAGTTTCACTTGATAAAAAGGTTTTTCTGACAGTTTTGTGATTGGTTGATTCAGTTTTGTTTGAGCGTGCGTCATATTTTTCAGCTTCTGTGTATGGTGCGGATACAGTTCTAGTCAATCATGCACAATTTCGGTTTGATTCCGGTAATTTTGATGTAAAAGATGCTTCCCAGAGTGGAAGGCCAATTGGCGAAAATGTAGATAAAATCAGGGACATAGTCGAGTCCGACCGTCATGTAAGCACCATTTCGTTTGCCAAGAGCTGAAGATTGCACAAAAAACCATTTGGAAATATTTGATACGAAAAGAATATTTAGAACGTTGAATTTCCTACAAAAATAATGGATTTCTTTTTACTACGAAAAATGTATTCTCAAAAAAAACCGTAAAAAGAATCTAGAACCAAGACATAAGCTGTAACCCCAAAAATCGTCCATATGCACATATATTGGCGCAAAGACAACTTGCAACGTAAGAACTCACAACTTGTTACATCGATAATTACACCGATCAACAAAAAAAAATATATATTTCTTTTAAGTTATTTATACATTAACCCATTTAGTGCCGGGGACCTATATATCGACTCTTACTGTACTTGCTTATAGTGAATTTGCGCCGACCGATAAGTTGTTGTTGTAAGCGCAAAAATATTCCAGAAAGTACTATTTGGGGAATGTTGCGGGAGTGACAGTCTTTGGCCGGATAAAAAAAATCCGGCTCGTTCCGGAATAAAGACCCGACTGTCACGGGAACTATTGGATTTTAGTCGCCTCTTACGACAGGCATGCCTTACCGCGGGTAAATTCTTGAACCCCTAAGCCGCATGACCGACAAGTCATAATTAGTGGTTTCAACGATTCAAAAGTGGTGATTCTAGTATTCTAGATATATAGCCTTCTGATGGGGCCAGACGGGTGTAATATACTAACTAGGTAAAACCATTCATGTACATCGTTATCGACTATAGCTAAAGTCTTTGGGCAGTGTACTGTGTGAAAACACGGCCAGAAACCACCGAAAGGCATGACAAGTTTGCAACATGAAAATGCTGAGCCCCACGTAGCAGTAACGGTCAAAAACTAGCTGAAATTGCTGAAACGATGGATAAAAATGATTTGGAGAGGTCACCGGTTCGATTCTTTTGACAGAATTGAAGAATGGTTCAATGAGTGGATTTTTTTTTTTTAAATAAAAAAACACTTTTTTGAACACAAAAAGGCGGACTTCACAATTTGTACACCTGAGAAAAAACTGAAATCCAACATGTAGGAGTCAGATGCAAAAATTATGTTGACCGGTGTTATTGATTATACCAAAACCGGCGACCTATTTAGCTACACTTTAAAAAATTATATAAGGAAAAATATGTATTGACCACATTTTTGGAAGGGACTTAGGCTGTGTACTTACTTCTAATTTGTAGTGTGGTGTGGGTCTTGATGTTTCTGCCAACAAATGGGGGTATCTACAGTTTTTAAGCCGCTTGCGAAACCGGTTAATGGATTTTTATGAGATGCTTTTTATCTCATCTAGTAAATATACTCATCCCCTCCGGCTCTGCTGAAGGGCCACCAAATTAAAAAAAAAATATATATATATATATATATAATTTTGGATGTTGACAACTATTTTCAGTGGTCAGAGTTAAAAATACAAATGGGGTTTTCTAATTTTGCATATCTTAAAAGATTTAATGAAAATTTGAAGTGATCTGACTAATATTTTCCGAGTTATTCAGTAATTAACAAAGTTCTCTGTAGTGCTCCAGAACGATCGTCTAAAACTTTAAATTAATTTACCTCAAAATTGTGATTTTCGAAAGGATTAGACAAAAACTTTGTTTTCTATAATCTCAGAAACTACTGGCCAGATTACATTGAAAGTTGCCAGTTTTCTTTTGGTTTCAAGGAATGTTTAATACTTATTTTGGGCGAAGGGGATCACCGACAGATTGACAAAAAAATACTATGATGGGGATATACGGCTTATTGTAAGTAAGCATAGATCCATTTTTATTGATTTTGAGTAGCGTAAAAGCGAAATATACATACATACAAATACTTAGCTGGATGAATAACGTATTAAAAAAAATTCATTTCTGAATTAATACGTTTTAAACACCCTTTGCAATACCAAATAGCTAAAAGCTGGGGATCCCCAGCAATGTGGAGGTGGATCTGCTGATTTTTAAATAATAAATTTCAAAAACACTCCGCGGTGGCCACTGTTCTGTAACATATGAAAATTAGTTCCGATCGATTCCTAGCCCTCATAATTGGTGAAAGAGAGCGGCTGTTGCCAAACTCAATGACCCTTCTATGATTTTTCCGTCAGCTTTTATCACTTACTTTTCGCCTGCCCCGCTCTGTAAAACCACTTCAACAACAAAGATCCGGTTCAGTCACTAAGTATACCATCAGATGAAAAAAATCTCTAAAAATTATAATTTTCTAAAGGTATCCACTTCTTCGCCGTACTTAAATAAACCAGTCAGCCGAAAGCCGATATTGCTAACGCTGCGTGCATAGTTTATATAAGTTTTTGTTTTTGTAAGCTTTACTAAATAAATTAATAAAAAAAAGAAAAAAATAGAATTTTCTTTTTGTAAAAGTATTATTAATTTATTTGTTGTTGTCAGTAGTTCGTTTTCTAGTATAACATATGTGTATATGTATATGAAAATAATGAATTTTTTGTTTCATACTAAACACTATTTACATATGTACGCATATATTTATGATTTTTGGAAAACCAACACAACTCGAATTCTAATAAAAACACAGCTACATTTTCTTTAATTTATTTTAGGCGTGTACATATGTATATTTGTTAACCATAAATCAGGGAACATAAAACGATGAAAATTTAAACATACCATTAATTTGTATTATAGTTTTGCTAATTTCTTTTGCATGGAACTACGCAAATACATCTTCACGATCTGCACCTGAGCCATCGCCTCCATCCTCTAAATTGGAGAATAATAAGAAATGCGAGGGTCGATGTATTTCGTGATAGAATTCCTTAGGATTCGATAATTGCAGTTCATATTTCATATTCGCATCGTGACGTACACCCATAAAGTTGTAATTCCAACTACCCTGCGCCGGCACCATAAAGAAGCCAAGGAATTTGTTCGACAACAACATTTGTACCCGTTCATAGTGTGATGGTAAGTAACCCTTGGGATTGTTACCTTTATCGGTATTTTTAGAGCCCCACTCGAAACCGGAAGGCGTTAGCTTATAGGCGGTAAGCGAACATGAGCCGGGTGTGAAAGAGCAGGTGATAACAATGGTCTTTTCACCATCCCACGTTGCATTTTCCTGCATAATTTTGGCATGTGTGGTGATATCCTGCGGTGACAGTTGCGGCAACTCATTCGGCTGTGTGTGTATCCAGCCGAGTGGTTCCATGTCTTTCAGATACTGATGCGTTGGTAGCGTATTAGGCAGATTTAGTGTCTGATGTGTACCCCATTGAGGTGGCATCACAATGCAACGTATCTCTTTGACCTAAACGGCGCAATGAAATTCAATAAATAAGAAATCAAAATATTAAAAAACTTATTTATTACGCAACAAATTGACTGTCTATAATAGTTTACCTGCGGATTATCCGGTGGACTCACGCCATAAAGATAGCCAGCAATTTGCGCACGCAAATCGGAAATCGTGACAAATTTCTTTAGTATATTCTTCGGTAAAATGTACGTATAGCCAGTCTCTTTGATATCATCGGAACTGACATAAATGTGATTTGTACGCAGATGTAAATTCGTCGCTGATATAGCACGCACACGCCACTCCGTCTTTGAACTGAAAGTTTGCGTCTCATAATTCGATGTGGTTGAGGTGATAATTTCATCACCATGTTTGTTCGTTGTACGCGTCGTCGTGGCCGTGAGCTGATTTTGCTCCTTAGTTTGTTTCTCTATTTCGGCAATTTGTTGACGCTGCGCAGATGGTGCACTAATTTCCATACCCAAAATGATATCACGAATTTCCGATTGTGTTAGGGACGCAACATTCACGTTATTCTTTTTGCCGTAATCCGCTAAAATCAAATCCTTTAGCTGTACTTCAACCTTAATCCACTCCTCGTCGGTGAGTGTGGGCCAAATGTGATGAGCCTCGGTTATTGTTGTCTTATCGGGTTTCAATATAATCTTCGTACGTTCAGTATTGACATGCAGCGCTCGCAAAATTAAAATCAAACGACTGAAAGCGGTGTATGAGGAGATGGTCTTCAGCCAATCATCATAGAGATTAAATAGAACCATCTGCGGCTCGGTGGCTTTCAAGATGAGATCACCGAACTTTTCCACTTTAAGACAAGCCTGTTTAAGGAAAAAGAAATATGCTTCAATTAAAATTAATGCATAAAAAAACGAATAAAAAAAACTTTTTTTTTTTCAACGGACAACTTCACGACGATTACGGAACTAAATCTTTCCACACCTTAATGGTTGGATGAAAAGCAAAAAAATATTGTTTTGCCAACTTAAAATTGAATATTTATAATTGGCGCTTTGTAACCGCTAAAGCGATTTTAGGCCGTGCTCCTCCTCCAATTTATGGTTTTGCGTCTTGATGTTTTTCCAACAAATGGAGGGATCTACAGTTTATACTAAGCCGCCTCCGAACGGCTGATGGTTTTTTTATGATGAGCTTTATTTCATGTCAGAAATACTCTCGGAGGGGTGGAAATTCCCTGCCGAGGGGCGACCACAATTAGAAAATTTAATTTAATTTCTTAAAGTTATATTATATAATTTCCTCTTACTCACCTGGAATGGTAGTTGCAGTTCAGAACCTTTGATCACAATGTTTGGGAAATCCAATAAATGCACTTCCAAAGGATCCAACATACCCTTACGTGTGACGATAATCTGCTTTGGCTGCTCTTCAACCGGTAGAGAACGAATTAAAGCAGCCACTTCTTCGGCTGTCTTCCACTTTGCCAATTGACCCAAACGTTTTTGACCAGCCCACACAGACGTGTGAATAATTTTTAAGAACAATTGACCCGTACGTGGATTGAAAATGAAAATTGCACCGTTTATGGGTTTCGTGGTTAAATTACCTTCGAATGTTTTGTGTATGGTCACACGGTATACATTCGTGTCATCAACAAACCAAATAATCTGATTTGAAAACAGTTCACCATAATTTTGTGAGCTAAGGTACGGTTCAGTGGGCTCAGATGAGTAAAGCTGCAACGCTTTGCGTATACGTTCACGTAATACATACAACGCTGGATTGGCTTTCATGATTTTAGCCATAGCTTGTTGTATGAGTGTCTTACAGCCGGGAAACCAGTTGCCATAGGCCGAATGTAAGTTGTATGCTAAATCGATAGCGATAAGCACACCGGTTGGCGATGGATAAATGGACATGTTATCCGTGGTGTAGTCAAGGAATTTCGCACGCGCATAACGTTCCACATCGTGTGAATCGTAATCGCCCCAACGTAATTGTATATCCAACCAATACTTTTGAGTAGTTGTATTGTCCATTGTGTCTTTTGTATCAGCAAGCAATGATGGTCGCGAAACATTCCATTTATAAGCGGGGAAAAGCAAAATATCGGCACAAGATGAATTCATTTTATAGGATTTACGTGGATGTATAGTTTCCTTTTGCACCGTCTCAATTTCGAGCGCATCCAATTCCTGATCGAAAACTTGACACAAATCCATAACAATGGACTCGTGAATCTTTTGCCACAAGTGAGCACGGAATATTTGAATCAATGAGATTTTTAATGTGGGAATTTTACCATGCATGAAAATACCCGTTAAATCCAGCTGCACCTGGAAACCAACATACACATTGGCACGATTAATTGTTGGTGACCACCACAACGTAAAACGACGATTGGGAATTTGATTCAAACCGGAACGTTGAGCATTTGTTAGTTTCTTATATTTCATAGACTCTTCGAAACCAGATGCTTTCTCCCAGAAGAGACCCTCCCATGTGGGGAAGTATGTACCCTTAAAGAGCGTGTGCTCTAGTATGCCCTCTACACCACCTAGAGCCTGAATCATATCCGTACGATAGTTATTTAGATTCCACAATTTACCATCATGCCGTTGATGCGTCCACCAAAATGGATTTTGTTTAAGGACTTGATATTGTTTGAACTCTGTACGTATACGCCAACCCTTATCATAGGCAAGTGTGTGACGATCTTTTTGGAAAAGTGTATTTATACGAGGAATACCACGATCCCAACTGTCTTCCAAATCTTCTAATGTTAAACGACGATTTTGAGCGTTTGCCTCTTGGCGTTTGAGTGCATATTCGGCCCATACACGTTGTGAATCGATGAACTCACTCTCCCATGGTTGAATGTAACGATACAAATTCGGAATCAGTTGATCTTCGTCATGTGACATACCTGTTAAAGAGAAAACCCAACATTTTTTTGTGTTATTCTTAACAAATATTTTTATAAATCATATGAAATGGTGTTTAAATCAAACTTTATATTCAATTCAAAATGAAATAGGTGCAATATATTATTTTTCGGATGCATGACCGTATTTATTTACCTGAACGGAAATGTGTAATGCCGACATCCGTTTGCTTGGACCAACGCAAATCTGATTGCGGTATAAGTACGTGACCCATACTCAGCATGCCCAACCCACCTAATTCTTTGGGTGTGTAGAACACTACAGGTGGGAAACGGGAAGGCATTTTTGAGTTAAGGCCAATTTTTATACGTGTCTGAATTTTATTTTCACACTTTACGAGCAAATCAAGTAGTTCCTGTGTATTTACGACGGCTTCGCGAAAATAAGTCATAAGACCAATAAGTGCAGTGTTCCATTTGTTAACAATCTGAATAGAGCATAAAAGGGGGGAAATGTTTACGAATTATATAAAAAAAACTGTTGGTAAGTACAATTTTACCTTCGTAAACGTTGTGGAACCAGATGCCATCAGAATCTGACGCACACGATTATGGAAACGACCCAAGGACTCATCATCAACCCGCAGGAAACATTGAGCCGTGCGCTCTTTTGTCACCTCATTTTGTAAATTCCATACGCCATCGCGATGTGTAAATTCTTCAGTTTGTGTACGGCACTACAAAGTGGAATGTGCTGTCTGAATTTGTTTTGTTTTTAATCAATTTCTTTTTAAATTTATTACCTTGGGCAATATGCGACATTCAAATCCACACATATTAAATAGTAGATTTGGATTATCCTTCGAGTAGACTGAAACAAAAGTGTTCTCCCAGTTTATTGTCGTAACCGAACGAGGTAGACGATTTTTAATGTCCCAGAACACAGCACGGCCCCTAAAATAGTGCATAGATCAAAATTTAAAGAAATTAATAGTTTTCCTCTAAAGTTAGAAACTTACAAATTTACATCATGCTTCATCAGTCGCATACGCGCATCTCGCGGCCAACATTTTTTGTTGTTATAACCCACAATATTTTCATTATTTGGATCAGGATGTTCGGTAAGATAACGCTGAATCAAATCACGTGCTTCCTCCGCCGTGAAACGGAAGAACAAATGAATACGATCCACATATCGGCAATACAAGCGTATGGGATGTGCAGTTTCTGTAACGGCATCTTGGAACGTGAGGAAATCATTTGGCATTTGTGGTGGACCGGCCATTTCACTTGCGCGATGCAGACCTAGCATAAGCAAATCCAATACCAAACCATAATATTGCGTGATGAACGAAGAGAATTGCAGACCACGTATTATGCCGTAACTGTTTGTATGATTCATGTCCTTGTAATTAATGACGACGTTATTCTTTGCAGTCATATAATCGGCAATATTATGATCGACTATAAGACGTAGCAGACGATTCAACAAAGTTAAATCGATTTTCTCATACAGTTTTTCAAAACGTGATTCAAGCAGAACATTGCATTCACCCTCGCCAACGTCCCAAACGTCTTGCAGATTGTTAATACCTTGAGAGTAAGATTCAGTACTTAATATATACAAAGTATGCAAGAAATTAATTATTTCAATATTCAATGTTCATATAATTTACTTACCGTTTTCAAAAGTCTATTAAACGGTGCTGGTTGTAAAGTAAAAACGCGTAAGCGTGAGGTTTGCAACAAGGGGATTTCAAATGCAAATCACTTTGCTACAAATCACACACACACACGTCTACGTAGGTACGTTTTATTACTGGTATAACTTTGATTTGATTTTTTAAATTATCATTATTGTTTTTAGTATTGACCTACCTTGGCACCACTTATAAGCCAACAATGGTGGCGGCTCGGTATCACTTGGCTTTATCCATGGCGGAAAGAGGCGACGCTTATCTGCTTCATACCACAAATACTGATCTAGATAAGCATCAGTTATTTTTTCAAGCGGTTCAACATCATATACTGGTATCAAATGGCTGTACAAATCCATGAATTCAATACCAACCTAAAATAAACACTTTTTTTACACAAAATTGTTTGAAAAGACATTTCTTCACTAACGAACCTCCTTGAATGCACGCTGCGTTAACAAATGACGTTTTATACGCGATAAAGCTTCATGCGGATTATCATAGGCCTGTTCAATGAGACCTAATTCCTCACGCTGACTCTGATTTAAACGTGACTTAACACTGTAGGCTTCCTTCAGACGCTCCAAAGCCAAAATTAATAATTTTGTATCGTGTTTGTATGAAAGTGGGGGGAAAGGTATGGGACCGAAACGGCGCGACTCCAACCAATGCACTGTTGTGGTGTAAATGGCAACAGCTTCTTCGGGTGATATGTATGGACCGTCTTTTAGGTAATTGTGTTGACGTTCCTGCTCCGCTTTCAAATACAAACGCGTTAGGCGACCCAAGTTTTTCTTACAAACAGTTTTGTCAACTGTCGCACCACGTCGTATACGTTCGCGATTGTAATGCGCTGTATTAGTCCACCAATCGGCTTTCATCTTAACATAACGCAATATCATATTCTCTATTGGTATTGGCAATCCGGGCACTTTCCATGGTATATTCGCCTTCCAACAACGCCAAGCTTCTGATAAATGTTGCAATATGGTACGCGCTTTGTTTTGCTTAATGCCTTCGGGCATCATATCAACAATATCGTGCATTACGGACGCTCGCAATTCCAAATCGAAATGTGACTCAACACGTTGTTTTGTAACGGTTTTTGCAACGCCCTTCGAGTGACGTCCTTCGAATTGACGCGACAACAAATTGCCAAGCCAACGTTCTAGCAACGGAGTTATTCCACGCATGAAGAAGAGCCAAACACGCCAACCAGGAGCCCAGAAACCGCAACCAGGTCCTTTACCAACAGGACCCTGGAGTGAAATTTTTCAAAAATTAAAAGCTTTATATAAAAAGAAATAAAAAAAAAATTGGATAAATATGCTTACTGTATTAAAACGATAGTAGATAAGATGCTTCAAGTCTTTGCACATACGGATCTGTCGCATTAATTTGTATTTGTAACGGTACATGCCAGACAACTGACCAACATGTGCAAATATATACTGCAGACCATCGGCCAATTGAAAAGCGTCCACATTATTCAGCCGATATTGTACATGTGAATCAATGATTAACTTGGTTAGGTGCAAAATTTCACGACACAAATGGAATGCTGTAGTAAATTGTTTAGAAGGAAAAATTATAATTTTTTCAAAATGATCAAAAATTTGAAAACAGGCATTTGCAATAATATTTGTATAAATAAATTTAAAATTTGCTTATTATATATATATGTATATATTTTAATAAAGTACTAACCATTGCCGAAGCGAGACTTCTTTCGCTCTTTAGTTGTCAGTGTTTTTACCGGTTTTAAGTTAAAGTTATAATCCAAATGCAAATAATTTAAATTTTTACGATGAATCAATAAATTGAGCATGTTGTAGCCTTGACGGCATACCTGTAAACCAGCTTCCACCCAGTCCAATGTGGTAGTCTGGAAAAATTTCGTTGCTTTAAATGAACGAAACAGGTACCTAAAATGAAGCAAAACAAACAAACAAAAAATACGTCATTCAAATTCTTAAGAAATTTATGTTTATGGCGGACCTCTTCTTTTGTGGTTTTGGTTTACGATGCTTCAATGCATTTAAAACATAATATTTCAAAAGCTTCTGATAGCTCACGCGCACTTTGACCGGATGACCAGGTGGGCAGTGCTCTTTGTACCAACTTTTAACTAGCGGTACATCTATGGCGCGTCGAGAACGACCCGAACGCAAATTGAAAGGTCTTGGTGCCCAAAGCAATGCTATGCCGTTGGCTGTGTTATCAGTGTATAGTGGCGTGTCCTGTAAGAATGGTTGCACTTCATCGGGCAATGAAAAATCCTCATCATCGTCAGGCATAGGCTCTGCTATCTTGGTATTGGCATGACGATGTGAAATCGGATTAATTAAGGGATCAAAGTAAAATGCGGGCAAATCTGGATCTTCGGTTTTAATGTACACTACATTTGGAGTGTGATACCTGGTGTAAAAAGAAAAATAATACACTTATTTATGAAACAATATGCATGTATACTTATTAATGTCTTTTCTTCTAATTGTAAAATAATTGTACGCAACTGTCAGCAGCTATAGGGGGTAAGCTTATTTTTACAGCTTCAACGCCAGTTGCACCTCTTCAAACTTTTTTTTTTTAAATAAGTCGCTTGAAAGTAGTAATTTTCTTATGAGTTTGGTTTTTTATACCACTTTTATAAGAAAGTACAGAAATTTATGATTTTTAATAAGTCTCTGCTTTTTTAAGTGGAATCCATACTTATAAGTGTATATATAAGCAAATGTATCCATAAGTCGTTACTCACCAGGAAAGATGTACGAAATGAGGCATGTTGTTGTATAGGTATGGGAAAGCAATTCGGTACTCTGTACGAATTGGTTGACGAATGATAACTTTATTGATGTCATTAAACTCATTCCAATCTTCGTCTCTATTAAGGAATTTAAGTTTTAAATTTTTTTACGACATAATTTTCGAAACATGAACTTGGAACTTACCCGACGTTATGGTCTTTAATGAGAGGCTCAAATTTTGGCCCACCTGGTATAGCCATATTTAGTGCTTTAGCCGTGAAGAAACTTTTCGGATCGAAAAGGTAAAAAAAGTTATCGTCTACTAAATCAGTAAGCAATTGGTTGGCCAAACGATATAGTGTCGCCAATTGCGGTAAAGTCAAATTCCATTTGCGATATGTAGAGCCATTTACGTAAGGAGTTCCAACAAGTGGCCTATGTTCATAGAACCATTTGTATACAGCACCATCTTCTTCGGAGTCTAAGTCAATTTGAATGGCCTCTAACGGCTCGACGTCTAAGATGTTATCTGCATAGTCTAGAGGCGGCTCCTCGTCATCAAAGGGTGGAAATCGCATGCGCTTAAAATGCCGACGATCACGTTTCTCGCGACGCATCATAATCCACATGGTCCTAAAGATTATGAAGAAAAACATAATTTTTACATCAAGAAATAATTAATTTCTACTGCATAAAAAACTTACCCCCATTGAGCGATGTAAACAGGCTCGATAACCCATGGTATTTCATTGACAAATGTAATAGCGCCGGTAATGTGGTACAACACTTGGACATCACGTATTTGCTCCCATGGCATCGGCATGTTTTCAAGCAGTTTCAACACAGCATGAGGCATATACTTCAAAGCACCAAGGTATACACGTTTATCGTGACGATATTTGCGAGATGTCATGTCGCCGTGATCGCGTATAATTTTACGTATGTGCTCCGGTGGCATATCTTCTTTTTGAGCGTCTACGAACCCGAATTTTCGTTTTTCTGCAAATCTTTTCGATTGCAATTGTTGCCATTTCTGTGCTTTCTCTTGAAGTTTTTCCTCAGTAATTATGTCTGGTTTGGGTGTAGGTATTTGCCCAAGCTGTGCTTGGTTTATACCACCAACACCACCACTACCACCCCCCATTGCACCCGTTGGCAAACCCACACTTCCATTTGTCATCGGCCCCGGTAAGGGTGTTCCCGGGGGTGGTATTTGTTGTATTTGATTAGCCATTTGATGTGCATGCATTTGTGCTTGCTGCACTTGGGCTGCAGCCGCATATGCCTGGGCCTGCTGTTGCGCCATAATTTGTGCCGCCCAGGCATTGGGCGGTATCATATACGGCGGCAACGACATTTTTCTATGCCTTTTCAATAAATAACTGTGGCCGTAAAACTAAAAGAAAAATTCATGTCATTTGCGAAATTGTGAAAAACTCGTCGACGGATACACAAAACCGTGAGAGGCGAAGACAGCAGCAAGCCCTCGCTAGACGTCGCCACTCAGTATGCAAAATTTTTCAGCTTTTTTTACGTTATATTCATAAAATACCCGAAATAAATATACATACCTGACTATTTGTATCTTATGCTATATTTTTTACACAATAATATTATTAAATAATTGATATTTTTCGGTATTTTTTGTAAAAATTTCCGGAGGAAATGTGTGAAAACGTTTTCCAATCGAATCGCGGTCACAGAGTTACCATCACTTTTAAATGGATTCGCAGCCCTTCAATGCGGGGTATGTCAGATGAAATATTATGAAGCTATCTCAAACCGGAACACGGCGGAATGAACCATACAAACAAAGAAATGAATACCTTTTGAAAATTCTTTAAAACTGCTCGCGGTTCACTTATAATTGACATGAACTTCAGAAATTTTTTTGACTAGTACTAATACTTTAAAAAATTAATTTGAACGTAGAAATTCAATTTCATTGAATGCGTTTTAGTATTTATTTTGAAAATTCCAGGCATATTTTGTTCCTATTATTTTACTTACGAATCATAAGATCGCAACGTTGCTATCCATGGTAGCAGAGAACGTACGTTCTCTGATGGTAGTTATTTTTCTGTATTTTGACAATTTACACGTAGTATTTTGTTGGTATGCTAAGTGGAAAAACAGTGAAAATCTGCTAAAATTTTGTTGAATTTTTACTCTAATAGCGTAGATATATAACGAAAAAATATGTTTGCAAATTTGAAAAATAAACTAATAGAGGAAGTGAAGGCGTCACCATCCAAATTTCAGCAATTTGCGGTAATTAAAAATAGGATTGAGGAACGACAAACCTCACCTTACAATGTCCAAGTCCAATAAAATGGGTGAATATGCAGTTGAGCAACTGTGTAAAAGTGCGAGTGTTTGTTGCTTTCGTTAGTCTTATTTCGTGTATATATTTACAAATACACACAACACTTTGGAGGAAACATTGTTTTCATATTTGCTAATATATTTATATATTGTACATAACTACTTTCTCTTTTTCTTATTTCTCACTTATTTGTACTCTGCATCTAAAAAAATAAATAGGCTGCTGTCTCTTCGTCGGCAAGCACAACCCCTAGTGGCTCAGATTCTACTACAACAACGACAACTAACGAGAATTTCTTTAGCATTACAGAGGAAGGTGAGTTAACCAAAATGTAATAGTTGGTTTTCTATTTTACTTTCATTGTTTTAGATACACCGCAAAATTCGCCATATAAACCATTAAAATTACCACCTGGTGCATTAGGCGGTAGAATACATCATAATGGACCTGGTGCCATACCTCGTACGAGAAAACTCTCGAATTCTTCCATGGCCAGTGATGTGTCTTTCCGCCTACCCTCTTACGAATCGCCTCCTGTAAGTAAAATAATACATGTGTATGTATGTGAGACAATAAACATTCTATTAATTTTTTAATAAATTTAGGCCTATCATCTACAATCAGACTTGGAGTCTAATTGCAGTGAGTTGGAAGATACAGCTTCTACGGCAAAATTGGATGTCATAACAAAGGAACAGTTGTATGATGCTTACAAAAAATCATTGGATCGATATCATAAATATCGCAGCCGATATACGGATTTAGCAAATAGATACAAGGATTTGGAACGTGATAGCACAAAAGCAAGGGTATGAAAAACGTTTAATGCTCTCCACAATAAAAAAAAAACTAATGATGTACATACATAGATAGATTGATAAATTTCGAATACTCATTATCAGCTAGTTTTTATGTATGTATGTATGTAACAAATATGATAAGGTGTGTAAGAATTTTTTTTGACTGAGATATTTGTGAAGTATCTTAATAATCCGAATTTATTATGATTTTTAGGTTTTAGAGGCCTTTTTTGTTAGTTTTCCGTAGTTTATATGAGCAGAAAATTACTAGTAAAAGAAAATAAAAGTTTTTAAAGCATTTAAATAATTAATTTGTTTACTTATCATCGTACCAGCCTGTATGATGTTTCGGAAAAAATAATACAAACTGTTTTAATTTTTTTGTTTGTTTTTATAATTTGTTTTGAGTTTAGTAATAATAATAATAATAATAATAATTGTTTTTTAAATATTTTAATGATACGAAATGTGTAATTTTTATTTTGCTTATAGAAGCAAAAGTGGCCTAGTTATGCTTTGTTATTTTTTTTTATAATTTTGAAAACTGCTATCAAACCTAATTAATAGATTTATTTTACAGTCTGTGCTTGTGGAAACCCAAGAGAAAGCTATACGTCGTATAAGTGAATTGCGAGAACAATGTTCCCTTGAACAGAAAGCAAAAGCGCACCTCGAAGAAGCATTACGTATGGAAATGGATGATATGCAATGCAAAATGCAAGCCTATGAAACAAAATTAAAATTACTTGGTGAAAACCCTGACAATGTGACCGCTATTCTTTCAGAAAATTTCTCGAATGAAGCCATCGGCGGAGAATCACTGATAGACTTGGATGACAGTAGTCACAGTCTAGGAGGATCAATTGACAAAAAATCTCTATACGATACTGGAAGTTCTAATAAGGATGCACCGCTATTAGCTCAATTGAAAGCGGAGTTAGAAGAGCGAGAGCACAAAATCGAAGAACTTTTGGTAAAAATGTCTGCTGCAGAAGATACCATAACACAGTTACGTAAACAGGAAGAGGAGAACGCATTATTATTGGCTCAAACAAAACAAGCTATACACTCAGAACTAGAAACTAAAGAGAGTGAAGTTAAAAATCTTGCAGAAACAATCACCACAATGCAGAAGGAGTTGCAAGATGCGGCAAAGAAAGAGAAACAACTAAATGGACAGGTGAGTGAGCTTAATGAATTACGTGAGAAAGTGAAAAGTTTACATGAGGCGAAACAAGAAAGCGATGCCAAACTTATAGCTTCGGAACACATGCTTAGTCATTTGAAAGAGCAACAAGGTGCTAAGGAAAATGAATCAAAAGCGCTTGAAGAGAAGCTGGCGAAAGCCGTTAAAGAAAGCGAACAGAAACTCAACGATCTGCGACAGCAGAACCACCAGCTAAATGAAATGGTGCAGCGCTATCAGCAAAACGAAGTATCTTTAGCCGAGATTGATAACGAATTGAACAGAACGAAAAATGAGAACGACATTCTTAAAGTATCATCTGCCGAAAATGAACGAAAACTACAAAATCTGGAATCAAAGGTGATGGCACAAAAGGAACAGCTAGAATGCCTTCAACAAGAGAGGCAAGTCGAAGACAAGCAATTGAAGGATATGCTGACTAGGGAAGAAGAATTAAGTAAGATCCTTAAAGAAACTCAAGATGACAATGAAGTTCAACGACAGTTGGTAAAACAATTAGAGTCGGAATTGAAAATAACGAATGAACGAAATCAGCATACTGAAAGTGAAACGATTGCTGCGCTAAAGAATGAATTACACAAGTTAAACGATGAGATGATTGAGAAAGTAAAAGACCTAAAAGAACAAATAGCCGGTAAGGAAAAAGAATTGAAGACCAATACAAATAAGCTGGCAAAACAGAAGAAACAATTTGAAACCCAACAGAACCGTATGCGCGAGCAAAGTGTTGAAATCGACGTGCTCCGCACTGAGTTAAATAAACATGAACAACATCTTAGTAATCTGCAAACTGAGTTGCAAGAACGGGAGAAGCAAGCTGAGGAGGAAAAGGGGAAATTGAGGGCACAGGTTAAAAGTATACTTCAAGATATAGGACAAATTCAGGAAGAAATGCGCACTGTGAAAGAATCTCATGACGAGTTGGAAGAAGAGAAGTTAAAGCTAGAACAATTAATTAAAAATATGCAGCAAGAGACACAAGAAACCATCGATGGCAGCCAACGTTGGCGTGATCAGTTGATCGCTGCCGAAGACAAACTTCGCCAAGTGGAGTCAAAGCTGCAGAATGTTGAATCCGAAAATTCTCAATTAGCGGAGAAAAATTGCTTACTTGAAGAGCAAAACAACCGTTTCGAAAAACAATTAGCAGAGCTGGAGCGTCAGAAAATTAAGGAAGAGGATATAGCAAATGAGTTGAGATTGAAATTAGATACCGCCGAAGTGACCGTGCAGAAATTAAACGAGAAAATGTCTCAAGTATTGGACGAAAACTCACGAATGCACAATACAAAAGAGTTGATGGACCATGATTACCGCACTTTGCAGGATAAATGTGATGTTCTAGAAAAAGGAAAGATGATAATGGAGGATGTCCAAACGTGTTTGCAGCAAGAGCTCGAACAGTTGAAAGAACGTAAGTTGGTTATGGAAACTAGATTGCGCGAAACTGTTGAACAACTGCAGCAAGCAGAAGAAAAATGTGCAGAGCAAAAGAAGTACGCTGATGCATATGAAGAAGAACTGAAAGAGATGGCAAAAGTTCTTGAACGTTTTGAAAAAGAAAATCAGACATTGATTGCAGAATTGAATGATCTCAGAGCAGCACAATCAGATGATGAGAAGTTGCATTGTTTGATGAGGGATCAAAAAAGACGGATAGAAGAATTGGAACATGATTCAATAGAGAAGGATGAAAATTCTAGAGTGAACTTGGAAGCTGCAACCAAAGAAAATACACTGCTGAAAGAAAAATTGAATAGATTAGAAACAACTTGCGAAGAATTGGAGCGGTTAAAAGAAGAATGTCAACTTCAGAAAGCGCAAAATGCCGAACTAAACCAAGAAATAAGTATTTTAAATACTGAACTCGCCAAGACCCGCGAATCTTGCCAGGAACTCGTTACCCTATCGGTACAATTGAAAGCTTTGATGGACGAAAAAGAAGATACTGAAAAAGAACTGAATAGATTGGTTTTGGAAATAAATAAATTGAAAGAAGATATAAGCGTGCAGGCCGAGGAATTGCAAATTAAAGCAAAAGAAGTGGAAACATTAAAGGAACAACTGGAGAATTCGGTGGCCATAAGTGAAAAGCTTGCTAACACTGAAACAGAACTTTCTAATTGCAAAGAAATGGAGAAGAAAATACTCGCTGAAGCCGCAATTAGTGCAGAATTAGCTAACAAAAAAATTCAAGATCTTGAGAATCAACTGAGTACTACGAACAATGACATCGAGCGACTGCATGAGAGTAATGATGCTATACAAGTGGAAATGGATAAGTTGCAGAGCAAAAGCGAAATGCAACTTCAAAGTATGGAGCTAACATTAAGGCAATTGAGGGATGAAAATGAGAAATTTCAACAACAGATTGCTCAACAAAAGGTCGACGGAGAAAAGCTGGCTAATTTCGAACAATTACAGCTTGAAAATGAGTACTTGAATAAACATGTTAAGCAACTGGAAACTGAGCTTGAGGCGCAGCGCATGGAGACATCAACTAAACTGCGGGAGGGAGAGGATTTGCGTGAGAAATTGAAATCTCTGCAATGTGAGCTTTATGTTCTCCGCGAGAATGCAGAAAAGCATGATAAAGCGATGGCTGAAAAGCAAGACGTCATTGACAATGTCAACAGTGAATGCAAAGAGATTCGTGAAGCTCTAGCGAATGAACGCTCAGAGTTAGAACGACAATTGGTGCATGCCAAATACATTACTGAGCAAAATGATGTGATACAAAGTGACCTACTGAGTAAGCAACATCAGTTGACAGAAGTGGAACAACAATTGCGAGACGCAAAGCTTGAGATTGTAGAGCTGAAATCGGTACACGCTACAGATGCTGACACCAAATCGAAGGAAGTAGATGATTTGCGTGCGAAATTGCAACAAGCCGCTCATGAACTCAGTACAAAGTTACAACTTCAACAAGAGCTTGATGCCCTGCGCATTGAACTAGCTGAATATAACAATTCAAAAGAAGTTTCAACGCCTCAAAATTTGGAAAACGGACAAAAAGCAGGGACTATTAATGATGCCGAGCGTTTGCGGCGAATCAATGAAGCCTTACAACGTGAACTAGAAGAACTTAAATATAAATCTACAGCCGAAATCGCCGAGTTACAGCAAGAAATTGAAGATATGCAAAATAATACGAAACATATGACTGAAGAATTGGTGGAGGCTCAAAAATTGCGGTCGCAGGAAGTATTAGCTACAGAAAATACTAATAAGGCATCAGCGCAGCAGTCAACAGAAGAATTGTCGGGGTCTAGGCAAGAGGAGCTGCTGCAGAGAGAAAAAGACGAATTGACTGCAAAATTGAATGTAATAATGAATGAAGTACGTGATGTTTCTGAGCGCAATATTTTCCTTGAACAACAATGTGAAAATTATCTGATACTGGAGCAATCCAACGAGCGTCTTAAGCTGCAGAATGCCAAACTTTCACGTCAGTTAGACGAAACCTTGGTGAGTTTACTTGTAAACCATATTACGTGGAATAATGAATTTTAATGTTGTTTTATTTATTTATATTTATAAATAGGTGTCAATGCAACACAACGAGGGCATAACAGCGAATACGGAATTTGAGTACTTAAAGAATATAATGTTCCAGGTAAGAATTTATTTTTACAATGTCGTTTTTGGCATGAATTAGAAGTGGAATATTTTTAAATCATGAATTGCTCAAACAAACTGTAATCACAATCTTTATGAATTTAGTTTCAGATCAAATTGCTTAAATTTAGAATTTTTTAAGTTAAAAAAACACTAACAAGTGAAAACAATAAATTTAATTTTTGAACTTTTTATGCACTCTGCTTTGATGCTTTGAAATATTTTATTTTCGTTTTTTTTTTTTTTGATATTAAACATATATTTTCTCTGTATTAAAACTTTACAAAACTTTCAGTATTTAACGGGGTCGGCTAATGGCAATAATGAAACCCTTGTCAAAGTGATATCAGCGGTTTTGAAATTCTCACCACAACAAACGCAAGTGGCGCTTGAAAAGGAACACCAGCGACGGTCACTGGTGGGTTTTCAATCTCATTACCACTGATCATCAATTATAAATTACTTTTTTTTTTCAATTTTAGTTAAATAAAATTCTATAGCAAGAATTCGAACAGGCCTACGCAACTAGATGGTGGTAGCATTGGTTTGCAAAACCAGCAAATAAAACCCATTGAACTATTTATATATTGTACACACAACCGACTACTATTAACCAACACTAATTGCGTACACACCAAAAGCTGTATACAAATGAGACCGACAAATGGCAGCGCTTTGCTTATGACCCGTGATTGGGCATTAGATATAAATATAGATTTACTAAAATTAACGTTTTTTAATTTAATAGTTAATTTTTTTTTTGTGCTTTGTTTCAAATTTAGCACTAACATAACGCATTTTGAACGTAAAAAATATGGAAGCTTGTATTCAGCAGAATAATTTGTAAAAGTACCTATAATGACAAAGAACGTCTAATTTCAATCAGGCAGATTACAGTTTAAGTAATTATAAATTGTAAAAAAAAAACGATATATATATATTTATGAATTGTATTCTCATTAAATATCGTTTGTAATCATATAGATATATCATAGAGTTATTAATTTTGCTAAGGATTTACGTTTATGTATATTGTATACGAAATATTAAAGTGTATTATTGTTAATTTGTTTGCTTGCGTTTGAGTTTGTATTTAAAATATTGTAACCGTTATAAATTGTGCAATCATGTAATGCATTTGTATGTGCTACTTTTTGGCCACATGCAACACAAAAAATTGAAAATGTAATATAAGGAAAAATATATCAAATATTCTTGTAATGTAAGTTTTACAAATAATATACGAATGTTTTTAGTTTCAAGTAAATAAATATATATAGACTTTAAACCGATAGAGAGGTTTTTATAATGAGCAAAAATTAAACTATGGAAGATTATTATATATTTATAAGAAGACTCATTTAACTGGACTTTTTGTAAAAAGCTCATAGCAAAAGAAATGGCACGGCTCGACTTTGCACATGAACCCGTTGGTAAGGCTTTGTGGGATAGTAGGAAGAAAATCTCTTACCGAGTGGGTGTTCAATTTCTCGAGAACAAGCCGATTGTATGTGTATATATTTGTCTGTTCCTTTTATTATAATAGTTTGTATTTCTAAAGCATAAATCGATTTTATTTAAATTTCAAATTTTTTTAGTAAAATTTATTTATTACTAATTTTTCATGGAAAAATATACATTTTGCTTCTCGAAATAGTATTCACTTAAGTTAAGCACAGTACACAATTAAATAAATATTTGTTGCGTTTTTGAAACCGCCAACATATGTAGTAATTTGGTATAACAATTAATTCCAAAATAAAAATAACATCCCTGATTGTTTTATAGTTTACACAATGCTTTTAGCTACAATTGGTTGTAGTAGTGTGCATTATTAAGCCCCTCCAGTGGTCTAATGGTTTCCTATGTATAAAAGTTTTCAGCGCATTTATTGTGAGCATTTGTAGCGGGTAATGTGGCTTGAAATGAATGAGCGCATGGAAACAACGATTTGAGCCGAATCTTTGAAGGCGCAATATGGCTAATACAGCTGCTTCTTGCACGACAGGGCGGTGTACAGCACCCAGAAAACGTCCGAATATCGTATGATATATTGTGATGTCTGTGGTAAGCGGCAACGGTTTCACCACCACAGATATGCATTCGAGCAAACATGCAATACGCTTATCATATTCCTCAGTATGCTGGACAACTTTATAGTATTCTTCGGCAAGTGGCAAGAGCTGCTGTTGCAGTAGTATCTCAACTAATTTCGTATTTCGTTTACAAAAGATGGCAAAGGCATATTTCAGATTTGTTACTTTACCAGATTTGAGTTTTGCAACCAGATTGGATAAAACTTCTAATGCTTTGGGTTGGAAAGGTTCAAAATAATATTCAAAACGTAATAGTGATAACAGTTCCTTATGTCTCAGATCCGTACTGTCCATATTGTAAGTTGTGCACATTAATAAATGTTGTATGACAGTGATGAGTGCGTCTGATTGATCATAATCAGATTGATGGCGTCGCGGCAGCGTCGTTGGATACCAACATAGTACTTCATAAATCATCGGTGATGCTCTAACACAGTGATAGTATAAGCATTTGGCGACAAAAAGACGTGCAGGATTGATTTCAGCTTTATCCATACGAATAGCAAGTAAGTAAAGTTGAGTGAGATTTAAAGCTGCATCTAGTGTCATCGTATCGGTATTCTTATAATTAAACAGTCTCTTCTCGATTTCCACCATTATATCACTTGCGATTTGAGGTCTCTTATAGTGTATATGACGTAACACAATTGATATAAGCCGCAGGTGAGTGCCAATGTATTTTGGTGGAACCTTTGTTGGCTCACAATTCAATTCGATTTCAGGTCGAGGTGCTTTTCTTATCTGCTCTACAATCAGGCTAGCTATCGTTTCACTATCGTTCAACTCTTCTACTAAGGATAGCGCTAGTGTAGAAGCAGACACATCCACTTTGTCCCGAGTCGTGTTGAGAAATTTTTCGATTTGTACCGCAATTTTACTGTGCGAATCCACTTCTTTTTTCACCCCAGTTACAGTTGCATAAATATCGTAAGAATATTGCTTGATGAAGTGCTGTAAAATACCCTTTCTATGTTGGTATGAATAATAACTTCCGCTCCTTTCCAAAAGAATCTCTGGGCATGGTTGTGAAATGGTAAATGAATTGTTATCACTGCATGTCGGGAGTGGCGGAGAGGCGGGCGATTCATATACCATTGTATCAATTGACACATCAAATGCGTGTTTTTGGTCATTTGGTGTAAAAGGGTCTTTAGCATCTGAAGGCTGCTCGCTGTTGAGGTCAGTAGTTGGTTGTATACTACTGTGAGGGGTGGAAAAGGCAGGTGTTTCCAACTCATTTTGTTCGTTTGTCTGAATGTGGGTGGGAAGACGTTTGGTGACCTTTTCATTTAATTGTTCTGCAAGTTCGTTGGTGTCTATATTTGAAACGCTCGTTTCAGCCTCAGTTAGAATTTCATTTGAATTTATATTTTGGCTATTCATACTTTCGTTTTTAACACTTCTTTGTTTCATTTCGGTAAACCGTTGGTACTGTTTTTCAATTTGCTCTTTGGTTAAGGTCTTTAGCAAATTATATCTAGTATGTGCCACCGGTATTTGACTGGTAAAATTTTGCTTATTATCACCAAATACTTCTTCATCGCTGCTCGGTTTCGTCTTATGCTGATGATTCCTGCGGCTTTTCGTTGGAGGTGATGTACATTCGTCACTGCTAGTTTGGTTATCAATACAGTGCATAGCCCGCAACCGTTCTGAACGCTTACATAACGTAATAGCGGACATTTCGTTTTTACGTTTATGACCACGCCTGCGTGGCAAGTCAGTATCCGCTTCCATTTGTTCACTTGCAGTTTCGCTCAATATGCTATTGACGAGTTGTTGTGTGGACGTATTGGCCAATATGTCATCAAGTATTGACCCTTCAAACAATACTGATACATCAGTATCGCTGCCACTTGGTGGAGAAGGAGCATTCGGAGGCGACTTTGAAAACTTGTTATCAATTTGCTGGTCACAACCGACACTGAATTCGGACGAAATATTATCAGCCTTGATATTACCTTCATCTATAACGAGCTTAGACTCGTCGGCTTCTTCACTTTCGTCAAGAGCACATTTCACGGTATTGTCGGATAGATTTTCTTCTGAATTATTATCTTCCTCAGATTCGCTCATAGAGAGATCTAAAAGAATTTGCTGCAGGGAACATTCCGGCACTTCTTCATTTGCGAAGCTTTCGGTTAGTGGACGGAAACCCGACTCCCGGACTTTTTCATCTAATTTTACAATGTCATTTATAGTTGTATTTTCACAACAACCTGTAATTCTTTTAATGTGCTCCAACGCATTCGAAGATTTTACGCAACTGACTTCTTCAGTTTGTATCAAAGTTTCTCCAATCTTGTTATTTTTCGGTGTTATAAGCTCTTGGTAGGGCTCCTCTTCATCGCTTTCATTTTTCAATATAATTTCCTTGCAATATAAAAGAGCGCCAGAGTTTTTCAAAGCCAGATATTCTTCCGAACTTAAATCATCGGCAAGAAGTTGAATATTTTCGGAGTCTACAAGGTTTAAACGATTTTCTTCTTCTGAATCACTGCCAAATAGATCGTAAGTTTCAACGCCTTTTTCTTTAACATGATTATGATATATTTTCTGCTGAAATTCAATTTTGCTTAACGCCTCAATCTTAACCAAATTATCACAATTACTTTCCTCACTGTCGGACAGTGCAGCATCAGGTACGGTATCTACATGCTCATTTACAACTACTTTATTTCTTTCTTCATTGTGTGGCAAAATTACTCCTGAAATAATTTTGGTATTTTGAAGCTCTGTATCACCGTTGTTTATGAATTCCTCACAAGTATAACTATGTGGCTGGGCGGCACTGAGTGTGTTCGTTACGTTATCTTCCATGCATTTATTAATTTCAACGTGGGTTTCATTATTGAGACGACAAAGCTTTGCACAAAATTCAACGGCGGTTGCAAAGTCTTCTTCATTTGGGTTATTCGTAGCTTCTACTTTAAAAATTTCAGTAGCAACAACTGCATTTAACGTAGATGACGTAGCTTGTACAATATGATCCTTTTCCCTTTTTTTCTTTCGTTTTTTCCGTGTTTGCTTATCACGACATTTTTTCATATATGTTTGCTCCTCCGCAGCCATCTTCCGCCTACTTGCTTGTTTTACAGATTTTTTTGGTATTTCTCGTGGTTCTTTAAATACCCAATGTTCAACGTTTCCCTCGTTTTCTCTCGCCATTGTTTTCTGAGGCTGTACAATGTGATTTTCACTTTCTGTTTGTGTACTCTCGTCTGTGCTAGGCATATAACGATTGTTATGATCAGTTCTTGGATTAACACTCCTATCACAAATAATTTGTACCTCTTCTGGTGGATCTGAAATACAAATGTTTAAATTTTGTTGGATATATTCAATATATTTTTCATTACCTTCGATAGGCCGAGAGTTATAGTAGGGTTGCGCTATGTTTGCATTAATTTCATTATTTAAATCAGATGGGCCTTCACTCCTGCTTATAGGTTGCACAAAATCAGCTTGAGGAAACATTGAAGCTGCTGTTTGTTGTTGTGGTTGTTGCATGGATTGGTAAAGTGAATATAGCCAATTGTGGAACTGCTCCTTATGTGAATTATTTGTTATGTTTAATTGTGACAAACGCATACCGTTATTAGTGGGAGGGTATAGTAAGCCCATAAACATTTGTCCGGCCATTTGCCAAATAGTGGAAAACGTTTCAGGCTGCATATCTGGTAATTGCGTAAAAGCGTTAAACATCGGTTGCATATTATTCATATCAGTCAGGTTGCCCAAATTATCACTTGATCTTGCGCTTCTAATTTCGGAACTTTCCGCAGTGGTTGTAGGTGGTGGGGGTGAAGAAGTTGGTGTGGCATATGCCTCCCTCTTGACATTATCACATATAAATGGTGCAGGCGAACTAGACTGTGAACGCTTAATTGTAGGTATAAAATCTACTTGGCGTTGTATGTTACATAAATAGGTACAAGTGCCGATAGATTTGAAAGAAACCCGCGTTTCTTTCGTTGAAGGATTGAATGATGTTTCCAAGTCCTTAAGGGCCGTTTGCGATATTGGATCGGATATGGGACTAAGTGGCGACACATTGTATAACTGCAATAACTCATCTACCATAGCTGTTACAGGCGGAACTAATTTTGGTTCTGGAAAACATGTACCGACATTATGTTTCTTGATAAAACACGAAGTTGAGGTTCCACGAGTAGTCGTTGTAGATATATGTTGTGTTCCCTGTGTATGCAATTCAATTTGAATAGTTTGTACACCTTGGCTTTGCACACATTTAGGTGGCTGCATTTCCGTATGTAATGTTTGTGTTTGTATATCTCTCTTAGTTGACGAAGTCGTTTGCGTTTCTATTTCACTGCATTGTATTGCAACTGTCTGAGTGCTTTGTGTATGTAACTCTGTAGATTTAATTGGATAACTGGACTGCAAAAGATTACACTGAACATCTTTGTCTTTTTTATAAATACGCTTCTTTTTTACTTTTGCTTTTATAACAGGTACTTTATGGCCACTATCTTCGCAGAATTTGGTCAGACTGGAAATAAGTTGTTTATCGTACAATTTGATATCGTCCTCTTCAAGAAGTTTTTGCAAAAGTTTTAGGTACTTTAATGATAGTTCAGTATAACTTATCGGGCCTTTTGCGTTATCCAACTGAGCTTCTACTTGTTCTAATTGTAAGTTTTTTTCAGCAAGTTCATCTTCCAAACGTGTTAAATGTGTGCTCATGCCTTTGGATTCTATTTCCATTGATTTGAATTTCATATGCAAATCTGCATATTTTTTCTTTTCATCTTCATAGAGGTTTTGTATTTGTAATGCTGATGTTTGAAAATCTTTAAGCTTCTGCTGCACATCTGCATACTCTTTCTTTAATAATTCTACTTTATTAACAAGCACATCATTTTGAGCAATCCTTTGCGCTAATTGCTTTGCCTTGAGGGCGCTGGGCCGAAAGAAATTTGGCTGAGCTACTGTAGCAATCGTTGGCCTTAAAGTTTTCTTTCTTGGTGGCGTAAGTTCCAAAAAATCCAGATTAAGATCATTATAATTGAAAGAACGTTCCTCATCGGCCATCTCGAGAACTGATGTAAAGGCGCCGTAATAGAAATTCCAAAAGTGTTAAGAGTATAATTTCACTACATTACATACAGCGCAGAGTGTAAACCCACTGCTTTACTTCTGAAATAAACACAAAATTAATCCTTATTAATTTTTTTAATTCTTATTTCTAAAAGAAAAGAAAGCACTAAATTACCACTAAACACGAGTATTGAAAACTGGAGCAGTAAACGTTTGCCCACAATTTTTAGAAATGTCAAAATATGCCGGATAGAAGAAGCATTCGCACCTACTACTGTGAATAGACGGTTGGAGTAGAGTTGCCGTTCTGCGCTTTATTTATTGTTAATCCATCAAAGAACGTATATGAACCAAGAACGTATATGAACAAAGAACGTATATGAATAAGAACAAAGAACGTATATGAATTCATATACGTTCTTTGGTAGTTCGGAGGGGCGATATGTTGAAGCGAAACCAAATTTTCGCTTGTAAGGGTATCAAAACAAAAAGAAAAGCCCAGTTGTATGAGAATTAGCAAAAATTGTTGAATGGAGCTGTTGAAAAGATAAAAAAAAAAAATTTTGGGTTGATATTGTCTACCTTGGGGCATTCAAACCCATGACATGGTACCACGCTCTCAATAGAGGGAACGTAAAATAAGCGAGAAGGTCTATGAGTGCATGTTAAACCTTTTCACCCCACATATAAATGAAAAATTTATAAAAATCTATTTAAGATAAATGTAAACATGTAGATGGCTATTATCAGAATTACCTGATTTCAATTTCTGTTTTTATATTTTTTTTTTAATTGCAATTTAATTTTTAATAATAACTTTTTTAAAGATAAAATTAATGGTAGTCATAATATTTTAGACATAATAAAAGATATTTGATTAAATTCTTTGAAAGGCATGATAACGGATTTGATTTTGTCCAAAAATTCACGCAAAAGTATCGATGTGTAAGCTGGTGTTGGTGTAGTTATGAAGCTTATGGGTCCAGCTTTTAGGTTTAGCCTTAAATAAAATTTTATACTACATGCGGTTTGTATTTACTTTTAATAAATATACTTGCTCATGCTTTGCCGTTATAACATAACATACTTTCGTCAACCCAATAATTGGCGCCCAACATAGAAGGATTCACACTCTAGTTAGAGTTAGGGTTACTCTACACCGGCAACAAATGTAATTGTGGATATTTAAAACAAAAATAAAAATCCATTCCACAAGAAATTCAAACTGCTGCTATGAATTTGTTTTATACACTTGAGCACATGAGTTGCGACACAGAAGACAACGTTAGTCAAGTCCCAAGCCAAACGAATTTCGTCATGGACGCAAAACAAGCACAAGCACTTGTTGCGAAGCATTAGCGTGGCATGAACACAGATCTCAAGCCCAGCTTAATGCTATGAATGAGTGGGTAAATAAACATCGTATCGAAGAAAAGTTGAGCCCGATAAAAGACTTTCTGTGGCCTACAGATCAATTGTAACATTCCACCGGAAGAATACGTAGCACGGAGGCAAGCAGCCGTTGATGCGTACGACATATTTAAACCGTTTAACGGTATCTGCGCTCATTACCAAGCAATAACGATCATTGGGAATAAAATCACAGGAGCAGCCAGAGCGGTATTAGTATCACACAGATGCAATCATAGCCAGGCTAGATTGCTGTTAGGCTAACAAAACCTCTTTACGACTTCTGAGGCAAAGCCTCGAGATGATGAGACAAGGTGACTCGACCTTAATGGAGTATTATGACGAAGTTGAGAGAAAATCAACTCTGGTTACAAACAAGACCGTAATGACACACGAAGCGGTGCAGGAAACGCTTCTGAATGATGAGTCAGGGTTGTCGCGCTCTACGCCTTATAGTCCAAAGTCATAGCAGAAAGGAAGCAGAGAAAGTATAATAGGGACGAACGGGCCAGCGAAAAAACCCCAATTTCATTAGAAAACAGCAATGCAGCGAAGGTTACTAAGGGGAAAAAATAAAAGAGATGAGCAGGGACAGGCCCCAGAAGCAAAGGAAATACACTCCTCTACCAAGTTAAGGCAGCGCTCTAACTCCATCAAACCTTAAGGAAGCAAGGAACGCGTTCAAAAGAGATCAAATACGACCGATGAAGCGACAGGCTCATTCGCTGAGAAACCAAGATACAAAAACGTGGCTGCTAGGAATGGAAATTGAAGAGGACAGTGATACGCTGTGTGACAATGACTTACTGCATTTTTTAGGCAACAGTCCCGACTGCCGTACATTAAACGACAGTTCGATGGGAGAATTTTAAAAATATTAATCGTAACAGGGGCGGTAAAGAATTAGGTTAGTATGTAAAGGGCCTAAAAAAGCAATGCATGTCAAAAATTCCCTCACTGTGAGCTCGGTACATGGTTCGAGCAGAATAAAGAACAAATGTTTTATGAAAATTTTTGGCCAAATTTCACCATATTTTTGTTAACATAAGCAGGGGCGGCATTGGACATACAAAATAGAACTATTGAATACCAAAACAAATCCATGCAATTGAGCTTTCTTTGCTCTGCCTGTGCAAACTTCACAGATGTTAATGATATAGTAGGGCCCATGTCCGTCGAAAAAGAATTCAAAGGTATGATATAGAGAAGGTCAAAGGAATTTTCGACCTCTAACGAAGCATTACCCTTTAAAACTTCTGTCATTGCCACGACCCGCACTATGGATAATGAACCAATCTATGCTAAACTATATTCGTACCCAAATGGAGTCTCTGATTTCGTAAACAACGAAATTAAGCAGTTTTTCAATGATGGTATCATTAGACCATCCAAACAAAGGGTCTGATAACAATAGTAATGAAAATAAACGGTTGACTTTAGGAAAACAAATGAGTGTACCATAGCAGAACAGGACCGCGAACGGCGCTCTCGGTGAACGGTGGAAAATACGAGTTTTGCCGTCTACCTTTTGGATTGAAAAGTACGGGGAGCATTTTTCAAAGCATCATTGGCGACATTTTGAGGGAACACATTGGAAAGATATGCTAAGTTCACGTGGATGGCGTCATAATTTTTTTCTGCAAGAAAAATTCTCCACCTAATAAATTTTACAGATAAAAACACTCTATTCGAAGTAATTAAACTACTCGTTAGTATCAACTCAGTAAAAGCGATTTACTATGATTTACCGACGTTGGCCAATATACAACATGATTTGTTGTTAAATTTTCCGACAACTGCAAGAATATCGTTGTCTTCATTACAAACAAAGATGAACAAACTGAAACTATCACTACTGAACACAATCGCGCGCATAGAGCCGCCAAAATTGGCCAATAAGGGGTGATCAATTGTAAAATATGTACCAAAGCGAAATACGACAGGAACCCCGAGAGGCAATTCCATATTATACTGGACATAGCTAGAACTTTTAAACTAGAAAAAATGTGTGATGACACATTGTCTTATGACCGAAAGCAACCGAGTTAATTTTGAAATCAACAATAGCCTATAACCGATTCATGCACTCGGTCGCAAACCAAACCCTGTTCGATGTGATTCACGCAGCATCTAGCGAGCTCAGGCGGACGACAATAAATAAGATCGCAGAAACTCAACATAATAACATTGAAAGATCTTATCCGAGGCAAAACAGAGTTTTTGAAGTAGGCGAAAACAAACAATAAGAGGTTAGGAAATAAGTTAACACCGATTTGCACAGAGGAAACGTTTCAAGCAGACCTGCAAGAAAATAGCACAGGCTAAGTTTACTCCCTCTTTTTTATCATTGCAGGATTCAAGTTGCCGCCCTTTTATTTTCAAGGGTCGTCTATTGTCGTATTATCGACTACTCTCATTCCAGTAATATTCCAGTGATAGACGGAAACAAAGGGATTATTTAAGGCATTCAAGGCATTCGAGTAACGTGACAGAATTTTCTAGAATGAAAGATGACACCGCAGAATTAGCAAATGGATATAGAACATATTAGAAATTGATTGTCGGTAATAAAAGTGCACCAAAGAATAGCAAGAAGTCTCGATTTCCTTTGTTCAGAACTCAAGGGGATAGCCGGCACGCCAGCTGCGGCCGATATTGAAAAGGTTAGATGGTCGGAGTCAAAGTTAATCGATTCCGCATATAGTAATTAATTCAGAAACACAGAAACAAATTAATAAACTCGCAGATATGTTAAATGAAATAAATAAAACAAAAAATAATGAGTTAGTTGACACACCGCATTTATATGAAAAATTATTAATGAGAAATAGAATGTTAATAAACCAGATTTCAAACTTGATTCTCACAATTATATTAGCCAGATAGACACCGCTCACGCGATTATACTTCTTTTAACAAAATTTTGCCATTCGATTCTTGTTTTAGCTGTTTGGCGCCAATTGGAAATACCAAATACGACCAGGTCCTTCTCTACTTGGCCTTTCCAACGAAGTGGAGGTCTTCCTCTTCCTCTGCTTCCACTGGCGTATACTGCATCGAAAACTTTCAGAGCCGGAGTATTTGCTTCCATCCGGACCACGTGACCTAGCCAGCGGAGCCGCTTCTTCTTGATACTCATAGCCTACCCAAGAATGAAATTCATATGTACCATCTTTCCGGTATCACATCAACATGTAACACTACAGCTACAAGATGACAGCGTAGCCGATGACGTGCTAGCGGTTATCGCATCTGTTTGCTAGTTAACGGCACAAAACACTTGTGTACGAACTACACACTAGCGGCACGACCTCCTGCCGTAATCAGCCAAGCCCCCTTGAACCTATTTTGCAATATTATGAAGGAATCATAATTATCATCTAGAGCACAACAAGGGTCAGTACAGACGAAGGCCCAGAGATCATTACGAACGGTACCCACCTCCTCCCCTTCCGTTTAGCAAGCTTCGCGGGAAATACAGAACCCATTCATTGGAATATACATATAAATGTATTAAGAAGAAGCAAAACCGTACACATCTAGCAAAAAAAAACCTTTTTTATTGGCCGCTGTTAGTTTAATTGCAAAAAAATTCTTCTCAAGACGATTTTTGGCACACCGCAAGCAGCACACAACTCCCCGATTTGACCAAGCGGATTTTAAATGAATTTCAAACAATGGCTTAGTAAAAGTGTTTCATTATTTTTCAAAATTAATTTTTTTTAACTTAATTTATGTTTAGCGTTACCCTCTCCCTCTTCTCATCGTCCAAAAGCTGAGAGCTGAAATATAACAATAAGATTTTCATTCATAGACGCCTGCGTCCAACAACAAGTTCCGACACTCCGAC